TTTATTGATTGTTGTAAAACTTTTGCTTCAAGGTGTATGTTATATAATTGTGATTTCCCACAATTAAAAAACCTTCATATTGCATTCAAAGAAGATCCAAAAGATAGGCTTCATGAACCTGCTTCAGAATGTATGCTTCGTGGTATTACTGCTCCTAATTTGAAAAGATTTATTTTCAGTTCAATTGATACAGATCTTGTAATGACGTCTATTGATGCACCATCATTACAATATTTTCAAGTTTTAGCAAATTCTTTATTGATTAGAGATTTTTTTTATATACCAGTATTGGAAGAGTTTGATTTTGATATTCAAGAATATTTTTATTATGAGATAATAGATGATGTCTATGATGATGGTAGTCCAGTTCTTCATTTCTTACAGAATACAAAAGTTGGGACGATAAAATCACCAAATTTCAACATTTTGGATGGACTAACAGAGATGGGAAACTTAGAGAAACTTACATTAGTGCACTTTCCAGGAGGTGATGCTTTTAAAGATATCAAATTCCCAAACTTGAAGACATTAGAGCTTCAGTTAAGTTTAAAGGTTAGTAAAGATTTACCAAGTTTTGATGCACCTTTACTAGAATCAATGGAGTTACTGCTTCCAGTTAATACACCAAAGAATATTGATCAAGTGGTGAATAAGTTTCATCCTAAGTTGAGAAAATTGAAATTAGATTATAGTCGTTGTGATAAAGATCCAGTGATTTTGAACAATCTTCAACTCCCAAACTTGATTGAATTAGAAATCAATGGGGTTAATAATACAATTCAATTGAAGAGATGTGAGTTCCAATCACTAAAGAAATTGTTGATTAATAGAATAACTGCATTGGGTTATATTCCAAAGATTAGGAATACAATTAGTTCACATTTTAGTTCAATAGAAAGAGTACATTTTGGAAGAGTATCAAGAATTGAATTTAAAAAATGTAAATTTCCAAATTTAGAAGCTTTAACAATAACTAATTTTGATATAATTTCAACACCACTCACCAAGGAACTTTTTCCTTCATTAAAAGAGATATTAATTCTTGATGGTGTTAATCAAACAGATCTTGATTTTTGTGAAGAATTTTATGGTATTATTAAAGATGAAACTTATGATACTAGGAAAGATCGGTTTGAAATTTTAAAACTTAGTGATCCTTATTTAACAAAATTTGCATAGACGTTGACGGTTGAATGAATAATAGTACAGATAGCAATATAAGCACATTAATTATTATTATATTTAATTAGAACGATGTAATTGTTTTAAGCTAAAGTACCAAGAACTCTAATTCTTTTAACACCACCATCTGGGATTAAAGTTAATTTAACATGAGTGAATTCACCTTGATTAACAAATTCTTTAAATGAATGTTCTTTATCAGGACCAGTTTTAGAAGGTTCAATTAATGAAATCCAATTTGGATCAGATTCATTTGGAATTAATTCTTGAGTAGTTAATCCATGTAATGAAATTTTTTGTGGGAAATTACCTCTAAAATGTGCAGTATCAATAACAACTTCATTAATCTTAGTTTTAGCACCTAATTTAATAATTACCCAATCTGTATGACCTGGAGTTCTTGATCTCTTGGTTTCCCAACCATCACTCATATCATGACCACGACCTGGTAAAACTAAATTATCAGCAGAACCAAAATGTTGATCAGAAACTTTAACTGCAACACCACCATATTGAACAGAAGCTAAATCAATGATACTTTGAGTGGTGATTCCATCAAATTGTGGGATAACTTCACCATATAATCTAAAACGAGCAATCCCACCATCTGGATATTGTTTTAATCTTGCATGAGTATATGCCTTATCAGTTATTGAATCATTTTTGAAAAAATGTTTTTGTGATGGTCCACATTCTTGTTTAGAAATTATTAAATCCCAAGTAGCACTATCTAAAGATTCACCTTCTTTTAAATTTGTAGCTTCAACAGTAATTTCTGGGGCATGATTACCATTGAAAAAAGCAGTATCAATTTCAGTACCAATTAATTTTGCACCAGATACACCAAATTGAATAATTACCCAATCAGCTTCTTCAGTATTATGTCTTCTTGTTTCCCAACCATCATACCAAGCACCTGAATAAACGAATTTAGTAGCATCTCTAATTGGAGGTTTTGGTTTAATTAAATTTGAAGCTTCTGCAAACCATTCATCACTAAAACTTAAGACTTTACCACCAATTTTTTCACCAATAACATCGGTGTATAAAGAGACAACTTGTTGTTTGAATTGATCTTCTGATAGTATTTGTACCATTATGAAATAGTGTATGTGATTTTGATATGAATATGAAGAAAGAAAAGGGTTAATTATTCTTTGTAGGGAATTCCTTGATTATTATACCCTTTTCTTGATAACTCCAATCGAGTTTTTCATTAGCGAACGGATACGCCCGATAAGAACTCAACTGTGGATTAGATGGAATGACTGCAATATCCATGAATTTATTAAGAATCTATGGTATTAACCACCCGCCATTGAAAGCTATGAAGAAAACAGTTCAAATTGGCTTTCCAGCCATATAAATATCTCCAATATAACCCATTTTCTCACCATATCAAAACAGTAAACTTTATTGAATCGATTACGCCGGGGATTAATTATTTATTGTGTACACTGATTACGTCATGATTATGTAATATCGATTAATACCAGCAGTGCACACAACCATTAACTGACCTTCCCTTTTGAGATGAAAAATCAGATTACTTAATACATGACGTGGTGATTATATAATCAGTTTTTCATAGAAGTCACCCGGCTTCCACCTTCCGCGAATATTTTTGTACGATTTCAATTCGTTAGTCAAATTTCCAACGAAAAAGCTCCTGAATAAACACCAGATTTTACACACTCTTAATTGAAAACATTACATCAATTGTATTTTAATCACATTTACAATCAAAATCAAAATGGCTATCATCAAAAGATACAACACTCCTGTCTTAAAACCATACTGGCCATTCTTTGCCGGTGGTGCCATTGTCTTTTACTTAGTTGGTAAAGCTGCTGATTTAAGTGCTGGTACTAAAGAATTTATTAATGATCCAAGAAACCCTCGTTTTGCTAGAGGTGAAAAAGTTGTTGAATTAAAAGATTGAATTTATCTTGTTTGAAAAATATTTTAACAGTTAAAGAAAAAATTATCACAAAAAACAATCTAAAAATTTAAGAATTCATCAATTTCATCATTTACAAAGAGTAATATCAATTATAAATATAAATTCCAATTGAATTGGAATTTTATTAGAAATGTGTTTAATGAAATATCAAATTTATCATATACAATAAAAAAACTTATATTCATATACAAATATTCAATTGAAAATATCATTAAATTAGACATCAAATTTGTAGATCTACATACATCAAGTAAAAGAAAGTAATTAAAAATATATACTGTTGAAGTAAATGATTTATACAAGTCAATGATGAAGTAAATGATTTATGGTCAATGATTATAAACTCTTTTCAATTGATTTGTTTTATTCTAATGCAGCTAAATTCAATGCATGTTGTAAAATTTCCAATAATTCAGATTGATCTTCAAGACCAATACTTATTCTTACAATATTTCTATCAACCCCCCATTTTTCAACTTCATCTAATTCTTGATAATGAGCCAAGATTGCATAAGGACATGCTAATGTAAAATTTGTACCTAATGATGGACCTTTTGATAAATTAACTTCATTAAAGAAAACTCTTGCAGCATTTGGATTATGGAAAACTAAACTTATTAATCCACCATAACCTCCATGTGGAGTTTTCAATTCATCATAATATTTTTTACTTGGAACTAATTTTGGATAAAAAATTTCTTTAATTAATGAAGAATTTTGGAAAAGATTAACAACAGCTTCAGTTGTTTTATTTACTTTTGAAGATCTTGATTGAAAATCTCTTGAATTTCTTTCTAAATAAATTGCATCTTCAGCCCAAAATATATCTTCATAATTATTTGTGAAATATTTTGTGAAAATTTCATAATATTGTGATTTAGGATTTAAAACTAATGAACCAGCCATAACATTTGAATCCCCTGAAAACACTTTAGTTAATGATGAAACAACAATATCTGCATATGGTAATACATCAATATTTAAAAAATTACCAACAGTTTCATCAACAACAACTGGGAATTTATATATTTGAGATAATTCATAAACTTTTTTCAAATTTGGAGTTTTCAAAAGAGGATTTGATGGACATTCACAGAAAAAACTTTGAATTTTTTCACCTGATTTTAATTTATTTTCTAAATCATTTAAAGAATCATCATCACCAAATCCATAAAATTGAACACCTGGGCCAAATTTTTTTAAAATATTTAAAGTATCAACATATGGGAATCCAAAACATACAGATTTTTCTAATTGAGATCCTTCTTGTTGTGTTGAAGTGTTTAAACATGCTAAAAATGCATTGAAAATTGAAGCCATCCCAGTTGGATAAAGGAAAATATCATCTTCACAAATAACTCTTTGATTTGAATCTAAATCAGAATCATCTTTTAAAGTACCTGCAATACGTCTTTTCAAAATTTGTTTAGCTTCATTAACATAACTTAAATTTAAATTTCTACCAAATCTTTCCTCGATAAACATTTTATATTCTTTATCTTTATCTTCATTTAAATTATTTTCAGAAATTTGTAATTCTTGTAAAACATATTCCCCCATACGTGATGAAATACCTTCACCTGAATGTTGCCAATATTGTTTAGCAATAGACCATTCAGAATCATGAACGAAAACAACTGCAATCTTAGCTTCTTTTCTATAACTTTCTTCTTCTTTGGTTTTTGGTGGTGGAGTTCTTAATTGTAATATACGAACATTATTACAATGTGATTTTTCTTTAACAAATTCTCTACAACGTTTAGCAACTTCATAACTTGGAAAACACCATGCTTTTTCATTTTCTCTACCAAATTTCTCTTCAATATGTTTACAAAGTTCTTGAATCTTACTATGAATGAAAAATCTTGGATAACCTGAAGTCATCTTGGAAGTTACCCATTGTTCACCTTCTTCATAACCAACTGTTGCTTCCCAAGTAGGCAATGTGACTGAGACTGCATGAGCAGTGTTGTTTGGGATAGGAGCACCAATTTCCTTGGATGGAATTGCCAGCATATTATTTCTCTTTCTTTATAAAGTCTCCAAACAAAACAAAACAAAACAAGTATAAACTTTGCATTTTTCCACTATCAGATTCTTCGATTATACTAGTATGACTAAATCGAAATCAAAATCAAAATCAAATTCGCGATTCGCGATCTGATTTCTCATTTTCGTTCCGGGGTCTGACAGGAGGTACTTCCGACTCAGATCAATAAATTTCGTTAAGATTTTTATATAAACACCAAGATTTGATCCTTTAAATTCAACACTTCACACACACAATTGGCTCCTAAACTTGATCTTATTTGGGCTGATTTCATCTTGTGATTGTCCTTGTACATGAGCTTCAAGTTACCAGACACAAAGCCTTCTTTTGGAATAAAACAACAGCGAGCAAAGGAAGATTCCGTTTGGAAGGCACTCAGAAATAACAACACATCTCCATTCACAGCGTCAATTCCAAATTTTAGATCAAAAGATCCACAATTACCCTTATATAAAGATAAACCTTTGAATAATCAAACTTCTAGTTGGGAAAGAAGGAAAATCATGTTTTTCAAAGCTTTTATCCTTGGTTTAGCATTTTATACATGTTATTATATTGGTGGATTATTACAAGGTGTTGAATTTGGTAATAATAATAATTCTTTAGATAATTTAACTTGGAAAGAAAAACAAGATCAAGTTAGACAAGTGTTCAAAGAAACTTGGAAACATTATGAAACAGATGCTTGGGGTAAAGATGAATATCATCCATTAAGTCATAAAGGTAAAAATATGGGTCCTGGTCCATTAGGTTGGATTATTGTTGATTCATTAGATACTATGCATCTTATGGGTTTAGAAGAAGAATTTAAAACTGCTGAAGCTTGGGTTGCAAATGAATTAAATTATGATATGAATTATGAAGTTAATGTCTTCGAAACAACAATTAGAATGCTTGGTGGGTTATTATCTGCACATTATTTATCTAAAAATGATATGTTTTTAGAAAAAGCTGTTGATTTAGGTAATAGAATTATTGGTGCTTTTGATTCTCCATCTGGAATCCCATATGCTAGTGTTAATTTACATACTAAAAAAGGTGTTAAAAATCATGTTGATAATGGTGCTTCATCAACTGCAGAAGTTGCAACTTTACAATTAGAATTTAAATATTTATCTAAATTAACTGGTGAATCATTATATTGGGAAAAAGTTGAAAAAATTATGGAAGTTTTAGATAAAAATCAACCAAAAGATGGTCTAGTACCAATTTATGTTCATCCCGACACTGGGAAATATCAAGGTAAATATATTAGATTAGGTTCAAGAGCTGATTCTTATTATGAATATCTTATCAAACAATATTTACAAACTGATGAACAAGAGCCAATTTATAATACTTTATTCCATGAATCAAATTATGGAATAAAAAAACATTTATTACGTCATTCTAAACCAAGTAATTTAGTATTTTTTGGTGAATTAGAAAGAGGTTTTAATGGAGGTTTTTCAAATAAAATGGATCATTTAGTTTGTTTCATTGGTGGTTCATTTGCACTTGGTGCTACTGGTGGTGAAGATATCTTAACAGCAAGAAAATCAGGTTCTTGGACACCATTAAAAGAAGAAGATTTTACTTTAGGTAAAGAAATCACTCATACATGTTGGAAAACTTATGAAGGTACTGCAACTGGATTATCATCAGAAATTGTTGTTTTCAATGATGATGAAGATTCTACTAAAGATTTCTATATTAAACCATTGGATAGACATAATTTACAAAGACCTGAAACTGTGGAAAGTTTATTCATTTTATATAGAATTACAAAAGATCCAATTTATAGAGAATGGGGTTGGAAAATTTTCCAAAGTTTTGTTAAACATACTAAAACAGCAGATGGTGCATTTACTTCATTAAGTGATGTTACTACAGTTCCACCAAAATTAAGAGATAATATGGAATCATTTTGGATAGCTGAAACTTTAAAATATTTATATTTATTATTTGATGATGAAAATTTAATTCCTTTAACTGAAAATGTTTTCAATACTGAAGGTCATCCATTCCCAAGATTTGATCCAAATCCTTTATTTAAAACTGGTTGGAGTAGAGATGGTTCACATAAAAATACAAATCAACAACAACAAGGAAAACCAAAAGATCAAATTCATCAAGAAGAAATTGTTATTGATGATAAAAAAGGAAATTCAAAACATCATGAACAACAACCACCAAAATTAAACAATGCACCAGTTGCAGCTGAACCTGCTAAACCTGCTTTAGAACAATTAAAAGATCTTAATCAAGAACCAAACCAACAACAAGAATCTGATGATGAAAAGGCTAAAATTAAAGCAAAATTAGCTAAAGGTGAAAATGTTAATGAAATTATTGAAGAATTAATTGATCAACAAGCTTAAACCTAAAGAACTTATTTATCAATAAAAATATATGATCATTCTTGCTTATTTTCTCCATGTATTAATAATTCACATAATTGGTAATGGTCTACCTGAAAAGATAACTTTATTCTTTATGACATCAACCATTTTAACTTTTGCACCATCTTGGAATTCATTAGGAAATTTTAAAACTCCAAGAGGTGGACGTAATTGTTTAACTTCACCTAATAATCTTTGTGAAGTACCAATATACAGAGTGGCTTTATTCCCATTCAATTCTAATTTCCCTACACGAGCAGCATGATTTATATCATCAATTGTAACATATTTTAATTCTCCTTCTGGTGTTAAACCTTGAGGTTTTGATGATGGTAATACTAATTCACCTTGAATTTCTAATAAGACGTTACCTAATGGTGTGGAAATGATGATTGGCGATTCATCTTTGGATTGGATTGTCTTTTGGGCTTCTGAGTAGTCGATTTCGATGGCTGGCATGGTAGTGGGTCCTGGTTCTTGGTAGATTGTCTCGAGAGATGTTTGAATGATGATGATTGAAGATTTTTATATACGCGTTTGTTAAACTTTTCAGCTCATCGCGATGGATTATATAGAATCTTTACTAAAGAATACAAAATGAATTGATGACTTCAAAACACCACAAAGAAAAAGATTGTACATCTTTTATTGAAAAAAAGGTGCTCAGAGTGTTCATTAAATATATTTAATTCCATATATTTTGCCAAAACTTATTACTTTATAAGGGGTTCCACTTTGAATATCAAGATCTTGATTTGTGGTTTGCAGCCCTGCTCTAAAATCAAAAAAGTAAATACATACAATATCATAAGCAACGTCATCAAAACACACAATTTGACACTAAAATTCTACATAAACTAGTTCTTCAGATTTAATAACAATTACTGTTGAACTCAACTCATCAAAGCATAATGGGATGGCTATCATTTCTTAAATCTAAGGATTTTGATCCTTCAACTTTTGAAAAAGAATTATCAGCATTATCTTCTAAAATAAATAAAAATGAAAGAAGTATAGGAGTTTTCAAATATCATCAACGTCAATCAAAAAGTTTTGTATTGATATATGGTGTCTTTGGATATTTTTTCACTTTGGTTTATCTACTCATAAAGAATGGATTAGAATTCCATAGATATGATCATTTAGAAATTGGATTAATTGTGGCAACTCCGATTTTAATTACATTAATTATCAAAATAATAACTTTATATTTCAATACAAGAATAAATAGAATTGAAAATCATATTGAACATTTGAAACAAACACATGAATCCAAAATTGAAGAATTGAAAACCAAGACAAATTTCCAATCAACTCATGCTTTATTAACAAGATTTGCAGATGGTGGTGATCTTAATGCACAAATTGATGAAGAATTATTAGCCAAACAAAAACAATTAGAAGAATTTAATAAACTTTCATTAGAAGGTAATAATGAATCACAAAGATTTAATGCATACCAAGGGGAAGGTAATGAACGTCATTGGTATGATACAATAATTGATACTGTTGTTGGTGCAGATGAATTAAGTCCAAATAATAGATATGCTTTAATATGTCCAAATTGTTCTTCTCATAATGGTTTGGCTCCACCAGGTCAATTACCTGAATTTGTTAGATATATTTGTCCTCGTTGTGGATTATTGAATGGTAAGGAACAACCATTAGAAACCCCATTGGAAAAATCTGATATCGAATCTAAAGGTCAAAATCAAGATCCAAAAGAAAAGAAAGATCCTGTTTCTGTTCCAATTGAAACAATTGAAACTAAACAAGCTAGTACAACAGGAAGTTCAAGAAGAAAAGAATAATATGTGTATAGATTTCTACAATTTTCCAGAAAATAAATGTGTTAACGTCATGAAATTAATTTCATATATTCATATCAAAAGTAAAAAATATAATTCTAAACTTATGATGATAATTCCATAATAGCATTGACAATATCACTGTCATGTTTTTTCAAAGCTTTAGCAGCTTTAGCTCTTGAAGCACCAGTTTGTTCAATAACTAATTCAATATCAGCAGCTTTTAAACCAGTTTCATCAACTTCAGCATCATCATCTTCTTCAGCAGCAGCTGGACCTTTAGCAGCAGCAGCTTCTAAATCAGCAGTGATTGAGGCTGGATCTTTTGGAGCTGGGTGATCATGACCTTCATGATCGTGACCTTCATGACCAGCTGGGTTAGCACCAGCTTGAGCTTCTTGTAATCTTTGGGTTAAATCTTCTAATTTAGCTTCACCGAAAACAATGTAGGTACCAGCAGCTGATTTGAAAACATCTGGTGAATCAATAGCAAAGATTTGGTTACCTCTTCTTTTGAAAGTAACTCTTGAAATACCATCAACTTTTCTCAAGTTTAATTTAGCAATAGCATCTCTAGCTTTTTTTTCGTTTTTTGAGAAAACAGAAACTTTAGCACCTTGTGGGATTTCTTCTTGGATTTCTTCGATTTTTGGGGCTTGTTCAGCAGACATTTTTATAATTGGATTGAATTGAATTGAATTCTATAACTAAACTTCTGGTTGACTTGGGTTTATTACCAACTTTTTTCAGTTTTTTTTTTCAACATACGTCGACGAAGGATGGAAAGAAATTCGCGAAGAATGTTTGTATGACTGGGTAAAATTCGCGAAGAATGCTGAGATTTATAAACTCTTGAAATATTTCAAGATACCCAAGTCGCTCAGTTTCAAACATTTGGAACAAAAGCCCTCAAAATTGTGAGATAAATGACTTTTTTGATCTTATTTTTTTTATTTGAAAGTTAAATGACTCCGTTGTATTGCTAGTGTATGTATCATAACGTCTTGATATAGGCTTGAATTCTGTCACTTGAAGTATTTTCAAAATATTATTAATCGTTGTTGAAATGTTTGAAAATTGACGCTGATCAAGACATCAAGACTTACGATAGCTTTGAATTATTTTAAAAGCATTGAGTCATGATCAGTATAATATATATGACTAAATACACATATGTTAATCTTTCTTTTTCTTACTCGATTGTTTACAATATCGTTTAGATTGAATGACAATATATGTTTTATCACTTTTTATTCAATACATACTACTTGCAGGTACGTAGTCAATACTCAAAATCTTTATATTCTTATATGTATATTTCAAATTCATGCAAATTAACTTTTAATTCATATCTAGTTATCATTAATTAATTGTTGTTTTGTCTTTATTAATCCACAAATGCATCTAATTTTGTAATTCTTGCCTCTCTACCACCATTGGGTATTTCCATCCATCTTGAAAAAGGAAATATAATTCTTGTTGCAGTACCAATAACTAACCCAGTACTTATAGGACCAAATGTATTACTATCAATAGAATGGACATTATCACCTTCTACCCATAAATGATTTCTTGGTATATGACATTGTTCTCTTGGATAAGGATATCTTGTTAATATAGTATCACCTTGAACACCTTTAACTCTTTTACAATAAATTTTTTCAGGATTTGTTGGAGATCTAAACAGTACAACATCATTTACTTGTATACCATTATAGCTTCTAATACCCCATTTCCATAATAATACCCAATCACTTGCCTTAGATGAAGGATTTAAAGTTGGTCTCATTGATGAACCTTCAATTTTTCCAACATAACAAATATGTTCATTCATAACAATCATTACGGGAACCCATGTAATCATCAATAGTGATGTTCTATATGCATATTTGAATCCATTTTTATATACTTGGCTAATCATATTGACATTTTTTTGTGACGTATTGTTTATATTGTTTGTATATTTTAGTACTACTTATGAAGAACAATATAAGGTGCTTATAGATCTGATGGGAAAGGCGCGCATTGGGAAATGGTTATGAAGACACTGGTATATAGTAGAGAAGGTACCTAGTTATAAACCCAATTAAAATAATTGGAAGATGAGATGCCTAGTGGATATCTTTTAGTTCATCGTATCCATATTTTGCTTGTAATATGTCACTTTCTATATATAAAACCCTTGATCGGATCGATCATTGGAACTATTATACAATCAATGGTCAAATGGCTAAATGACTATGAATCTGATCGTGCGAGCCACAATGAGTATCGGGCTAAAAAGAGAGAACAACATTTGCAATTAGCAATGATATACAAGTCAATACTCTATATTGACCACTGACCACTTGACCTTCCAACACACATTCTACAAACAATATTTGACTTTGACTTTGATGTATTTGAGATTTGGATTCCAGAATCCCGGGAATCAACAGGGCGTTCGGGTTCATCATCCGATGATTTACTGGACACCGGGACCTTCCCGGTCCGAGAATCATATAGCATCATTTCAATTTAAATGATCATCAATAAGAAATTTTTATCATACAAAACTTTGGAACCTGTCAAACTATAAAATCATATAAAAAGGTTTTTCCATCTCCCCTCATTAAATTAGTTGGAGTATCATCAAGTTTCAACTGCTTGGTACTTAGATTTAAAGTTCAAATTTTCTCAGAAAAGAAGAAAAGTGCTGATGGAAAAACATGTCATCATCAGTATCGGATAAACAAAATACCCCAAAAAGGTTCCTCATTTGGTTTAAAAATTTTTGTATTGCACAATGGTTTTTCATAACATTAGCTATATTTATTGTTATTGCAAGATTTGCTCCAAATTTCGCAAGACATGGTGGATTAATTAGAGCTGAATATTCTATTGGTTATGGTGCTGTTGCTGTTATTTTCTTACAATCTGGGTTATCAATGGGTACAAAAGAATTAATGAAAAATATGGGTCATTGGAGAGCTCATTTAACTATCATTGTTATATCATTTTTAATTACTTCAGCTATAATGTTTGGTTTGGCAACTGCTATAAAATCAGCTAATGATCCTCATATTGATAAATATGTTCTTTTGGGGTTATTAGTTACATGTACATGTCCAACTACTGTTTCTTCAAATGTTGTGATGACTGGTAATGCAAATGGTAATAAAGTTTTATGTTTAACTGAAGTTATGATTGGTAATATTCTAGGAGCTTTCATTTCACCAGCTATTTTACAAATGTATACATCAGCTTCAGGTTGGGAATTCGGTAATCCAGCATCTGAAACTTCAATCCAACATTTATATGGAGAAGTTATGAAACAATTAGGTTTATCAGTATTTGTACCAGTATTTGTTGGTCAAATTATACAAAATTTATTCCCCAAACAAACCAAGAAATTCTTAACAGTAACAAAATTCAATAAAGTTGGTAGTTTTTGTTTGATTTTAGTTATGTTTTCTTCATTTTCCACTGCATTTTATCAAAAAGCATTTACATCAGTTCCAAAAGCTTCAATTATATTCCTTGTTTTCTTTAATATTGGTATTTATTTATTATTTACTTTGATTTGTTTCATAATGGCAAGACCATATCCATTAAATTTTATTTTTGGTAATGAACCAAATGAAAATTCATCATTTATATATAAATGGAGTTATAAGATTTTTAAACCTTTTTATTATAATAGAGCAGATACAATTACCGTGATGTTTTGTGGTGCTGCTAAAACTGCCGCTCTAGGTGTTTCATTAGTCTCTTCACAATATGGTGATGATTATGAATACTTGGGGAGATTATTAGCAGCTTTAGTTCTTTATCAATCAGAACAAGTTATAACTGCTCAAGTTTTAGTTAATATTTTTAAAAAATGGGAAAAATTAGATCATCCTGAATTAATTGCCCAAGGGAAAAATGATGAAGAAACTGGTAAAATTGATAGTGGTGATCAAAGTATAAGTTCTGATAATGTGGAAAATAATTATGATAATAATGCAGAAGATGAAAAGAAATGAAACAAAAAATTGTTAATTAATAATACTTCCAGTCATAATATAGACATTGCATACTTGTTTGTTAGTTTTTTGTGATTATACAATATATAGATTCATACAGTTCATAATAATTAATAATTTTCAATTCTAAAGTTACACAAGTCATTTATATAGTAGTATCACATCATAGTAAGTCATAGTTTCCTTCTTTAAAAAGTTGTATCCCAAATAGCTAAAGGACCTTTTTCATTATAACTTGTTCTTGTAACAAAGAAATTTTCATTATTTGTTATGAAAATTTGTTTTGATATAATTTGTCCACCAAGGAAATTTGCATCTGAATAACCAATTTTTTTCCATTCAGGGAAATATTCTGGCATCTTACCAAATTTTATTGAATTTGGAACTTGATTAAATACTAATGATGGTGCAGTTGTTGTTTGAAATGCAGCTTGTGCTGGATTTTCTTGAATATCTTTACCAACTAAATGATCTTCGATTAATTGTGCATTTAAAGCATCTGTAAAACCTTTAATTTTGGTGGTTTTACCAATAACTAAAATATTATCCCAAGCTTCTTGACGTTTTGTTAAATCAATAATTTTATTTAATGATTGGTAAACATTTTTAGAAATTTGAGAAATTAAATTTTCTGTACCTTTAAATCTTTCTTTCCCCACTGAAATATCATTACCATCTTGATCTAAAAATGAATTGTTTTCTAATTTAGCATTTGATATTTGTTCATTTTCATTTTTTTCACGTTCTTCTAAAATTTCTCTTGTTCTACCTGATGTAACAATAGCTGCAACATCAAATTCTGTATCATTTTTCTTTAACCCATCATGACCGAAAAATGAATTTTTCTTATCTTCATCATTAAGAACTTCAAAAATTGAAGATTTTTTCAATAATTCAATTTGTTCAGGTGATAAATTATTTAAATTTTCACTAATTGATTTATTAATATCATTACCACCAAAATTTATAACTTTTTTAGCATGATTTAAGACACTATAATCAACAATTGGTGTTATTTCAGTTTTTTCATATCCAATATCAATAACAACTGCACTTGGTTGAGATCCATGTGCGTATAAAGTAGCCAATGCATTAGGTATGATTGTAAAAGCATTTAATTCCATTGATTCAAATACATATTGTGTAATATGTTCAATATCTAATCTTGACCATTCAGAATTTGATAATAACAAGAATGGGATGTTATTAACTTGTGGATGTTTTGATAAGATTGATTTATAAATTAATTTTAAAAAAAAATTAAATGCTTGAATATTTTGGATTGAACCTTTAACAATTGGATATATTACATTTGATTCTTCACCTTTAGAAAGAAATGTGCCTGGTTTATCAGGGTTACTATAGACTTTTGTTGGGATTTCTATCACTGGAGGGGCAAATACACCATCATGTAAACCAAATTGTACTAAAGTTATTTGAGAACCTGGTGATATTATCTAAAAAGATTGCATATGTTAGTATTCAAAGGAGCCATACTAACCCAGTTAAAATCAGGTTTATCTGAAAAAAAAGGCAAAAATCACACATACTAGGAAATGTTCTTCGTGGAACGGGGCCATTGTGATATGTAAATGGAAAGTTTAGATCAAACGATACTGATCTTTGGAATCTCTATGAACTTTCTAGATTTGATTGTTTTTTGTTTTGATGTTTCCAGCTTTCGAGATTTTTGAAAAATGGATTTTAAAATCGCGAAAACAAAGTACTAAACTATGGCACATTAGTAAGAGCTTAGATGCCTCAATATATAGTAGAGATATAACTGATATGATTAAAAATTCAACTGTTTTAGGCTTCAAATAATATATCATTATTTTTCTAAATGTTCATATCCTTCTTATTTATTGACTTACCCTTTTAGGAAAGTTAATTAGGGCGTCACCCGGCAGATGCGTAACGCGCATTTTTCGCGAAGCTTTTAAGCGTATAACCTCTGAAACTTTTCAAGAATTATAGAAGAATTGAGAAAGTACTAGGTAATTCTATTTAGAAAGAGTATCATATTGGTGGTTAATAGGCACAGAACACAATGGCTAGGATATCGACGCCCAACAGTAATAGAAGAGGAAGAAACAATGATGGAATCTATAGAAATATACCAGGAGATCCAATACCTACAGGGAGAAGGAAACCAAGATATAAACCAGGTACAAAAGCTTTAAAAGAAATTAGAAAGTTCCAAAAATCAACAGATCTACTGATTGCTAAACTACCCTTTGCTAGAGTTGTTAGAGAAGTTGCCATGTCATATATTGGTGAAGATGTTGCTTTAAGATGGCAATCTGTTGCGATTTTAGCATTACAAGAAGCTGCTGAAGCATTTCTTGTTAGTTTATTTGAAGATACAAATTTGCTGGCGTTACATGCTAAAAGAGTTACTATCATGCAAAAGGATATTCAATTGGCTAGAAGAATTAGAGGAACGTATTGATTACGTCTTGACATTTTGAAATGTTATTGTATTATATTAAGATAATTGAGGAGTTATTCTTCAGTTTATAATGAGTTTGATGTTATATTACTTATTTTTATGTTTGGTTTTCTTTGTATTTGTGATTCAAATATTTGTTATTTATAATGTTGCATTATACATGTGTGTGTGTTTTTTTTTTTCATTGTGTATATTAGAAGTGGATTAATAAGATGGTCAAAAAGGGCTACAATACTTAATTTATAAATTATAATTAAATGTAGTAAATTAAACATGAGATTTAAACAAAATTGAAAATAAAATAAAATGATAAAACAACTTAAAACATAAAAAAGAACATTGTCCGAGAAATTGATTAAATAAAATGATAACTTATATAATCATACCATACTAAAATAAATTTATTGTACATGAAACTTCAAATTTTTAATACAACTTTTAAACCAAAACAAAAACATAATGAAACAGCTAGATAACCAACAGAGAAAAGAGTAAATGGGTAATTTAGGCAAGAACTAAATATAATCAAATCATACACGTTCCAAATAATTATATGGCGCAAGACCAGTATTACCATCTTCTAATCTTTCACATTCCCACCAACCATCATCTTGCATATGAACAACTAATAAAATATCACCTTCTTTAAAAGATAATTCTTCATTTATAGTTGCTTTGAAATCAAAAATTGCCTTTGCATGTTTAATAACTCTTCTACCTTGTCTTGTTATTAATGGTAATCCATTAGTTGCAACTTTAGATTGTAAATTTATTGTTGATTTACTTTGTGATCTTAATCCTGCATGGAATGAAGAACGTTTCATTGATGGATCCTCAGTGATTAATTGTGGATGTGAATCTATAACCATTGATTTTGGTCTTATTGTTGTAGCATTTGTTCTTTCACTTGACATTGAACTATTAAAATCTGGTGCTGTTGGGGTTTCTGTTAAATCAATGAATGTTGGTTTAGATTTACGTGGTTCTGATCTCATAATTGGATTCATTTGTTGTTGTTGTTGTTGCTGTTGTGGAGTTGATGTTTGTTGGTTTGTATTTTGTAAAACTTGACGAAATTTATTCATATCACCATTACCACCAATTTTTAAATCTTCTAATGTAGCTCTTAAAGGATCTTGATTTGATGGTATAACATATGGTTGATTAACTTTTTTAGGTGTAGTATCAAGGATAAATGATCTTCTATTTGAATTTTTTCTATTCCAACTTTCATTAAATTCTGAATTTCTTGAACGACGACGTGATGGAGAATTCCAATTCTTGGATAATCTTAAATCATTATCAATACTTTCTGTAAAACTTGAAATTGAAGTTGGATTTGAATATTCACTTTCTTTTCTATGTAATTGAGTTCCAATTGATGAAGGATTTGATATAGAAGTTTGTCCATCATCTGAAGGTGGTGGTCTTCTTTGTAATTTTGTTGAAGAATGTTGTGAGCCATTATTTGATGGAGCATAACGTTGTTCCCCAGTTTTCTGTGAATGTAATCTAGTTGTTGTTGTTGGTGTTGGAACTTGAGTAGAAGCTGATGTTGATCTTGAATCAAAAGCACTTATAACTTCAGGTAAACCAACTTCATCACGATCACCATTTAAATAATCAATAAATTTTGGTGAAGAATAAATTTCTGAACCAGTTTTAAATTTTTTAACAAATGTTGAAATTTCTTTTGAAGGATCACATAATTCTAATGAAGATCTTATATTTTCACATGAAGCATCATCAGTAACACATGAAGTTGAAACAGTATTTGTATATTCCCAAATATTTGAAATTAAAAATTGTATTCTTTCAATTTCTAAATCTTGTAACTTTGTACTTGAATTTTTCCATTCATCAATCCAAATATTTTGTGTATGTTCTAAATTTTGAACAGCTAACAAGTATTCTTCCCTTAATTCATTAACAATACGTTGTTGTCTATAAGCTCTATCTTGATTTTTTTCTAATTCTTTACCTAAAAGTAATGATTCTTGAGCAATATAACTATTTAATTTTGTAACTTCATTTGAATATTTCTCTTTTAATCTTGCAACTTGAATTTCTAATTGATTTTTAGTTTTCTTGATATTTTCCACTGAAGTTTCTAATGGTTTACATCTTGCTAAAAAATTTGATAAAAATGAATCAACTTTTAATAAAGCTTCACTATGTAATTTTCTTGCTTCATTTAAATGAGATCTTGACATTTGTTCAGTTTCATTTCTTAAAGTTTCAAAAGATTCTCTTAATAATCCAGTTTCAAATGTTCCTCTTGATTTCTTAGAGATGGCATTTAAACGACGTGAATATTCTTCCTCGAGTTGAACACGCTCTTTATAAAATGCTAATAATTCTTCACAAGTTTGAGCACCTTGATGCATTCTATTAATCACAACTTCAGATCCTCTATCATCTTTACCCTGTGATGATTATTGTTAGTACTATTATTCATTTGTAAACAATGGATCTAAAGATCTAAAGCTTCAAATACATACCCAAAAACTGGTGGTAAATGATGGACCTAGTGTAGTAGCCATAATCACTTAATATAATTCTCTTTTCAAGTCTTTTATCTCTTTATGTTTGAAGTATCTCTTTGGTTAAAGTCAGAAGATGAATTATAAAAACAACACAGAGTACATTAGAATCAAATCTAAAGCCCCAATTCCCGTACCAAAACTCTGAGAAAAATAGAAAAACTTCATATGTATGTAATTTTCCAAATCATTTTGACTGTTTTCGTTTTGCCGTTTTAGGAAATGTCATTAAAAGCGCTGGAAGAATTACCGAATCGGGTAATTTTGATGTCAGCTGACTGAAAACGTGACATTTTAATTTAATTTTCTGTCATTTTCAAATGTGTCACTTTTATGGGAATTTTGAATTTTGCCTCTTTAAGAAAGCAGACAATTAAAAGATTAAAGGAGAGAGAATTAATTACAAAAGAAAGAAACATATTGGTTTATTATATAATAGAATATACTACTCAAGATGTCATGGTTTGGATCTAATACCGTGTCTATTGATTCCCAAATAGAAAAAGCTACAGATGAATCAATCCCATTTGGTGAAACTGATTTATCAACTTCATTAGAAATTACAGATTTAATTAGAAGTAAACAAGTATTACCAAAAGATGCAATGAGATCATTGAAAAAAAGATTAACTTCTAGTAAAAACCCAAACACTCAATTATCAACATTACATTTAATTGATACATGTGTTAAAAATGGTGGATATCATTTCATTGTGGAGATATCAACAAGAGAATTTATTGATTCAATAAATTTAATAATTCGTGATGATGAAACAAATGAAAATGTTAGAGATTTAGCATTAGATTTAATTCAAAATTGGTCATTAGCTTTCAAAGATAATTTCCAATTTAAATATTTGGGACAAATTTATGAAAATTTACAAAAATCTGGTTATTCATTTCCAACTGTTGGTAGTGAAATTTCTACAAAATTATTTGATTCAAATGCACCACCAGAATGGGAAGATTCAGATGCATGTATGATTTGTTCTACATTATTTTCAATGTTGAATAGGAAACATCATTGTAGAAATTGTGGTGGTGTATTTTGTACAACTCATTCTTCAAAATTCTTGTCATTATCTCATTTAGGTATAATTGAACCAGTTCGTGTTTGTGATACATGTTTTGATGAATTAGATTCTAAAAAGAGTAAAGGTAAGAAAACAAGAAGATCAAAACATCAAAAAGATGTTAGTCGTGCAAGAGCTCAATATGATAGTGATGATGATGAAGATTTGAAAAAAGCATTGGAGTTAAGTCTTCGAGAAAGTCAAGGTTTTACACAAGTTCCAATCCCAGTTATCCCATCAAAACAAGATCAAAAATCATCATCACAACAACAAAAACAAACATCAAATGAAGATGAAGAAGATGAAGATATGAAAGCTGCAATTGCGGCAAGTTTAAAAGATTTAGAAGATAAGAAACAAGCTTTAGAACAACAACAACAACAACAACAACAACAGCCACCACAAGATAATAGTCCATATGCTAATTTATTACCTCAATCATCAGGATATCAACAACAGCAACAACATGTACAACAACAAGTTCAACAACCACCTCAAGACTTACCAAACTATTTAACATCTCAAGATGAATCAAATATTATTCAATTTAATAATAAAGTATCATATTATGAATCAACACCATATGCACAAAATGATTTAAATGAATTACATAATTCATATAGACAAGTTATACCTACAATTCCTAAAATTTCATATGAATTAAATAATAGTATAAATAAATATGATGAATTTATTGATTTAAATTCTAAAATTGATACAGTTATGAGATTATATAATAAGATGCTTGATGATAAAATTGAAAAAGAGAATAATTTAACAAGAGCACCTGTTCCAGTACCAAGTGATCCATATGGTTATCAACAACAATATCAACATTATCCATCTCAACAATATCAACAACAATATCAATCTCAACAATATAATCAACAACAAGGTTATACACCATTGAATCAACAATATTCTGGACAAACACCACAATTTGTTCAATCACCAAGTTTGGAACGTCAACAAGTTGAATTACAAAAACAATCATATCAATCACCAGTACAACAATATTTACAACCACATTTACAACAAGTTCAAAGTTCACCTCAATTACAACAACAAGCTCCACAAGTTCCTCAACAAGCACCACAACAAGCACCTCAGCCTAGATATGAAGAATCCGTACCATCCTACAATGAAGCATTGGAACAAGAACCACAAGAATATCAACCTCCACAAGAAGAAGAAGAAGAAGAAGAGGAATTTTCAGCACCACCATCACAAATCCCTTATGAGAATAAAGTTGAAGAACCTATACCACAACATTTACCATCTGAACCATCAATCCCAGTATCACAACCACAACAAGTACAACAAATACCATCACAACAAGTACCATCACAAGTACCAAATGGATATAAATATCAACAAAAAGTTACAGATTTTTCATTCCCTACTGTGCCATTGAATAAACCACCTCAAGAAGAAACAATCCATGTTAAAGAAGATAAGAAACCAATTGTGGAAGAAACATTGATTGAATTGTGAAGTGTGTATAATTTCTATACTATAATTTTATTGGTATTAACTCTGTAGAATAATGCATATTCAATGGAATATAATACAGAAGTCGATAGAACAACAATAACATAATACAATAGATCTAATAAATAAATAATTTAATCAGCTAATCGTCTATACAATCTATCTAATTACTACTATTCTTATTCTTCTTCTTCTTTCCATTATTTGTTCTAGATCTGATCTCTTTATTGTATTATATAAACATTGGTACACACCACATTCTGATTCTGATCCCACTTTTCATTTTATGGGGAATTTAATTCATTTTCAATTTATTCAGCGGTTGATTACAAGATCAGAGATCAGAGAAACAATTAAGGATTATATATAGAAGAATTATAAGGATACAATGTCCAGTCCCAATGTCATCAACACTTCAAAATTAGGAGAAATAGTCCCACCAAATTTACCTCGTTTGAATAGATCAAATGGTTCAAGTGGTCATAATTCATCAACTCATACACCCAGAGGAAGTTATATCCCACAATATCTACAAAATGAATCAAATTTAACATCTCAATTCAACTATAGTTTCATAAATACTGATTTCATTGATGATTCTGACCCTCAATTAAACCCATCCTCAGTTAGTGCTTTTAGAAATTTAACTTCAACTCCTAAATCAAGTTTTACACCAAGTTCTTTACCAAAATCTTTACCAATTGATTGGAATCTGTTCAACAAGCAATTTAAACTGAATCAAAAGTTAAGACAATCAAGATTGAAGAAAAGAAAAATTGGTGAACCTGAAATTAAGAATAATTTTGAAAATTTACCATTCCAAGTTATTGATTTCATTGCTGATTGTGTTGAACATCAAACTGATTTAATTAATCTAAGTCAAACTTGTCGATTTTTCAATAAAATCATTAATAAAAGGTTATATTCCAAAATTATTATAGTGGATAATATCATATCAAAATATAAAAATTATAATTCAAATTATACACTGTTAGATGTCAAGAATTATCCAAAATTTTTAGCAACTTTACATTCAAATGATGAAATCTTATACATTATTAAAGAAATTATTATTGATACTTCATCTAATAACATCAGTTATGATCAATTAACAAACAATATTTTTGAACCACTATATGAATTATTCATCACTTCAAATAATAATTTACAAAAATTAGAAAACTTGGATTTAAATAATTTGAAGAAATTTGATACCTTGTTACAATTCAATAGAAATTACTTGATTAAACATAATAATAACAAGTATAACTATTATTTATCACAACCAGATCAATTAGACCAAGTCTTAAGAACTGATTTATTAAATTTACAAAATTTCCAATTATTAGATTTAAATGATTTAAATAAATTACCTGATTCAACAAAATCAATCTCTATATTAATTGAAAATAAACATAATTTTAAAACAGCTTTCCAATTAACCAAATATGGTTGGTCCATATTATCAAATTTATCATCATTACAATTAAGTACAACAACAACTTTTGATTTATTTATAAATGAATTATATAAAATTTATCAAAATCAACCAAATTTAATAAAATTATCAAATATAAAACAATTATCAATTTCAAATATTCATAAATATGAAGATGACTTCACATCTCATTCAAATGAATTAAATTTCAAAAAATTAAATTCCATAATTGATTTATCAAAAATTGAAGAATTAGAATTAAAAATCAAATGTTTTGAAAATATCCTATGTAACATTTGTATCATGAAATTTTTCCATGATTGGTATGAAAATTTATTATCTCAAGATGATGAATCAAGTTCAATTACTGCATTATCAATCATAAATCAATCTCCTTCATCAAATTCAAATATAAACATTCAATGGGATGATATCTTGACAAATGAAATATTTCTACAAAAATTTGGCAATAATCTTAAAACTTTTTTCATAAATTTAAATGATTTCCCATTCATACCTATATTTGTTAAGACCCAAGCATTTGAAACCCAGGATTCAATGAAATTACCAATAAATCAAACAATCTTAGAGAAAAGAAAAAAAATGTATGATTCCATTCTTGCCAATTTCACAAATTTAGAAAAATTAATCATTCCGGATTTTTTTTATAATTGGTTAGTTTATAATAACATTAAAGATCTAACCACAGATGAAAACTTAAACTATTTAAATTACTTGGATCAATGTAATTGTGAAAATTGTTGTGAGGCAAGATTGATTTTTAAAACAAATTCATCCAAAACTGCATTTAAAGATTTTAAAGGACGTTTTAATTCAAACCTAAACTATAATACACCTGGACAAACATATTATAATAAATTAAATGATTCCCCAGATTCTTATAGAATTTTTTATAATTATTTAATTAGAGAATTAAAATCAAGAATCCCATTAAAACAATTAAATAAGATTCAAAATTCTTTAAAACATGAAAAATTCCCACCAAATCAAATTCAAAATTCAATTATTAGTGATGAAGATTTCCAACATATAATAAAATTAATTATTCATTCATTGAGACCTGAAATTTATAAAATTTTGAAAAAATTACCTAAAATTAAGAAATTTAATTTAGGTGGGATCTTATTTGATTGTTATAGAATTTCGGATAAAGAAGTTTTTGTTAAGGCTGTTTATGATGATTATAATGAGGTCTTTAAAGCTTAGAATCGAAAACATATCTATTTATTTATGAATAAAATTTTTAGCATTTTTATGAATAATTGTAAGATATATTTAAATGCGTAATATGATTATGATCTCGGGTTTATAAAAGCACATTCTTTATTTATCCGAACCTCCGAGTTAAATCGAAATAAGTACAGCTTTAAAATTTAAATAAATTAAGGATTAGGTATTGTCAACGGTTTAAGCCAAATAGATATTAGTTATATAAAACATTTCCATGTTGATTATTATATATATATTCATATCATTAAAAAAATTGAAGGGTTTTAATAACAGCTTTGATGGGATATGTCGTTTCCCCAAATACTAATAAGGAAAAAAGTTCTCAATATATACTCAATTAGTCATGCAATTTTACTGAACTGTTTAATCAATCAAGTAATATATTACCAAGCTTTATGTAAAGTATACTACTAAAGTTATTTGTCGTTAATTCATATTTTTGTTCTGTATTCCCAGAATCAATGTTAAGAATCATAAGCCAACAGATGGAAATTTAAACACAATGATTCAAACTATTATATCATCAATAAGATCATTTTCAATTAGAATTGGTGATTCTTTCCATGTCTTATATACTGAAAGAAATATTCTTGAAGCATTATCAGTTTTGTTAGGTTATCCTAGGGGTTTTGGTAAGATTTATATTCTTCGCTCATTTTATAATACAACTTATAGACCTTTTTGGAGATTAAATAGATTATTATGCCCAATAAGATATCATTTATCCAAAAGATTAAATTCGTTATATCAATGGACTTACCATTCAAAATTAAAGTCTTTAATAAAGAAGAATGAAGATTTCCAAGACTTTGATGTTTCAAAGATTGATGATATTGAAAAACCTGTCTCAAATCATAATGGAAATGTTAATGAACTTGTGCTTCCAATGGAAATTTGGGAAATCATTGCACAGATAGGTAAAATTGATTATTCAATCATGTTGAATATTAATAAATCATTCTTGAACACATTTGCACCAAAAATCTATGATACCTTAAAATTAACAATTGTTTTAACACCATTAACCAAGATGAAACTTAATGATGAGGCGTTCTTAAAGAATGGACCTGATCTTATCATGGATACCAAATACTACGATTCATACTCAATATACAAAAGACATCAAGAGAGTAAAAAATTTGATTATGAATTTTTAGATACTTCAATTCGTGATCAAGATTATTTTAAAGGTATTGATCCTAAACAAATTAAAAGACATCACCATCCTACCATGTCCGAGTCTAAGGATAGAGGTGAAAATGTAAACCATCCATTTGAAGTAAGAAGTTTAAGAAAGATTCAATTTATTTTGAAAAACATTTTGCAAAATCCAAACTCAATAATGAAGAGTTTTATCAAAGACATTTTGGTTGATATATGTATATTTGATGGGTTTAATAAACTCATGACTATGAAACAAAGATTTTCTAGTGGTTATGAATCATTAAAAGAATTGATTGATCAGGAAATCAAACAGAATGAACATGTTTCAGTTATGAAAGTTAACTCAGGTCAAAATGAATTCAAATCTATTTCGGTTATACCTTTTGACGATAACTTTGATAGAATAAGATGGCAAGATCCTCTTCTAAATAGAAAAATAAGAAATTCCAGAATGATCGGAAGTATCAAAACCAAATTTAAAGAACATACTTTCTCCCATCTTGGTTATATATTCCCGCAAAATATTTATTACAAAGAGCTGCTGAGTGTTTATTTACTGTCTGATCATCTTTATTCACATATATTAAGAAGGCGATTGAGTAAATTTGAAAAATCAATGTATTTTCAAAATGCTAATCCAATAAAGCATTGGCGTTATACTGTTTTGAATCACTGTTACAATAGGATAACGAAAAGAGTTAATCGGCCAAGTTATTATAAAATGATTGTTACTGGTCAATCATGTGTTAAGATTGAGGATCGTGAATTTAAAACTGAACTTCAAGTTTATGAAATTTTGAAAACTTTGATTGAGACTTTAATCGTTAAGTCAGATAATGGTGTTGGAGGAAATAGCTATGGATTAGATCATGTCCAATCTTCTATCCTAATCTTAGGTATAGACGATGGGATACCTCAAGTTTCAAAAGAATTTACACAAAATTTATCACACATGGATAATAGAAGGAATCCTTTACTCAAGTTGACTCCTCAACTAATTCTTATAAATAAATCAGCGACCACAGAAGAAACTATATAAGCTTAAATATATAAAAGTTTTTAGCTCTTGGTCCTACATGTGTGATATTAAGTTAATATAACAAAATGCTTTGATATTGGTTCTGAAATTGAAATCATGTAAATATAGCCTAACTTTTATTCAACGAAGTTAGATTTATCGTCGAAATGAGGATTATATCACCATTTTCGTATAATATTTCCAATTGATGTATATGGTTTGTATAATTTCTGCTTATTTGAAAGATCCTTATAGTCAAGTTATGTACAATTCGATAAAAAATAGTTTATATATGTCTTAAGATCTCGGGTTTATAAACTCTTTTTTTATATATTTATCCGCCCCGCAAATTAAAGAAAACGCACATATTGAAGACCTTTAATGAGAAATATATATTTGTTTCTATATATCTATTATTCTCAAACTTCAAATATTATACTTATGTAAGTCTCATAGCTTCAAAACGGGTTTGAAATTTTGATGATTTAGAGAGCTGACAATTTGAGATTAATATATGTTTTAAGAGATCTATAAAATTTTAATTTTTGAAAAAACAATAAAAAAGTCCGTTTTTTTTTGGCTTAAATGAATAAAGAGAGCCTTAATTAATGCAAAGCTTTATTCTTATCACAATTTAATTGGAAAGTAGATTAATTTATTCTAATTTAAATCTTAATTATTTATTACATAATCAAGATTAAAATCGGACGTCTTTATTTCAATTACGTAATTTTCCGATGTTTTTAAAATTAGTTGCGTATAATTTTGAACAATCAAAGAAATTTATATAAATATTAAAGATTGCCATTATTACATTATTGCCATCAAAACAATTTTCAATAAAAGCTAAAGATCTGCTATTGACAAGGTGATATAGAGGTTCAAGATGGTGCAGTACACTTGTAACACATGCTCAGTATCGTTAGATGATCAAGAAATGTTAAAACATTTATCATCAACAAGGCATAAATCAGTGATTCATTCTCCAACTCAGGAAACTCTTGAATGTGAAAGTTGTCAAGATTCAAATATTCATCAATTGATTATTATTAGATATGGAGGTCAAGATATCTCACTACTTTGTCAAACTTGTTTCCAAAAAGAACAGGATAAACCTTCAACTCAATATACTTTAAATAATGGATCTATATTGAAGAATTTTGAAAATTATTTGAAAATTAGAGATTTAGAATGTGGTCTTTGTGGTAATGATTCTCACTTACAAATTGATAAAAATCAACCTGATTTTGTTGTTTGTTATAAATGTATCCAAAATAATGAATTACAATCTAAAAGAGATTTCATAAAAGAATCCGATGATAATTTTCTATATGTTTTCTTGGGAATTAAAGAACATGTTAAATCTTCAAAACCTTTGAAAAAAAGAACAAGACAAGTAGGAAGAGGTAAAAAGGGTAAAGGAAGATTTGGAAAAGGTAAACCATCAACCGGCGGTCCTAAAAGAATTGGTACTCCATCAGAACATAATACAACATTAAGATCTTTCCAAGCCTTATCTAAAAATCAAGTTGATAAGATTAAACCAAAAGATGAAATCAATGAACCACCTCAAAATATTGTTAAAGTTGATAAAAAACCAGATAATAAGAATGGGAAATTCAATGGGAAATCTTCACCAAGACCAGTAGGTTCTAAACCGCCGGGTTCAAAGTTTGATAAAGGTCCAAGATCATCGGGATTCAAGACAGAAACTTCAAGACCAACAGGTCCCTATAAACCAACGGGATCTAAACCAACAGGCCCAAAGACAACAGGCCCAAAGACAGGGAGCTCAAAAACTTCAGCTCCTAAGACATCAGGTCCCAAACCAACAGGTCCTAAAACAGCAGGTACAAAGACCACAGGTCCTAAATCTTCAAAACCAGCATCAAATGATTCTAAAGATCTAACAACAAATATCACTGAAAAAATTGAAGATTTACAAATATCTGATAAGACTAAACCTGAAACTAAGAATTCATCAAATAATAAAAATAAAGATAATAGCAAACCAAGGGTAAATGGTAAAGACCAATCAACGGGTAAATCAACTGGAAAATCAGCTAATAAACCAGGTAGATCCTCTGATAAACTAGATAAACAAACTGATAAACCAGGTAGACATTCTGATAAGCCAACTAGAAAACCAACTGAGAAACCTGAAAGAAAATCAAATGGTCCATCAAAAGAACCTATAAAATCAAATGATAAATCCAAACTACAAGGTAAAACTGGTAAAATTGATAATAAATTCAATAAACCAAAAAGTCCTAAAGATTCCAAAGGAAAACCAACATCTAAAATAGATGATAAAAATCAAACAAAATCTACAAACCCTCCAATTAAAAAAGAATCAACACCAGTCGTGGAAGAAGATTATGAAGAATTAGAGCATATACCAAAATACCTAAGTAATAAACCAAAATTATCTTATGATTCATTAGATGAATATTTTAAAGAAATGTGTTTCCATTTATATTTGGAAGAAAAATTATCATCTCAACCAATTACAAATTTCCATACAGAATGGCATGTTGATAATAAAAATTTATTCAAAGTTACTATACCATTCACCGAAGAAATTGAAAATTTAATCCCACCAAAATTAAGAAATTTAGGTAAATTACCATTTAGTATGAATCAATCAATTTTTGTTGCTAAATCAAATGATAAAGATAATATTTGGGATTGTTTTGTAAAAGATTTGAATTTAATCAAAAGAAATGGTAAAAAAATTGAATTACTATTAGAATTATATAAGTGGAATAATAGTGAAAATTTCCCAATTGGTTCTTCAAATTTATCAATTATTCCATGTTCTGCTACTATAACAAGAATTTTATTTGCAATGTCAAGAATTTCAAATGAAAGATTTATCAAGATGTTATTAGGTAAAGATCCAATTAGACAAATTAATTTTAAGAATAGATTACAATTCACCAAGGATACTTTCAATGATTCTCAAAAAGAAGCTATTCAACATGTCTTGAATAATGCAATCACTGTGTTACAAGGTCCTCCAGGTACAGGTAAAACTTCCACAATTTATGAAATTATTTTACAATTATTTAGAAATTTGAAAACTTGGCCAATTTTAGTTGTTGCAGCTTCAAATATTGCAATTGATAATATTGCAGAAAAATTGAAAGCAGATGATGATTTAAATATCTTGAGAATTGTTTCTACTGAAAAGGAGAAAGAATATAATGAAAAACATCATTTATATGATGTTTGTTTACATCAACAAATTTTCCAAAGATTACCTGAACAAAATAAACAAATTGCATTAGATTTAAGATATAATAGAAAACCTGTTAGTCAGAATCAATATAAAAAATTATTAACTATTCAAAATTCTATTATTGAAAAATTAGTTGCACAGGCTCAAGTTATTTTAACAACTTCAGTTGTTGCAGGTGGTTATCAATTGAAAAATTTAAAAAAATTACCAGTTGTTATTATGGATGAAAGTACTCAATCTTCAGAAGCAACTTCATTAATTCCTCTAAGTATGCCAGGTGTTGATAAATTTGTTTTTGTGGGTGATGATAAACAATTAAGTTCATTTAGTGAAGTTCCATATTTAGAACAATCACTTTTTGAAAGAGTGTTGAATAATGGTACTTATAGAAATCCACACATGTTGAATGTTCAATACAGAATGCATCCAAAAATTTCAGAATTCCCAATTAAAAGATTTTATAGAAATTTATTATCAAATGGTGTTACTGAAGAAGATAGATTTATTGAAGGTATTAATCCATTAGTATTTGTTGATTATGGTTCAATTCATCAAGAATCAAAAGTTTCAAATTTCAAAAGATTTAATGGTGGTGGTTATACTTTTACAAATCATGGTGAAGCAAAATTAATTTTAAAAATATTAAAAGATTTAATCTTTACAAAGAATATTAATAAAGAAGATATAAGTGTTATTACACCATATTCAGCACAAAGAGATCTATTAGCTACTACATTCCAAAAAGATGATTTAATTAATCCAAATAATGAAGACATTGAAGAAGAAGTTGATGAAGATTCATTAACAAATAAAAAACCAACTACAATTAAAACCATTTGTAATATTATGGTTAGTTCAATTGATGCATTCCAAGGTCGTGAAAAGAACTTTATTATCTTCTCATGTGTCAGATCAAATGAAGAATCCAAGATTGGGTTTGTTAAAGATGAAAGAAGATTAAATGTTGCATTAACAAGAGCAAGAAATGGATTAATTCTTGTTGGTAATAAGCAATGTATGAGTCTTGGTGATCCATTATGGAAAGAGTTGACTGATCACTTGGAATCTAATGACTCCATAGTCACACCAGAATCATTAAACTTATAGATTTATAGACTAGAATGATAGAATAAAATTTATCTATTATAGTAGTCCCCATACCAAAACTCAGTATTAACCCTTCTTGAAATGACAGCATGGGGGCACCGAAAAAAAATCCACCACTGCAAAATTTCGCAAATACCACCAAAATTCGTGGGTTAATTTTGAAGAATTAATCAATGAAATGGACTTTAAATGAGGTTTAAACTGGTCTAATTTGATGAAAATTGTACCATTATGATCCAATTATTCAACTTAGTCATAGCTATTCACTTTCCCACGCAAAATTCCCAATTCCCACTATCAAAATAACCATTGTCGCTACGTTTTACTCCTTGTGGGTGTGCTCTAAATTTGCCCGGTTCGCGACGCACCGGCCATTTTCAAACACCTGATGCGAAAAAACGAAAAGTAAATTTATCGATTTTGAATTCAAAATTCAATAATACATTCAATTGATAATTTGTTTGGTTTGAAAATAGTAGAAGTATTCAACTTTTATTAGAGGTTTGCAATTCTCCCCCATTTTCAACTAAATATTCAACACAACTAAACTTTCCCGGAGGAGTTCAGACTACTATACAAAGATGATGTTGAAGAATATTGTTCGTCCTCTTTCAAACACAACTTCTTTGAGATCAACTCAAAGAGTTGCCAGAACTATGGCCACTGAAGCCAACCAAGATGATGAAGTAAGTAGATTGTTATTATATTTTTGGATCGATGATGAATTGTGGATAATGGAGATGAATTGATTGGATTTTAATTGGTTCTTTGATTGTTTTGTGATTGTTTTTTTGATATCTAGGAAAGATAGGGGACAATCAAGATTTAGATCTATACAACCACAAATCACCAAATTTTCAATCCAAATCAGTGGGAAACACTAGACAATGTTTAATTACTAACCCGTTTTCACACAGATTGTCACTATTAACTTACCAGCTTCATCATTTGAAGGTTATGAATTAGAAGTTCCAGAAACTACTTTCCAAACTTCAAAATCAACTTTATTATCAATGTACAAAGAAATGATTATTATTAGAAGAATGGAAATGGCTTCTGATGCTTTATATAAAGCTAAAAAAATTAGAGGTTTCTGTCATTTATCTGTTGGTCAAGAAGCTATTGCTGTTGGTATTGAAAATGCCATCACTAAAAAAGATTCCGTTATTACTTCATATAGATGTCATGGTTTCACTTATATGAGAGGTTCTCCAGTTAAAGATGTCTTGGGTGAATTAATGGGTCGTCGTTGTGGTGTTTCTTATGGTAAAGGTGGTTCTATGCATATGTATACCACTGGTTTCTACGGTGGTAATGGTATTGTTGGTGCTCAAGTTCCATTAGGTGCTGGTTTAGCTTTTGCTCATAAATATAGAAATGAAGATAATTGTTCATTTACTCTTTATGGTGATGGTGCTGCTAATCAAGGTCAAGTTTTCGAATCTTATAACATGGCAAAATTATGGAATTTACCATGTATTTTCGCTTGTGAAAATAATAAATATGGTATGGGTACTTCAGCTGCTAGATCTTCAGCTTTAACTGATTATTACAAGAGAGGTCAATATATTCCAGGTTTAAAAGTTAATGGTATGGATGTTTTAGCTTCTTATCAAGCTTCTAAATTTGCTAAAGATTGGGCAATTTCTGGTAATGGTCCATTAGTTTTAGAATATGAAACTTATAGATATGGTGGTCATTCAATGTCTGATCCAGGTACTACTTATAGAACAAGAGAAGAAATTCAACATATGAGATCAAGAAATGATCCAATTGCTGGATTAAAAGCTACTTTATTAGAATTAGGTATTGCTACTGAAGAAGAAATTAAATCTTATGATAAGGCTGCTAGATCTTATGTTGATGAACAAGTTGAATTAGCTGATGCTTCTCCAGCTCCAGAAGCTAAAATGTCTATTTTATTCGAAGATATTTATGTTCCAGGTTCTGAAGTTCCAACTTTAAGAGGTCGTATCTCTGATGATACTTGGGATTTCACTAAAAATGATTTTTTAAACAAAGTTTATTAAATTAAATATTCATAAATTTAAAAAATAATTTATATATATATATATATGAAAGATATAAAATGATATAATGTAATTGATTTTCAAATGTAGTTTCTCTACAAAGAGGGTATAAATTTACAAATTTCATTACTATATTCAAGGTTTAATACACAAATTTATTTAATCATAGATAAATTCTTCTCTTCATTATTTAGCAACAGCAGCAGAAGCTTGTTGAGCTTGTTGTTTTTCAAATTCTAATTGTTTTTCTAATTGTTTTTGCATCATTTCTTCTTGACTTGGTAAATTACCTTCGACAATATCTTTTAATTTAAAAGTTTCTTTTGGCATTTCAGATTGTTTTTTCAATTTTTCTTCTTCTTCTTTAACTAATTTTTGGAAAAATTGATAATTTTTAACACCTTCATCATGAATTGCATCTAATGGGAATTTTTGCTTTACAACTGGTAAACCTAATAATTTATTTAATAAATTTGTTGAACCTTTTTTTTCTTGATCTTTATTAAATTCTTGACGTAATTTTTCAGTTCTTTCTAAAAATTCTTCAGAAATTTTTTCTTTATTTTTAAAAGAAGCTAAAACAGGTCTAACATCTTTAATTTGTTGAGTTGCAAGATATTCTAATAATGGGATTAATTTAATTAATTCATCATCAGCTTTACCATTCCATGGAGCTAATTTAATAGCATTTTCAGGTTGTAATTTAATTGAATTTTCATCATTTTCAATAATTAAAACTTTTGAAATATCTCTATTTAATTTTGATAAATCTTTAATATGAGCACCATCTTTATATAAACAATGTTCTTTATATAATTGATAACTAATATAAGCACGTAATGGATCTAATTTTTCAACAACTTTTTCACTATACATCATATAATTTGAACTGAATAAAACAATTTCATAGTATTGTGATAAATAACCCAAGAAATAATCAACACCTGGTCTTTTAGCAGTTTTCCAACCATTTTTAGTATCCCATTCACTATGAATTAAGAAATCTTCTAAAGTTAAAACTAAAGTTAAAGGACGTTTATATGGTTCTGGAGGAGAATCTGGTAATAAATCTGGGAATGGAGGTTCTTGGAAATAAGTGAAAATTGAACTAAATCTAGCATTAAATCTTTTCCACATTAAATCAAATGAATAACCATTTGGAATATTTTGTTTCAATTCTTTATCTTCATCTTCTTCCCAATCTCTAGCTAAATAACCAATACCACCAAAAGCAGTTGCAAAGAAACCTAAATAGAATAAATTGGCAGCTCTTTCTCTTTTAACATCAGTAGAACTTTGTCTAGTACGTTTCTTTCTTGGTTTACCATCTTGATCTTCAGTTGATGATTCTTCAGATTCATTCTTTGTTGTAGATTCTTGTTCACCATTGGCACTAGATTTAGTTGGTTCTTCAACATCAACACCGGCTTTTGCTAATAAATCATCAGTCAAGATTGAATTTGATTTATCATCTTTCTTTTTGTCATTAGATCTAATTAATGAAGATGAAATGTATCTTAGTTGGTATTGACCATGAGCAGCAGCAGCAGTTGTAACTCTCAAGCCTTGTCTTGCACCTATGGTTCTAGCAGCAGTAGCCACCTGGGAACCAAGCATACGAGATAACATTATAAGTCTATGATATCAGTTCTTTCAAATACCCACACTATTTCCCATACTGTTTCCAATACTTTTCAATGGTTTCCAGTGGTGGCCATTTTTTGAAAAAAGGTCGGAAGTTGAGAGCCCTCGGATGTGTGCTTTCAGTAACGAGGGTCAAAATCCTCGGAAGTATGAATCTATGGTTCATTTATTTGGCACATTAATTAACTGGGATTTGGAATCGTTTGGGAAAGGGAGGTATATATATGAGAGTAATTAATGTTGTACTCTGTAGTGATTTAGGAGGATATTATGTGTAATTCTAGTGAAGAAAAGGGTCCTTTGGGGTCCAATTTGCGGCCATAAACGTCATTTTAAATGCAGTTTCATTTGATATTTGATTATGAAAAACAAAACAAAGCTCATCTCTGGTACAACTGAACATCGAACAGATTAGTTGAATTACTAAAGAAAAGACAGTTCAGATCACCATTGGGAAAGAATATAGAGACAATGGCCACTGCTTCGTTCAACTATAGAATAACAACGCTGTACGAAACAGCTGTCCAAAGACAGAAGGAGCAATGTATTATGGAGGAGATTAAGAACAATAACCAGCAGGCTTTGCTAAATTATGAAAACCTGGTTAGTTTCATTAATGATAATGTAAATTCGTTGAAAACACAATATGATGTTAAAAGACTCTCTGCAGTGGATAAAGTTGCTTTGAATAACGTATTACAACTGAAATCTTCAATCATTACTAGGAAAAGCACAGTAGAGAAAAGATTAAACCATAATGAAAATTATAAAATTAGTGATATGAATAGAGATAATATTTCAAGTTATTCTTCATTTTTTTCAGCTTTTAAGAAACCATTCAGACAACAACAACAACAAAAGACTCCACAACAACCTACAAATGAATTCAAAATCCCTTCAAATCCACAACAAATCAATTCAAATGGAACAAGTACACCCAAGATTAATAATGGTAATTCCGATTCAACCACAACAACTAGAAGATCTCTTGATATTCAAAGAACAAGGAAACCAAGTGGTGAATTTGCAAGAAAAGCAAGATCTAAATCACCTTCTTCCAGACGTGATCGTCCTAAATCAATTGATTTAACCATTAATCAAGCTGCTTTATTAGCATGGGATGCCAAACAACAACAACAACAAAATGGTCAAAATGGACATTATAAATCTTCAGGTACAACTTCACCAAGAGCTTCTTCACCACCACCAAGATCTTCAAGTCAAACAAGAATTCATAAATCTAATCAATCTTCTCAAGCTTTACCTAAAAGAAAATATGATTATGTTCAACCAAGTATTAATACACAAATTAATTTAACTCCATTAGGACAAAAACCAAGATCTCCATCAACTGGTGTTCAAAGGAAACCATCACCAAAGAGTCAATCTCAATTAAAAGATGATTCAACAAAAGAAAAGCCAATATTAGAATCTGCTAATGATTCAAAAGGTCTTGGTATACAAGAAACTAATAATGATAATAATAAATCATATTCAGATCCAAGAATTAAACAAGTTATGAAGAGTTTACAAGGTGTTGATAAACAAGCTTGTGAACAAATTTTAGATGAAATTTTAATTACAGATGAAAAATTAACTTGGGATGATCTTGCAGGTCTTTCAATTGCTAAAAAATCATTAAAAGAAACCGTGGTTTATCCATTCTTAAGACCTGATTTATTTAAAGGTTTACGTGAACCAATAAGTGGTATGCTATTATTTGGTCCTCCAGGTACAGGTAAAACAATGATTGCTAAGACTGTGGCAAATGAATCAAATTCAACTTTTTTCAGTGTTAGTGCTTCATCATTATTATCAAAATATCTTGGTGAAAGTGAAAAATTAATTAGAGCTTTATTTTATTTAGCAAAAAAATTATCACCATCCATAATTTTTTTCGATGAAATTGATTCTTTATTAACTGCAAGAAGTGATAATGAAAATGAAAGTTCAAGAAGAGTTAAAACTGAATTCTTAATTCAATGGTCTTCATTATCTTCTGCAACTGCAAATTCAACTCAAGAAAATAGAGTTTTAGTATTAGCTGCAACAAATTTACCATGGGCAATTGATGAAGCTGCAAGAAGAAGATTTACAAGAAGATTATATATTCCATTACCAGAATTTGAAACAAGATTAACTCAATTACATAAATTATTTAAATTTGCAAATCATTCATTAAATGAAGTTGATTTTATAATGATTGCAAATTTAACTGAAGGTTATTCAAATAGTGATTTAACTTCATTAGCAAAAGAAGCTGCAATGGAACCTATAAGAGATTGTGGTGATAATTTAATGAATATAAATTATGATCAAATTAGAGGTGTTGAATTAAAAGATTTTGAAACTGCAATGATTAGTATAAAGAAAAGTGTTGGTAAAGAAACTTTGAAAAGATTTGATGATTGGGCTGCTAATTTTGGTAGTATGGGTGCATGATTAGTTTTTGATTGTTCTTTATTTGATTTATGATTTTGTATTATATATATATATGTACTATGAACACTTTTGTTTTGAAGTTATACCTTTTTTTTTAATAAATAATATGATGATAATATTTTAATCAAGCTAGTTTTATAAGCATCGATGTAGTCTATAAACATACTGCGTTAGATGAATGTTGCAGATGAGTAAATGAGTAAAGGCCACTTTTGAAACCTAGGTTCAAACTTTAACCAAATTAGGTGTGTTGTATAGTCTTAATTAAAAGGTCTAGCTAGATATACTGAAATTCCACCTGCGGTCTGGAAACTTAATCTAGAACTTAATCAATGATTTCATATATTGAGAACATTTGTACCCATTAGGAAAGTCAATCAAACTTTAATGTTTGACTAATCATAGAATCCAGGTATAATTTCAGCAACTAAATGGAGTCAACGTGAAATATTTAAATAAGAAAATATCCTCAAAATTTGAAAAGTTTTATATAATTTCATTGAACTTGAAATCAACATAGAGTTATACAAAGTACAATTGTACCATTATTTGATCAATGTCATGATTGATAAACTGTGCTTAAGGGACTCTCAAGCTGCTGAATTTAATTTTAAACAAAGCAGTACTGGTACAAACTTCACAACGGGGCATGATATTGGTTCAAAGGAAGTCACAAGGGGCAAACAATAGACATAATTAAAGGATCATGATTAGTTCAAAAGTAAGTATATACTAACTATAAACATGATTATGTCATCCGGGCTGCTTTGATTATATAAGCCATGTGTTATTTCTGGCTGGTGCAGCAACTTTTAAAATTTCAAATTAAGGCAACTTGGCCGAGTGGTTAAGGCGAAAGATTAGAAATCTTTTGGGTTTACCCGCGCAGGTTCGAATCCTGCAGTTGTCGTCATATTTTTTTGCCATTTTCACCGGGAAATTCTCATGTTTTTGCCGTTTTTATTAGTTAGTTTTGTAATATAATGTTTTATGAACATACTGATGTATTTTTCCTTTGTAACTACTTTATTTTGTCCCTATAAAACTTGCCTTAATGTTTGGTTTTTAAATCTCAGTTATATCTTTTTCTGGCCGAACCGATTCTCATGATTTTATTTTCCCTAGGCCTGCATAAAATTTAAAATTTTTTTTTATAGGAGATGAGCTTTAAGTACAAAAGATTAAGATACTTATAAATTTAAGCTACATTCTTCAAGTTTGAATTAAATAATACATTAAAAATGGAATTAGCTGTCGCTCCACAAGATCAAGATATTCTTTTAAAGGATAAAAACGTTATCAATGAATCAGTCTTGAATAAATATAGATTAGCTGGTCAAGTTTCTCAAACTACATTAACTTATTTAACAAAATTAATTAATGATTCTTATCATTTAGGTAAAGGTCCAAAAGTTTCATCAGATGAATTAGCCATCTTAGGTGATTCTTTCTTAGCTTCATCATTAGAAACTGTTTATAATAAAGGTTCAAATCATGTTAATGAAAAAGGTATTTCTCAACCAGTTACAATTGATGTTAATAACGTTTCAAATGGATTTGGTCCAGAATTAGATGATGAACATAAAAACTTCAAATATTTCGAAGCTGGTGATATTGTTACTATTTCATTAGGTTGTCACGTTGATGGTTATACCTCTAATTTATCACATACTTTAGTTATTTATCCACAAGGTGAACAAACTCAAGAAGGCAGTGATGAATTACGTCCAACTGGCCCATTATTAGGTCCAAAAGCTGATGCAGTTATTGCTGCTCATATTGCAAGTGAAACTGTTATTGCTTTATTAGGTATTTCATTAACCCCAGAAAAATTCCCAACTTTTTTAAAGACATTAAATAATGGCTCAAACGCTATAACTGGTAGCTTAATCAGATCAATTGTGGATGAAGTTGCTGAATCTTTCAAATGTATTGTTGTTCCAGGCTCAAGAGTTCGTCGTATCAGAAGATTTTTAGCTGGTCAAGCTGAAGGTGTTGTTGCAGAAAAAGAATATAAAGGTGTCGTATGGTCAGAAGCTGATCAAGAAGCTAGTTTATTACAAAAAGCTGCTGATAATGCATCAAAAGATTTAGTTAAATTAGATAAAGATGTTAAAGGTACTGGTGTCAATCAATTAAGTGCCATTCCATCTGATGATTTTGTTGTCAACCCAGGTGAAGTTTACCTTGTTGATATTAAAATGGCTCCAATTAGTGAATTTAACGAAGTTGGTTTAGTCACTTTACATAATGTTGATGGTTATACCGGTAAAAATCATGATGATCAATCTTTAAATATTAAACCAAGTATATTTGTTAGAGATTTTGCTATTCATCATACATTAAAATTAAGAACTTCAAGACAAACATTAACTAAAATTGATCAAACAAGATCAGTTTATCCTTTCAAATTAAGTCATTTATCTGACTCTTTCCCAATTAATTTAAGAAACATTTCATCTTTTGGTTCAAAAGAATTAACTGAAGATATTGAATCCATTAAAAAAGATATAAGATCAGCAAGATTAGGTTTATCAGAAATTGTTAATAATCATTTAGCAGTTGCTAAACCAGTACAGATTGCTAAATTCTTACCATTACATATCATTTTGAAAGCTGCTAACTCAACAGGTTCTCATGGTTATGATGCTGAAAATCCAACTTTACCAGGTTTAGAATTACCATTACCAAGATTAGGAGTTTCTTCATTAAAATTAAAATCATTATTAAAGAAAAATTCAGTTCCAATCCCAGTTGCAAGAGAACAATCTACTGTTGTTTTAATTCAATCAGGTATTTCATCTGGTGGTAGACCAGAAGTTTTAAGATTAACTGGTGGATCTAAAACTTCTAAACCAAGTTGGGTTCATTCAAACTATCAATTAAATGAAACAAGAATTTTAGTTCAAGGTGCTATCGAATTGATTAAATTATCTCAAGATAAGAGATTTGGTATTAACATTCGTGAATGTCAACCAATGAAGTTAACAAATATCTTAAGTTTTGATGGTTCATTAAATGATACTGAACAAATGAATATTGATTAAAATTGCAGAATCTTATTCCATAAATTGAATTAGTTGTACAATAGTTTTATGTGTAATATAAAATTAATAATAACACATGAGAAGCATTTGAAAAGAAAGGTTGGTAACCATAATCTGTAGAATATCAAAGATAACCCATGAAAGCTCACTTGTAAAGTTCAATTTTAAATTATAAACAAAAGTATATATTCGATTCGTATCCCCAGAAACATGTAAATTTCCTAATTGAGACCTGGAAGGGCCAGCACTTGGTGGCGACTAAAATTTACCCGCAGGCGGAAGTTGGAACTTAGACAGAGGTGACGCGCGATTTAGAAGGAGAGGTTTGCCTAAGTTCTTTCTGGGTGGGCTAAGCATTTGTTTTACTGGCTCCCGCCAGGCTAAAAGCCTCCGACTGGGCTCCTTCTGGGAATTTTGACGCACCTCCCCCCAGGACGTCATTGAACTCTGCCTAGCGCGGACAGTGTGGTCACTGGTGGAACAACCACTCACCCAAAAAGGCGATTTACTACTTTCGGTCAACCGAATATTTATTTTTGCAGTGTTTTTTTTTTTTTTTTTCAATTCTTTCTTCCTTTGAGAATTGGTTGGAAATTGGAACTTTGGAATCAGTCAACCAATTTTTGTTTTCATTACAATTGACTTGAATTTGTTTCAACTTTACCAACTTTGAACACATTGTTAATAAAGTATCAACAAGTAAGTACACAAAATACTACATTGAGGACAGGATCAAGAATAGAGAAACAAGCAATTGGGAGGAATCAGATGTGAGAATTCATTTGTTTCAGTTGGGATTGATTTGTTTATTTGAAGCAATTGACAATTGATCATGTTTTGATTTCAACATGGACTTCCATTACACCACCAACACCAAATTCAAGGCAATAAAAGAACAAGAATACCCAATCATTATAGACAGAGAAGCAGAACAACATTGTGTTTTATTATGAATTTACGTTTAGAAGGTTGAATGTTTTTTTGAAATCTGAAGTTATTCTCCCTTATCTTTTGATCTAAGCGCGCAGTGGATTTTGCAATAACAAAACGTGTTTTATCAAATAATATCTACATTAAAACACTGGCTACATAATTCATTCAATTCAATTCGTTTATTCTTATTATTTAACGTGGTTTCCATTGTTGATGTGCTGAAATTTCCTTGGTTTCTCCATTCAAAACCATTGATTTCGTGTTGATATTGATTGCCCTTTTTCGCGATCAAAATTTTTGGTGGGAATTTGGGAAAGGTGTATGGATGTTGCCCGCTGTTTTTTTCTGAATGAAATATGTTGTCGGCGTTCCCATAAAAATAGATCTTGCTATTGTTATTTGTTTACAAAGTTGATTTCCCAATTGTGGTTAATTTATTCTTGAAGATCTCAATTCAATTATAATTGATATACTAACAAGTCATTTTTTTGGAAAAGTCCCTTTAATTATATATCAAGATGTCTAGTATCTCTCGTGAAGATTCAGTTTACCTTGCTAAGCTTGCTGAACAAGCTGAACGTTATGAAGAAATGGTTGAAAACATGAAAGCCGTTGCTTCTTCTAACGAAGAATTATCAGTTGAAGAACGTAACTTATTATCAGTTGCTTACAAGAATGTCATTGGTGCTCGTCGTGCATCATGGAGAATTGTTTCATCAATTGAACAAAAAGAAGAAGCTAAAGGTAATGAAGCTCAAGTTAACTTAATCCGTGACTACCGTTCAAAAATTGAATCTGAATTAACTAAAATTTGTGATGATGTTTTATCAGTATTATCAGAACATTTAATTCCATTAGCTGAAACTGGTGAATCAAAAGTTTTCTACTACAAAATGCAAGGTGATTACCATCGTTATTTAGCTGAATTTGCTACAAGTGACAGACGTAAAGATGCTGCTGAAGCTTCATTAGTAGCTTATAAATCAGCTTCAGACGTTGCTGTTTTAGAATTACCACCAACACATCCAATCCGTTTAGGTTTAGCATTAAATTTCTCAGTTTTCTATTACGAAATTTTAAATTCACCAGATCGTGCTTGTCATTTAGCCAAACAAGCTTTTGATGATGCTATTGCTGAATTAGATACCTTATCAGAAGAATCATACAAAGACTCAACTTTAATTATGCAATTATTACGTGATAACTTGACCTTATGGACTTCTGATATGTCAGAAACCGGTCAAGAAGAAGGTTCAGCTCCAGCTGCTGAAGAAAAACCAGCTGAACCAAAACAAGACGAAGAATAATTTTAGAATAAATTGCCTATTTTATTGAATTTGTGTTTTGTGATCTATTATACCTTTTTTTTTCAATTCATTTCTATTTCTTTTCTCTTCCAATTTTATTATAAAGAACAAAAAAAATCTACAAAAAAAACATCTAAAAAATGTGAAAATTAAAACAAAATCAAACAATTTAGAAAATTTATGCTTGTGTTTTATTGACATGAAAAGAAAAAAGAGTAGAATTTGAAAGGAAGGTTAGTAAAGAAATTGTTATCTATATCTTTTTTATATATCTATTTTTTTTTGTACTGGGAAAGAAATCTGTTTTTACAATGTTAAATCCATTAAATTTTATTGAAGCTTTTTTAAATGATAAATTAATCGTATACTGAAGATTGTTTATCATTTCAATTGTAGTTTGTAAACACTTTAGCATTTACTATCTGGTTAAGAATTCTAATTTTAGATCGCGTTTTCAAGGGGCCACAGATTTTCAAATTTGGACCGGTATTTCTAGATTTCAAATCGCCTCCACGATATTAATTGTTCACTACTTGAAAGTTGATATTCCATACAATAAAAGCTAATCAATTGTACAATAATTTTTGTGAATAGTAACCGGTAAATAAATAATAAAGATCAATAATTCTCATAACTATGGCTGATTTAAATGGCGTTTTCAAGATAGTCAACTTGACAGTTGGTGTGTTATCAGTAAGTGTTGGTTTATATTACTAGGCACATCAAATCAAGAAACTAATATTCTTAATTATTAGACAATTTCAGGTTTCACACAATTATTTAGTGGATTGTAAGTTTATCTCAGTTGAATTCAATGATTCTTGGTCTGTGGTATTAACTCAGTATAGTCAACAAGTATGTTTCTCTTCATCGGTGAATATTAAATTCCAAAATAATAACAATTTCATGAATAGTTCATTTTAGGTATTTATTTGATACTTTTTGGTATTGGTATTGGTGTCTTGGGTAAGTTATTGTCTTGTTGGAGGTCCACAAATAATTTTATACTAACAATTGAATTAAAGAATTTAAAATTCCACCATTAACTCATCAATATGCTTCATTTTTATTCTCATTTTTAGGACGTGGTATATGTATGTATTGTCATTTCAAAGGCTCAAGAGTATGCTAAATACTGACACGCTTACCTTAGTTTATTTATTAATCGGTACTTTGATTGCTGGAGGAAATGTTTTCAAAATCATCCTTGGTTTATTAGTTGCAATCGTTGGTTTTGCTTACATTGGTTTAGAATTCATCCCAAGTATTTCACCACCAGATAACTTTAGAACTGAAGGTACATTCTTGAATGATGAAGATGAAGAAGATGTCATCTAATCTATATTCAAAATTTTAGAAATTTCCAAAAATAAAATCGAATCAAAAAATTATGTATAAGTATAAATTATGATTGTGAACTCATTGAATTCAGCCACTGATAAGTTTGATTATTGTAACTATTTTCCTATATAAACCCAACGCTACCAGTGATGTATCGATAGCTAAGCCTTCTGGACGTCATACTGAGCAGAATAAGTGTTGATGCAGTGCGCGAACCAGCAATAATTTTGAGTATAAGCTATCTAAATTCTCGCATAATTTTTTCTTAAACGAGTGCAGAGGGAAATCAGAAGAAAGTTCTCTTGAAATTGTTAAGATTTTGATGAAGATATAGTTGATTATTGAAACTTTAAACCTTTTTGTTTTTTTGATTTCACCATTTGAAGCCATTTAGAATTCATTAAATTGCCCATCTTGTTATCAAAACGGAAGGAATGGCTGATCAAAGCCAGCGGCTACCAACAACACCAGATACACCAAACGATAAAGATGAGATACACATTCCAAGAAATTCATTCACAGCTTTCAGATTTATCTATGGGGACTCTAAGGAAATTTCTCGAGTTTCAAACGTTGTTTTGTTAGGTTCAGTGCCCAAGCTGTGGTATAGAGAACAAAATTCCAACATTGTTAAAGCGTGGACAAAGGCGTCATATTCCAAATTTCACAAAACAGTTAAAGACTTTGAACGTGTTCTCAGCTCAGAAGCTAGAGTGGGTTCCTCTGATATATATAAGGACCAGAATCTTCGCCGTTATTTGGTATTGACAAATCAATATACTGATGCTACTGACGAAAGTGATGCCGAATTTACAGAGGAAAGTGATAATGAATATAACTTCACAGATCAAGATGATGATTATCAGGTCGAAACAAAAGATCATACAAATCTTCCCAATAAATCACATATAGACTCAAAGATCAGCTTGAAAGATGATATAAAACCCCATAAGATTGTGAGTGATAAGGCTAAACAACAAAGTAAAAACACTTCAGCTGTTCCTATAAGGAATACGGCTGAGAACATAAGAGGTGCTTGGGGAAATCCAGATCTACCGTTAATTCATATCAATGAAGATGTAAATACATCTCAGTATCATCAAATGCCAAATTCTTCAAAGCATTCATTGAATAATGCACAATCGGCTTCTGATAGTTTTTTCACAGCAACTGAGAATTTACCAGCTGGAACCCCAATAAGGAATGAAGTTACTAATGCATACTCGGTAGATGAAGGTCCTGGTGATTTAACCCCAACAAAAGGCTCTACAAGTTCTACAGATACATTACTGAAACCTGTCACTCCACAAAGCTATAGCATACCTCCACTGACCCATTCAAATTCACGCGCCTCAATAAATTCAGCTATATCTCAGAGGTCTCAACTATCAGCAATAGAAAATCCAAAAGTTAGGTTCACAAAGACAGAGTCAAGAGCTAGTAAAAGATCAGCATCCACACAGTTTCTCTCACCACAACCAGAAGATGATCCAATCATTTTACCTTTAGATCCAAGACATGAGAGGGCTTTAGATAGAATCAAAGCTGTTGCTACAAAAACAAGACATCAGATTAAGAATGATATCAACAAAGTGAATCAAAAACGAATTTTTCATAAATTACTAAAAAGTTATAAAATTGGTGAAATTTTGAAAATGGAAAAGATGTTAGTTTTGGTGAAACAAGTTCACAACACTCATCACAAAATATTTCAATCATTCACTGAAGTTGAACCCTGTGATACACGAATTTTGGAGAGATGGAAAGAGTATGTCGTTGTTGCTAGAACCACAGGTGATTTTGATGAACCTTTGTTAATTCAATTTTATACTAAGAGAGAGATTCCTCATGAAGATCAAACTAAACATTATGATGATGATCTCGACTTTACATTAACTAGATCATGTCTTGTTAATTTCTATAGCTCACTGGACAAAACTATAGCCATAGTCAAGAAGGGCAAAATATATGTGTTGAGATCACATACACCAACTTCCTCAATTCGTTGGTTTACATTTTTAACAGAAACTTTAGGTAAACAAAATCTTAGGTCATTGAAAATTGATATTCCGAAGGTCTCAATAACAATTAATGTGAAAATCACACCACATTTATATGATAAATTACTTGAGGAAGAACAAATGTCTAATTTCATAATCACAACCAAAGAAGAAGGTTATCATGCTAAAGAACTCCCTGTTTTTCAATATTTGATAGGTAAAATTAGAAGTAAATTGATTAAGGCTGGATATACTGATGTTGTTAATAACTGGGACTGTACCGGATTAGTTTTAGCACTTTGTTGGAGACATTATGATAGACTTGAATGGGTTTTTGGAGAATCATTGAGTAATTTGTTTTGGCAGCAATCAATGAACTCCACACATGCACTAGAGCTCAGAATTGCGTCACACTATCCTTACAGTGTTAATAAAGAAGATGGTATCACATTAGAAGAACCATCACCAATTCAAGGATTCATGGCCAGATTAACATTGAAAGATGGGAGACATCGTGACTACTTAAGAAGACAAGTCTTCAAGTTTTCTTACCTTTATACAGAGAACAACTTGTTATTTTTTTGTCGCTCATATAAAGCTGTTCCACCAATCCCAGGATTTGAGTATCTGTCGAAATTGGACTGTTTGACTAATCCAGGCCATTTTGATGAAGTTAGAAAAAGTATCCCACAAATTTACAACCATAACCCATATGAGATTGATGAGAACAACCATATTAAATGGCTCAAAAATGATATGAATACTGAAGAGTTTAACAAGCGTGATCACTATGCAAATTACGAATTTCAAAGAAGAATTGAATTACTTTTAAGAGCAGAGTCAGTGATTGATTTATTAGAGGTTGTTGCAATTCACAAGGTCGATTCACGTACTATGCCACTGCATGTTAGAGCTGCTAGTAATTTTGCATGGAATGAATCTGCTGATATCAAATCAGAATCAGAAGAGACCAAAGATTCTTACCTACAATTGGTTTTTCAAAATGGGACTTGCTCAACTTTCAAAGCACCAGATAGGTTTATCAGAGATGAATGGGTATCTAGATTAAATGCCTTGATGAATTACTGGAAAGAACGTAAGAAAGAAGATACAAAAAGAATCAATGTAATCAAACTAGAAAATATGGAAAGGCTCAACACTGATGAAGGACTGGAAGCTAATGTTGGTGAATCAACTCCAAAATGGGAAAATTCAAGAGGTGTTGCAGAGCCAACTATTCACAATATAAGCTCAAATGCCATGTTTAGACCAGTTGTAAGAAGTGATATGCTTTTCCAGAAACCCAAGAAGCATTCAAGTTTTAAGAATTATTATGTTGTTTTGGTTCCAGGTTTTATAATCTTATATCGTGTTTTCGTTAGAGGCCTACGTGGGTTACCATTACCAACCACACATTATGATCATTACTTGACAATACCCATTATTGATTGCTACGCGTATTCTGGTAATACAAGTGGCATTGATCTATTGGATAGAGACAGTGGTATAGATAAGGTCAATCAAGGTCGTAATTCATTACCAAGAATCTACCAAGATGGTTGGTCTTCTTCTGAAGATGAAGCTTCAAGATGTTTCACACTTTGGTTTGGTCCCAAAAGAGCAATTGCTGGGAAGTTGGATGAAACAACAAAACATGATGATTCAAATTTAAATGATCATAATTCCAAAAATCCAGGTTTATTGAGAATGGTTAATAGGTTGGGTGTTACAGGTAAAAGTATGGTTTTCATGTGTAGATCTAGACAGGAGAGGGATTTATGGGTTAGTAATATTTACACTGAAGTTGAAAGATTTTATAGAAAGGAAGATGATTTAAGTGAATTGTCCATAAATAAATAATAGATGCTCCTTACTAGTTGAGTTTTAAGATAATTTTAGATGCTGTTATCGAGATTCGAGTTATCCATTTGAACTACTTTATGTAAAATGATAACTTCTAAAAGTACACGTGATTTATGTATTTATCCTAAATAACTTCTCTGTTAATATTCTCATCTTTCATGAGCAATGATACTTTTGGTATTATACTATTGATGATTATACTTCTCATAATAATAACTAGCGCATCCTTGATAAAATCATGCGTGATATATGGAGAATTATATTATAGAATTATTATATATATATATACGATATAATAATGGTATCATCTTAAGCAATATCTGTGCTCATGTGTACTATCAATATATATTATAAACAATTAATTCAATTTGGATATAGAATATGGCGGACAATAATGACTTATCCAACGATATAGTTGCTGAGAACAATAATACCATGGAATATGAAGACATAGAAGATGTGATAAAGGGGTTATTAGCTTTCGATTCATTACCTTATGCTGGAAGTATTTTCAAGATAGTACCGTATTTCCATATGTGTCCTCATTCAAAGAGATTGATACCAAAAGATGATCATTTCAATAAAATTTTGCGTGAGAAACCCTACTTCACAGACATGCCAATACCATTACATCCAGTACTCAAATCAAGTATAAAGAGTCCTCTCGATTTAAACAATAAATCATTTAAAAGATTTTCTTCTAAGATTCCAATAAAAACATTTGACTTTACTTTTGAAGATGTTATAGGTTTCAACGGCCAGGAAAAGTGGAAACCTAATTTTATATATAAATGTTCTTATATAAGAGGTTTACATAAATTCAAAGAAAAGCTGTCAACTTCTAAGCTAGATGAAAAAAAATTAAATGATTGTTTAATAAATAATTTTCAACACATTTTAAATGATCTTATCAATGAAGAGAAAGAATTCATCATTAAGAAATTAGAAAATGGAGAAGAATATAATGGTACTGATATCCAATATGATTGTTCTAAGCCAGTATTTCCCAATGGAATACATGATTTCTTATTTGGACCAGATTATATGTTTGCCGTTCATTTAAGTCCATCACGAATACCACCTAAACAAGTTTTGAAAACTTTCTTAACTGTATTACACTCTGGTATTAAAATTGAAGAACGAAATGGATTCATAGCAGAATATCGAAATGATGAGTATTCAGTATTGATGATTGCAGATGAAACATCAATAGAGTCGGAAATTTTGAGAGTTTGTGACTCAACATTTCGAAGTTATATTAAATTGAATGTAAATCAAGGATATCCAGTAAAACAAGAACGTCAATCATGGTTAATACCTTCAATAAAGAACTATAAGTTGATTGATGCTAAACCACCACTTTATTCAGAACCTTAAATATAAAGTGATTAATTCACCATCATTATTCCCTATTGCCTAATAAATTCCATCAGAGGAAAAATGAGTGTGAATACGGAGATACACGGAATAGTATTATATACTAAGCTATGAAAGATAATATAATCAAAAACTTTTTCTTGAAATTATTTACATTCGATATATATATATATTATGATATTAGGAACTTCAAGGGTTTTATGACCATGTACTACAGTATAACATTAAGTATATTATATAAATTAATTATTAAAACTGGTTAATTGTCCAAATATTATAAAAAGGGTATTAAAGGGTGCATTATCATTATTGTTCTTGTAATTATAGTTCTTATTTATTATTTTGTTTCCATAGTTTCTAATAAAGCATCATCAATATCTTTAAATAAAGAACTCCATCTTGATTTTGTATTCTTGATAGGATTTAAATTAGATTGATTTTTATCATTATTTAATGAATTTGTAGTATGTTGTTGCTGTTCATCAATTTCACTTATTGGAGAAATTTCAGATTTTGAACTTGATGAATTTGAATCAAAATTTAATGATTGTTCACTATGTTCACTATTTATATCATTTTGAATTATTGATGGATTGATTTGAATGTTTACATCAACATCACTATCATAATCATAATCTTCTTCATCACTTGTATCAAGATCTGTATCTTGTAAATTTATTGATTCTTTGTCTTCTTCCTGTGGTTCTTGTGGTTCAATATCTGAATTAAAATCTGAATTTATTGAATCAATATCAGAATCTTCTTCATCATCATCAGAATCATCATCAAATGAAATAGAATATTTATTAATTAAAATTTCCATAATTTTATCCCATGAATCTAATTTAATTAAATTTTCTCTTGATGTTAATTTCCCATTATTAGAATTATTATAATTTTGAATTTGTAAAATTAATTGATTTGCCAATGGTAATTGTTTTAAACTTTTCTTGGATAAATTATTTGATATGATTAATAATCCAAATTTTTCAGAATTTTGATTTGTTAATTGTGTTATTAGTTGATTTATATTTGGCTTTGGTGATGTTTGAGGAATAGGTGTACCAATTGATGATATAACTTGATTAATATCACCATATTTATAAATATTACCAAATTGTTCCGATGAACAAATACAATAAATTTGATTAAATTTAAAATTCAACACTTTTAGGATATTAATTAATGTAATTTTAATTGAACCATTTAATTGATTTTCATGATCAATTAAAATAATTAAATTATTTGTTTTTTTGAAAAAAGTTTCAGTTGGTGATTCCACAATTGGTGTATTTAAATCATCAAATTTTATTGGAGATAATAATACAGGTATAGTCATTTCATCTTTATTATTTGATTTCTTTAATGTTGGATCTAAAACATTAAGTGATTGTGGTGCAACAGGTTTCCATTGATTTTGATTATTTATTGGTGAAGAAGATATGGAAATATGAATAGTTGATGATAAATTATCAGAATTGAAAATAAATTCATAATCACATAATCCTGCAATCCATTTTTGTAAAATTTTATTTGATTTTTGTGAAAAATACAATGATTTTAATCCATTATTTAATTGAATTTTTAAAATTGATGAAGTTGGTGTTGAAATTTGTGGTTTTTTCAATAATTTAAATTTTTCCCAATTTGTATAATTTTCTTCAATTAAAATTAAATTAAATTGAAATAAATAAACAATATAATTTGTGAAATTTTCACCATTTGATGAAACTAATAAATTATCAACTAATCTTAAATAACCAAATGAATCAATTTCAGATTCTGTTATACCCTGTGTGGAAAATTGATTTAATTTTTTAATTAATTGAGAAATATATTCAGATCTAAGGATAGCTAATGGTATCTTGTTTGATTCTTTTGTTGTGGTATTATTGGTATTTAGTGACATAAATGTATCTGTATGATTTGGTGAAGGAGATCTTGAAACTGATGAAATTATTGAAGACATTGCCGATATGGAAGAACCTCTTGAATTTGATTTTATATGAGGTAAATTTGAAGGAGGTCTTGAATAATGTCTTGAATTTGAAGGATTTGATAAATTTGGGATTTGAATTGATAAATCTTTTTGATTTCTTGAATTTGATAAAGATAATGATTGATATTTATGAGATTTTGTTGAATGTTGTTGTTGTTGATGTAAGGGAGATTTATAATTTGATGATATTATTAATGAATCTGATGATGATGATGTCGTTATATCATTATTTTGATTTTTTGGAGGTGATGAATTTAATAATATCTTGGATATTATTGAATCAGTTATACTTTCATCTAATGGTATAGCTAATTTATTACATTTATCACAATTTGGGAAGAATTTTTTTGGATCAGTATTTGATTTCCAATCATTTGATTGATTATTTTCATTTTCATCAATAAATGTCCAAAGACATTCTTCATGACATGTATCACCACATGTTAGCGAAATAATTTTTTCATCTGTTGAGAATTTTGAAGATAATAATTCATCACAAAAGCAACATTTTTCATTAATAAGTGTTTTTTTAGATCTTTGAGGTGTTGAATTTTGTGAATATATAAATGGTTTAACTTTTGGAGGTGTTTGATGTGATTGTTGTTGTTGTTGTTGTGAAGTTGAAACTAAAGTTGAATCATTATTTAATGTTAAATTTGATGAATTTTTAGAATAATCAGGCAGCAAGATTTCATTTGATTTTGGTAATGAAGAAGATCTACTTGGTAAAGTTAAATTTGAATTTGAATTTAAAGAATTTGGAGTTGATTTTAATCCATTTGATAATGAATAATCATCAATTGATAAATTTTTCAAATAATCTTGAGGATTTTCAAAACTTTGGAATGAAGAATTGGAAGTTGATGAAGTATATGGTAAATTATGAGGTGAATATTGAAATGAATTAATTGAATTTGCAGAATTTAATTGAGATTGAGGTTGTTGTTGTGATTGTTGTTGAGATTTATTTGAATAAGAATGGAATTTTTCTTGAAATTTAGCCCATTTTGAATAAGATTTATTTGGAGTTGATTTATTTGAAGATTTATTTGATTTTAATGTTAATGTGGGAGTTTTAGGTTCATTCATAATTCATTTGTATAGTATAATGTGATGATAGATATGATGGTGATACTGGTACTATAGCGCTTAACTCTATTCTTTTTGTAATGTCTTTGTATTGTGATAATGAATGTCTTGTCTCAGTTATTAGTTAACCGCTGTGTATAATATTGTATTGATGATGTTGATGTTATTCATTATTCAATATTTCATTATTCATTTTATTTGTTTTATTGAAATTTAATTTTTGAGGTTTGAAACAAATGTTTATTGGATTTCCTAAATAGGTAATAGTGGTGAATTAGGAAATGGTTATGAAGTGTATGGTATGATAGTGTTAAAGTCTCTATCTAGTCTCAAAATAGTCTTTTTTTAGTCCTAATTATAATTATCTCCACAGTTTTTAAACAATTGCTGGACTTTAGGAGACTTCGCCCTATGGACTATTAGAGACTACTACTATTTAACAATAGATTTATAATTTTAATAAGAAATTTGTCAATTGATACTAAAACAAAACAAGGAAATTGATATAAATAAAGACAAAAGAGACAAATCATCAATAAATTACAATTGATTCAACCATAACACAGCGGTTATTCAATCAGTCTCAAAACAACATATAGACTAGTACTAGTTCTTGTTATCAATTATCACATTATCACCAGTCGTGGCTGCAATCACAAGATCATAAATCGGTTATAATTTGTTCTGGAATTGGAAACAGCAATTTATAAACAAAACTAAATAAAAGTTAATCTGGTGAAAGTATAAATATATTTATATTGGTTATATTCATTGTGTTCATTTGGTTATATTCAATTAGTACTATATTCATTGAGTTTATTTGATTATCCCTTATGAAAATATCCCATTAATACAATATCAACTCATATATGGCTCAAACTATATCTCAAACACCTTTTTCAAAATCTTATAAAGATATAAATATTGTTAATAATAATTATAATCATTATGGAAATTCAATCTTGACAAATCATTCAAAATCAATATTAACAAATCATTCATATCAAAGTACAACTCATAGTACAAATAGTTATAATACTATTCATCATCAAGATGATGACGATCATGATGATCAAATTATTGAATTAAATTCAAACAACTTCACAAAAAGAAAATTTAATTATAAATCTCTTATACCTGAATCAACAAAAGTTAAAAAATTTCTGAAAAATTTAGATCAAGATTCATTTTCAATTTTTTCAACAAGATCCCAGACAACCAAAATAACAATAAATTCACTTCCTTTTGAAATTTTTAAAAATATTGCATTTTTTGTATCAAATGATTATAAATCAATGATTAATTTACTTTATGTTAATAAACAATTCTATAAAGCTATAAAACCATTTTTTTATAATGATCCAATGTTAACTTCAACTTATAGAGTTGCTCAATTAATTACATCATTAAGACAATTCCCTGAAAATGGGCTTTTAATTAAAAAATTGGATTTATCAAATTTAAAACCTGGTAATTATGAACATGGTGTTAATGATGATCAAACAGATGATGATGCTATGGACTCATATGCTTTAGCTTCATGGAGAGATTGGAAATATAGAGGTGATCCATTATATGGTTCAACAATGTTAAATTCTTATAATTTATTTAAATCAAAATCTTCATCAAGTTTAAATTCAAATACTTCATCAATAAATAAATTAAACAAGTTTAAATATTTGGATGATATGAATATAAAATTTAAACATTTATTAATTTTTTGGAAAAAAAATATAAGACCAAATGGTAAAAAACGTTCAAGATCATTATCAAGTTCAAAATTATTTAATTCAAATTCAATAAAAAAAACTAAAAATATTGAACTAATTCAACCTACTGACTCTGTTAAATTAGATACATCAAATACCAACAATACAAAAATTCAATTTAGAAATCCTAAAAATCAACCATTTATTGATCATCATCCATATACAAATAAATTTTTATTAAAATATTCAAATTCAAATGATTTACCAATAGGTTATATTTTTTATTTTATTGACCTATGTCCAAATTTAACATCATTAAACCTAAGTAAAGTTTCATTATCAATAGATTTTAAAATTATTTATCCTAAACCTGGAAATTTTAAATTTAGTTCATTAGTTGAAGATGTGTTATCCATTAATAATTCAACCCAAGAAGAATCTTTATTACCATTTTATCTTAGTGATTCAAATATTTATTTTAATATTAAGACATTCCAAAATCATTTTCAAAAAATTTGGGAATCTGATATTCTTTTAAAATTAACACAATTACAAAATTTGAAAAATTTAAATTTATCTTCTATATCATGGTTGAATTTTAAAACCCTTAGAGAATTTAAATTAAATTCCCTATCAATCCAAAATCAATCATTAACTGAAATTAATTTATTAAATAGTGGAATGATTAGAAATTTAAATTGGGCGAAAAATTTCTCAAAAATTGATGAATTTAATGATTATTTCCAAAATGATGTTGAACCTGAACAACCTCAACAAGAAAATATAATGAGAAATGTTGGTATGAATTATTAATGATATTCCTGGTGTGTGTGTTTACATTATGTTTTTTTTCCTTTCTTTTATGTGTGATTTTTTATTTCTGTGTGGATATATATCCATTATTGTGCTATTAGCTATGTTTTGACTTTCCTTTGTGACATTTATGCTTTGTGATTTCTTTGCTTTCCTTTTGCTTTTCTATGCTTTTTAATTTCAAATGTGTTTTTTATGTGATTTTATATGGAGTTCATGATTTTTTAACCAAAAATATATAAATTGATACAAGTAAAGAATATATGAATAATAATTTAATAACTTGTTTCCTTTATTTAAACCTTGGTGGACGATTTTGTTTATTTCTAATTAATCTTATTACTAACCAATCAATACATTCTTTTAATCCATCTCCCTTTATAGCACTTATTGGTAAAACTCTACTATCTCTTGCACTTAGATGTTCAGCAATAACATTAAAAATTTCTTTAATATCTTCAACTTCAAGATGATCTTCAACATCTTGTTTATTTGCCAACATTAATATAGGTATACTTTCAATTGAATCATTATTTATAATCTTGGTTAAATTTGATTGACATTCTTCAATTCTTTCACGATCTGTTGAATCAACAATAAATATTATAGCATGACAATGTGTAAAATATTCTTCCCATAATGATCTAAGTGATTCTTGTCCTCCAACATCCCAAAATTTTAATAAAGTTTTATTAACTTGTATATGTCCAACATTTTGTCCAACTGTTGTTGTTATTCTTTCTGGTGGAATTATTTTAGCATCTGGATTATATATAGATTTAACTTTTTCCAAAAAGGTCTTTAGCCTGTTAGTAATTCATTCCATATATAACTTTCATTTCAACTTACTGTTTTACCTGCATTATCAAGACCTAATATAAGAACAGAATATTCTAAAATTCTGTTAGTCAAAACTGCTTTAAAATATCCACAAAAACAAGATAGCACATACCTTCTTTCTTGTTCCAATTGTTGTATAATCCTCTAGCCAAATGAAACATCTTGATCTCAATCTAATATCACCTTCTGCTTCTTTTTGGAATGTTTTCTGTTTACGTTTTATTGTTGAATTGAAATTAAAATGGTCATAAAAAATCCGCGAATTTTACCAAGAAATGATTGATTTGGAAGAATATTGGAAATTTTGGATGTAAAGTGTAGCTAAAATCTATAACATCAATATCTTGATACTTATTAAACATTTCCCTATTGAATGGTGGTATTTCCGTGTAATTTGATAGTCATTATGTACAATAAACATTTTACTACACTTTCACTTCCCAATTAGGAAATCAACAATTATCGTTAAATTCAAAAATTCGCGTAAAAACACAAATTTTTATTGAAAAACCATCGATTTAAACCACTGTGAAAAAAAAAGTCAAAGACATTTCAAAAGATCTTAATTTAATTCAATTTAATTGAATTGAGGTTTATTCAAATTATTCAAAAGATCAAAATCAACAATGTCTGAATCAACAAAACAAACTCCAATCCCAGAACCAGTGGAAGAATTCATCAAGACTTTCTACAAAGCGTTCTTAGATAATAATGTTTATGAATTACATGGATGTTATGAAAATAATTTTAATAAATTAACTGAACAATATTATAAAAATTCTCCATGGCCTGAACCAATTGAACAAGTTGGTCCTTTAGTCAATGATGATCAAATCTTTTTGGTGCTTTATTCAGAAGTTTATTATAGACATATTTATGCTAGATTAAATCCAACTTTAGAACATAGAACTGGTTCTTATAATAATTATTGTAATTTATTTAATTTATTATTAAACAGTGAAGAAGGTCCAGTTACTTTTGATTTACCAAATAAATGGCTATGGGAAATTGTTGATGAATTTATTTATCAATTTAATCAATTTTCTGTTTATAGATCAAAATTATTTTTAAATAAAAAATCATCAGATGAAGTTGAATTAGCTTATGTTCAAGAACATAATGAAGTTTGGAGTGCTTATTCTGTCTTGAATGCTCTTTATTCATTAATTGGTCGTTCTAAGATAGTGGAACAATTAAAAGATTCAAAATTAACAAGTAATAATAGTAATAATATTAATTCTGAAATTGCTGGTGAATATGGTTCATTACCTTTATATAGAAATTTAGGTTATTTCTCAATCATTGGTTTATTAAGAATTCATACTTTATTAGGTGATTTTACATTAGCTTTGAAAACAATGGAATATATTGATTTAGATAAAAAGGCATTTTTCACAAGAGTTCCAGGTGCTCATTTTACAACTTATTATTATGTTGGGTTTTGTTATTTAATGTTACATAGATATTCAGATGCTATCAAAACTTTTTCTCATATTTTATTATACATTTCAAGAACTAAAAACATTAATAAATCAGGTCAATATGATGTTGTCACCAAGAAATCAGAACAAATGTATGCTTTATTAACAATTTTAGTTGGTTTAGCCCCAACAAGATTAGATGATACTTTACATAATGGTATTAGAGAAAAAATTGGTGATAAATATGTTAAAATTCAAAGAGGTGGTGAAGAATCTTTATCAATTTATGAAGAATTATTTAAATTTGGTTCACCAAAATTTATTTCAACTTCTGTACCAATTGCTGATCATGTTAATGATCCATTAAATTTACATTGGAAAATTTTTTCATTAAAAGTTAAAAATATTGTATTTGTTCCAACTTTAAAATCTTATCTTTCATTATATTCAAAATTAGATTTAACAAAATTAGCAAAATTTTTAGAATTAAATGAAGATGAATTATTATCAATCTTATTAACTTATAAATTAAACAATAGACAATTAAAATGGATTGAAGGTGAATTATTAAATGGTGAATATGTTAATGTTTATGATTTAGATATTTCTTTAGAAAATGATGATGGTAAAACATTTATTCATGTTAAAGAAACTAAAAATATTAGAAAATTTGCTGATTGGTTTATTAGAAATACTATTAAAAATAATGCTGTTCAAGATGTTATTAGTAATTCTGATAAAGAATCTTTTAATTCAAAAGATAATAATAAGAATTCTAAAAAACATCAAGAAAAAAATTCTGCTTAAGTTGATGTTTTTTTTAATTCAATTTTGTCCCACATCCCCCATTTTATTCGTTTAATTTATGAATATATCATACCGTTAAAGTTTTTTTGATAAGTACTTAAACACGTAGTTGATATATATAATCGATCTTGATTTGTACTAACTGCTCATTCACTTCCGTAATAATCTTCCATGATTGTCATGGCAACGAATAATTTTTTTTTTTTACAAATTTTGGTAAAAATACGTAGTAACAATTTCTTCGCGATCGGAAAATCATAATATAAAGCTAAGATCAGTGGAACATCTTGCATATTTGTTGATATAGTACTCAAAAATATACCTATACAAGCTGCTTTGTTGAACTTACTTCGATCCAAAATGGGTAAAGATGAGAAATTCATTAATGTTTGGGATCTTCCCACTCCATTAATCAGAAGAATATTCGTTGAAGATGCAAAGATCTCATTTCAAGATTTAAAAGAACTTTATCATCTTGATATAAAATTTGGTCCTGTTTTAGAAGCTTCAATTGCTATAGTGACTAATGATCTTGATATACCACATAAGGCTATGACATCTATTGATGGGTTTGAAGCTCTACGATTTGATGTTTATAATACTGAGAACTTACAACAAAATGACTTGATGCACTATTCTTTTATTTATTTTATGGTTAATCCAAGAAAATTTGATTCTAAAGAGGCAATTAGTACATTTTCAGAAACTATACGTCCCTTGCCAAAGATAAAGCATAAAATTCAAATATTCAACAAGGATTTGGATCAAAGAATCTCAGTCCGTCATGGTAGATCATTCTTACCTACTAAAATGAGTGATATTTATGATTGGCCAGAATTGAAATGGTTGAGAACTTCTGACTTAACAAAATGGGATGAATTTAGTTTTCACAATGAGAAAATATGGTACAATCAAAATTTAAATACCATGTCTAGTGCTAAAATCACAACGTTGATAATAAGAGATACTTTTACGAATGATACTTATGATTATCATGATTTCAAAAATCTTTCATTCCCCAATTTACAAAAACTAATAATTGAATTCCCATCATTTCCTAGAGATGCTCTAAGCAAAGTAACAGAGAAGAGAGATTATTTCCAGTGTGATGATGCGTATGAAGCTGTTTTCAAACCAACTAAACAATCTTTCAAGCTAACATTCAATTCATGCTTTTTCCCAAAGTTAACTAGTATGAAAATAAGTTCAAATGCTAAAATTCAAGGGATTTTAAATTGTGATTTCTCAAGTTTACAAAGCTTAGAGTTTAGTAATAATTTTTTACTTTACATCAAGAATACAAATTTCAAAAACCTAAAGAAATTAGTTATCAATCCAACAATAAATATTACCAAAACACAATTATTAGGTTCAAACCAAATCCTAACAGAGGATCAATTTGATATAAATTTAGAAGGTATAATAGAACCATTTTGTGAGAAATTCAACATAAAGGAAGATAGAATAACAAGATTTCCTTCAATGTTCTTAGATAACGTTACATTAAGCTCTTTAAAATCATTACAAGTTCCACATGTCAACTCCATTTTGAGTGCAGAATTTACAGAAGAATTTGATGATCAATTAGATGAAGTTGTCATTGAACCAAGTCCGCCTAAAGATTATTCACTTGGTGCTATTGCTAATACTCCAACACAACCAGCTCTTAAATTTGATTTTTCAGCTTCGTCTAATACTAATGGGTCCACAACTAGTAATGGTAATACAGCTAAACCAGCTACAAGAACTAATTGATAGAATAAATGTAAATATTATTTTTCTCCGAAGATTTCGTAGCTGTTGTGAAAAATTATGTACAAAGAGGATTCCAACATTATATAAAGAAGTATAAACCTACTTTGTAATAATCGAAATATCAATCTTGTCTAAAGTTATCACCTGGATCTTTTGAAAAAATGGCAGCAAATATTCATTGGTTTGACGATATGGACTGCGCAATATATCTCTTATACACCCTTCCAGTAAAACTAATTAAATTTAATTCAAATATCCTATCGAGTGAGATGTTTGAATCATATCTGGACTGGAACATCTGCTTTTAGCTTTACCTTCAATGTGTCTAACATCTTCTTTTCGAATTTGGCACTCAACAAGGAATTTATATGAGGAAGTTGAATACTTTGTAAAGACTTTAAGTTATTATCATGGTTCAAAAATGTGGGGAATCTTTTGATAAGATTTCTTGAAACTTCATGTTTGGCACAAAATTCTTGAGTGAGGTTTTCTAAATCTAATTCCATTTCATCTTTATCAACTTGATATCCATCTTCTGTGATAAAGGATTGGGTATTGATCGTTGGCCGTATAATTAGTGATTCTATGTTGCTTAGATTTGTATTCTCAATCAACAATAGAAAATTATTGCTAAACTCTAACGATTTTAAACTTTTGAGATCACAACAGGAAATGGCTTCAATCTTGACATTCGAGCTCAATTCGAAGATCTCAAGTTTAGGGAAATCACAATCCTGAAGATACATCTTGAATGATTGGTGGCGAGGTAGTACTCGATACTTTCGTTTCGGGTCTGGAACTTTAACCGCGACTTCATCTTTAAAACTTCTCCAAACTCCAGATAATCCATCCGTTGGTTCATTTGGTGCTGTGATTTTCAGACTCTGTAGCCCCTGTAAGTGAATATTGACTAATCTATTGATCTTGATCTTAGTATCAATGAATCCCAGATTCAGATACTTGATATTATTGTATTTCATGCTCTGAAAAGGGATCGCGTCGGATCCTATTTCTTCATAACTTCTGGAACCTAATAATCCTAATAGATCATCCATTCCATCATTAACGGTAGGATTTATAGAAACCTTATTGTTACCTTTCTTATAAAGAGCCTTTTCTTCAAAGCTTGGATTGCAGATCTTGACTTTGTTTCCCACCTTCCTCAATAACGGTGCTATTTCCTTCAGATTTCCCATGCCCCTAGAACTATTCAATTCTACTAAGACCATACATCTATCAATAAGCGAGTTACGCAATGTATAATTTTTCAAAAGATCATAGCGATTTAATGAAAAAAATCTGATACCTTCAAAGCATAAAAGGGTACCTGTAAAACTAATATCATTAGACACCACTGCAACACATGCATTCAACACAGGTTGAAACTTGTCATCAAGATAAAGCAATTCTACCAAATCATCATAAGCAATCCCACCAAACTTCACGAATATACGTCTTAGAATATCAGCAGGTAGCTCCCATACATATTTCACCTTTTTCACTTCAGTTTTAGTCATTCAATTGGTAATGGTTCTTGATAATTCATATACGAGATTCGTCCTAATCCCAATGGGTATATAAGAATTTTAATAGTATTCGCCGCGATCTATAAATTTATGAATTACATAATCATGCTAGCGTCAACGGGACCGGGTTTTAAACGCTATTTCCGACGTCCGTTTGGTGATTGCCTAAAAGTATGACAAATTAAATTCGATTAGGAATCATTAGGAATCAATTGATTAGGAATCGAATGTGGTAAGAATATGACAAATTTCATTAGCAATTGATTAGGAATCTTAACAATAGACATCAGAGCGTATACGAACAATATGAAAATCAATTATACATATAGGAATGTTATAAAAGCAGATATGAATCCCAGTTCGTTCCAAATGTTCAAGGATACTATTTTGACCATCAATCAAGTCTAATATCTCATTGATAACAGTATAAATCTAAAATGTCTTCAAACGTCGCAATTATCTTCGGTGCTGGTGCCAAAGTTGGTACACATGTCACACAAAAGTTCTTACAGAACGGTTACAAAGTTGTTACTGTTTCAAGAAGTGACAATTTATCATTATCTGATGCTACTGGTGAAAGTTATTTCCATTTCAAAGGTGATTTAGCAGACACCAAAGTTGTTCCATCTGTTTTCGCTAAAACTAAAGAAGTATTCGGTGAACCAAATGTTGTTGTTTATAATGCTGCTGCTGTCTCCAGAACTACTCCAAATGGTGAAGAATTTTTAAAATTAACAGTTGAAGAAGTTGAAGCTGATCAATCTGTTAATGTTACAAGTGCTTTATTAGCTATCCAAGAAGCTGTTAAATCATTCAAAACTTTACCAAATGAAAAATCTAAAGCTTTTATCTATACAGGTAATATTCAATACTCACAACCTTTCCCATTCATCTCATCCCTTGGGTTAGGTAAAGCTGGTGCTTACTCTGCATTAACTGTTGCTAATGAATATTTCTCCAAAGATGGTTACAAGTTTTACTTTGCTGATGAAAGAACTGTCGAAGGTGGTCCAGCTGTTACTGGTGTCAGTGGTGAAGCTGCTGCTGATTTTTACTTCGACTTAGCTGAAAATGAAAACAAGGATATTCCTGTCTTAGCAACATTTGTTAAAGGTAAAGGTTATGTCAAGTTTTAAAGGAAGCTGAGTAGCTATTCGGAGGTTCTTGCCTAAATGATTATTAAATAGAAAATCAAATTATGTTAAGTTTTAAGCTTTAACAGCAATATACAAATGATTAACTACAATTTTGAGGTACTGTATGCTATCTTTATGTAAATTGATATGTAGATTGGGACTCAAAGTGAAAATGATCACTTTACGATGTTGGGTTTCGGATCTATGATAACTTTTTCCAATGATGACATGACATCCCTCGGTAGTTTAGCTGTCATTAAAGAGTTAATATGAGGAACTTGTAAATGTTTTAATGACTTGAATGTATTACCTTTGGCGAAAATAGATGGGAATTTCTTTATACGATCTTTTGAAAATCCAAATCTTTCACAAAACTTTTGAATGAAATCACCAAGGTCTAAATCAAATTGATCACCAGTTACTATAGTATTATTTGTTTTCTCATGATATGATTCAGTATTAATTGTGGGTCTTATAATCAACTTTTCAAGATTTGTGAAATTCGTATCTTCAATAATCAATAAAAAATTATTATTAAATTCTAGCTCTCGAAGACTTGAAAAATCACAGTTTTTAATAGACCCAATCCTCAATATCCTTTGATTAATTGTAAATGTTTCCACTTTAGGAAAATAACAACCTGATAATGAAAATGTGCTGTTATTAAAAATTGGAACAACTCTATGCTTTGGCATTTCAACTGAGATCTTTTCATTAAATCCTGTTGACTTATTTATTATTTCTTCATCTATCTTAGTCTTATATGTGGTAATGTCTAAAATTTTCAAATTGGGAAGGTTGATATCTTTTATATTGAAATTAACAGTTGATATAATCAAGGATAAACGTGTCATCATATTAGCTTGGAATTTAACGACATTTTTCCCTGTGGTTAATGAAGAATATTCATCGAATCCAAGAACAGCATTTGTATAAAGTCCGCATCTTTTAAATAAATCCAGTTCAACAGAAGGATCAGAACGTGGAAATGTTTCGTGCTCTTTGTTACCACTATAAAATAATGCTCTTTCTCTAAAGTTTTCATTAAATCTGTATGCTCTGTATCCAATTTCCTTTATAGTTGGGAACTGTGTCACTAAACCTTGTGATGATTTCATATGGTTCCAAGATATATATATGAAACAATACTGTTTAAGTCTTTTCACTATATGTTTATCATCAATATGATAAATATCAAAAGAACCATCCTTTCCCACCAAGCCCAATCCTGCAACACTCTGGATACTTGATCTCATATCAACCGAGTAGTCATTTGTCACCACAACAGCGCATGCTAATAACACAGGACGTACTTTTTGATCTAATTGATAGACTTTCAATAAAGATTCATATTTTATATCTGCATATTTAACAACAATATCACGAATCAATTGTCTAGGGAGATCAGCTATTGAAGCCATTTTTTCACGTTTCACTACCTCTTTCTTCACACCGTTTCCAACATCTTTCTTTCCAGCATCTGAATCAACCATTTCATCAATACTCTCTAGTTGTTCTTCTTTTAAATTATCAGTTCATGTAAACAAATTTTGGTACAATCTCCAAAAATTCGCGAATATCAATTTATTATAGTTTTCTGCAATTACGTAATCCGATTTAAAAATTAAATAAAAATTTCAAGACCGAGATGAGCTTCAAAATTTATATTAATACCCAATAAAGGATACATACAATACAGTTCAAATAACTATTCAAAGATGTCTAAATCCAAGTCCAAAGAATACGTCTCCGATAGTGACTCAGATGAAGAAGTGGTGTAAGTTTCCCAGTTTATAAGAGTTTCGAGTTTAAGATCAATACTAACTAATTTTTTATAGGTATCAACCACCAAAAGGTTATCAAAAAATCAAAGAATTCAAATCATTACCAAAAAACTTAGACAAGAAAGAAATATGGTTAATTAAAACACCAAAAGGTTTCAAATTTGATGGATTAACCAAGATTCCAATCAATTTTAATCCAAATGGAACATCATTAGATTTTTCAAAAGATTCTAAAAATTATAATATACAAGAAGATTTAACAAATTTTAACTCGAACTTAAGTGGGAAATCTGAAGATGTTTCAAGTAAATATAGTTTATTAATACCAAAAGAAACTAAAAATGGTTTAAAAATTCAAAATTCTTTGAAAATTAATAAATTTTATAATATTAAAGAATCTGTATCAATACCAGACATTAATTATGGTAAAGTTATCAAAAAGAGAAAAAACATTAGAACTATAAAAGGTTTAAAACCTCAACATTTTGCAACTGGTTATGACAGAGTTGAAGAAGATGTTGCTAGTGATGCTGAAGATGTTGAAATTAAAGATGAAGAAAAAGATCAAGATGGTGATTTGAAAATTGATGATGATGAAGCTAAAGTCGAAGCTAAAAAGGAAAAGAAAGATAAGAAGGAAAAGAAAGAAAAGAAAGAAAAGAAAGAAAAGAAGGAGAAAAAGGATAAAAAAGATAAAAAGATCAAAAAGGAAAAGAAATAGAATTTATATAATAAAATTTATACTTGTACAATATTAGAGATTAATAATCATAAAAAAAAATATATAAAAAGTTCATATAATGATATATTTAACTATGTAAATTCACATAGCTGCCTGTAACATATTTGATCACGCAGCTAAGTATTCATGAAACATATAAAAAAAACATACACTAGTATGTTATATGTCTTAGTATATTAAAGTATAGACATATTCAAAGGGCTGTAATATGTACCTTTACCTTAGTAGTCAAAAATACATCTCATCACCATGCATCGACAAAATTTTTTGACTTTGAAAAAGCTTTTCTATTCTGGTTTACTTTTGGCTTTTCAATATAGTCCGAGGGCGGATCAGGATATATCGTAGGTTCAATTGACTTCTCACTTAAAAAACCTTCATCAAATCCTAATAAAGAATTATAATGTGGAACTTGTAAGTCTTCGAGTGAATCGAATTTAACATCATCAATTATAAATGATGGGACATGTTCAATTTTAGATTTTTCCACACCATGCATGTCACAAAACTTGTTTACCATACCTTCAAGGCCTCTAATATCGAACTGACTTTCTTCTAATAAGCGTCCGCCATAAAAAACCTCCATCAGATTAATTGTTGAAGAAATGACCAGCTCACCTAAAGTCTCGAAGTTGGTATGCTCAATCAAAAGTAAAAAATTATTGCTAAAACAAAAACTTTCTAGTTTTGGGAACTCACAATTTGATATACATTCAATTTTAGCATTTGAATTTAGTTCAAAAGATTTCAAATAGGGAAAGCTGCATGATTTGAACGATAGTTTGCAAAATTGTTTCCTTGGTGTGAGCAGAGCTTCATATTCATAATCATAATAGAATTGATATTCATAGCTCTTCTTAAATTTAACTAATGAATCTTTTGGATATTGGGGAACTTCGATTTCAAAAGTTATTAAGTTTGGGAACCAAAGTTTTTCAAACTTATAATATTCTTTGGCATCACCAGATGTATCTAGTTCAATCTTCATCATGGTCAAATGATCACTAGATATAGTTCTGAGCTTCGAGTCAGGAACATTATAATTATGGAAACTAAAATGATTCCATTCCAATGTATTGAGGTTTTTAAGTACACTTGGGCATGGTTTGCTGTGGTTTATATTGCACATTTTTATCGGTTGGGGTGCTACTCCACGTCGTATTGATACCATTGGTTCAAAAGTTTTATTGAATACTTGAATTTTGTGATTTGTAGCTGCCATAACTGGAGATGGAACATTTTTTAAACAATTTGCAAATGATTTCAATCGTGGATTCACCATATAATAAACAAAACAATATTGAACCAAATGAGTTTCTCGTACAGTTTCTGCATCATAGGCGTCGAAATTCAAGTCCTGGAGGCCATCTAAAACTGTCATAGCTTTATGAGGCATATTAAAATCATTTGTAATTATAGCTATTGAAGCCTCTAATATAGGACCAAATCTTTTGTCAACATGATAAAGTTCTTTCAAAACCTCAAATGAAAATTTAGCATCGTCAACAAATATCTCTCTAAGTATATTTGATGGAAGATCCCATATACTAGCCAACTTTTGAGATTCACCCATAATCAACAAGGTTATAGATTTTTCAGTTCATAGCTTAAACTTGATAGATCTATGCATGAATTGGAAAATTTCGTTCAAATTATCAGCACATGAGCCCTAAAAATCTTTGTTTCCATGACAACGACTTCATGAATCATTAACCAAAGCGTCAAAACCTTTAAACCTCTGAACTTTTACAATGTTATGATCAAGAGATAACTTATTTGTATTAGCATTCTAAGTAGCTTGATCACATTATCAGATGCAGTTATATAAATATTGAATAATTATTTTGAGTACGTCCATATTCAATATATCAATTTCAGCTACGTCGTCTAGCTCTATATAGTACATAGTATACATGTATAATGTGAATTACATTATAAACAATATATATTGTTAAGCTGACGTCCATTTGTCCATGTATCTATTAACACATATTGTATGTGAATGCACATATCCCCAAACCATATTTTACCACCTGAATATTCATGAAACATGAATAAATCTATGGATATTCATGTAGCTTAAACGGTTAGTATATAGACAAACTCAAATCTTTACCATATGCACTATTAGCTTGAAATGAAATAGACTAGTTTCCTTATCATGGATTGGAAGAGCTTGAATTAGAAGTAGTTTTTCTTTTTTCATTTGCTCTTGGTGTAACAACATAACCTGTAGGTGGATCAGGATGTATGATAGGTTCAATTGACTTCCCACTTAAAAATCCATCATCAAATCCTAATAGAGAATTTGAATGAGGGACTTGCAAAGTTTCAAGTGAGTCAAGCTTAACATTATTTACTATAAATGATGGGAAACATTTGATTTTAGATTTGGCTACTCCATGCATGTCACAAAACTTCTTTACCATACCGCTAAGTCCTCTTATATCAAACTGATCTTCTTTCAATAATCCTGCAGAACTATGATTCACCTTCATGAGATTTATCGTTGGATTAATGACCAAATTTTTCAAAAGCTCAAAGTTAGTATCTTCAATCAAAAGCAAAAAATTATTATTAAATTGAAGACGTTCTAGTTTTGGAAATTCACAATTTGAGATGCATTCAATCTTTGCATTTGAACTTAGTGTGAAATAATTCAACAAGGGGAATTTGCATGATTTGAATGATAATTTGAAAAATTGTTTTTTTGGTATAAATAAACCTTTATACTGGTCATCATGGTAAAATCTGTACTCGTTGTTCTTGAGTTCAACTAATGAATCTTTTGGATATTCACGAACTTGAATTCTCAAATGCTTTAGGTTTGGGAATGAAAAATTTTCAAATCCATAATATTCTTTAGCATCACCATAGGTACACAGTTGAATTTTCATTACTCTCAAGTTTTGACTTGACAATGTTTTAATATTTGATTCTGGAATCTTATGATTATTAAAACTAAAATTATTCCACTCCAATGCTTTAACACTTGGAAATAATTGATGGACGTGGTTAGTATCGTACAATTTTACTTCTTGATGTGAAACCCCGGTTCGTACAGATGCCAGTTCCACTAAAGATTTATTAAAGACTTGAATTTTAAGGTTAAAACATTTCATAAGTGTTGATGGAACATTTTCAAAACATTCTGTGAATGATTCTAATCGTGGATTCACCATGACATAGACAAAACTATATTGAATCAATTGAGTTGCCCTTACTTTCTCTGTGTCATATAGATCAAATTGTAAATCTTCAAATCCATCTAAAACTGTCATAGCTTGATGAGGCATATTAAAATCATTTGTAATTATAGCTATTGAAGCTTCTAATATAGGACCAAATCTTTTGTCAATTTTATAAAGTTCTTTTAAAACGTCAAATGAAATTTTAGCATGGTCAACAAATATATTTTTTAAGTAAAGGAGTTGGAAGATCCCATATATTGACCGACTTTGGAGGTTCACCCATAATCTTATTCAGCAGAGTTGAAAATGGTTCTTGTAATTCGACTTTAATGCATGAGATCTATATTGGATGAATTGATAAAATTCTATTAAATTATCAATCTTTAACCCTTAAGAATTGTTGTTCCCACGACAACGACACAACGCGCCAAAACCAATTCAAACATCTGAACTATTACAATATTAAGATCAATAGGCAACTGGCAGTCTATATCTATATTATAATATGAGATCGAACATCCGTGTACGACGTATTGCAGAAAATATAAATATAATTTTGTACTTATATTAGATAGCTTTAGTTGCTGGTGGTCTAGAATTCTATATATATAACGTACTATACATCTATATAATTGAATATCCAAGTGACCAAAAACCTTGCATATGCTTTATATCTTAACATATATCAAAAAATATACGGAAATTACATATATCTAAAGCTATAAGTGAATGTTCATAGACCGGCGTAAACAATATTCCATCACTCTAAGCAATCATGAATTTAAATATATACCTAAGGATATTCACTCAACTTAGGCGGTTGGTACATAGGCATACTCAAATGACTATCATATACATTATTATAATCTAACTTGAAATAGACCAATACCCTTATAATAGAGTCACAGAACTTCTTCATTAAGAAGTAGTTTTCCTCTTTTTAGTTCCTTTTGGTTTTGGAATGTAACCCATAGGTGGATCAGGATGTATGATAGGCTTAATTGAATTCCCAATTAAAAATCCATCATCAAATCCTAATAAAGAGTTAGCATGAGGGACTTGCAAAGTTTTAAGTGAATCAAATCTAACATTTTTTACTATAAATGATGGGAAACATTTAATTTCAGATTTTTCAACTCCATACATCTCACAAAACTTTTTAACAGTATCGTCAATGCCTCTTATATCAAACTGATCTTCCTTTAATAAGCCTAAATTCCTATGATTCATCTCCATGAGATTGATCGTTGGATAAATGACCATCTTTTTCAAAGTCTTAAAGTTGGTATTTTCAATCAAAAGCAAAAAATTATTATTAAATTCAAGTTTTTGTAGTTTTGGAAAATCACAATTTGAGATACATTCAACCTTAGCATTCAAACTTAGTTCAAAGGAATCTAACGTTGGAAAAGAGCACGATTTGAATGATAAATATTTGTAATATTGTTTCGTTGGTTTAAACAGATGCTCAGAACTTGTGCCACGATAATATCTATACTCGTCATTCTTGAGTTCAAGTAATGAATCTTTTGGGGATTCAGGAACTTCAATTATTAGGCTCTTTAGGTTTGGGAATGAAAGTTCTTCAAATTTATAATGCTCTCTAAACGGCTTACCAAGTTCAATCTTCATTGACGACAAGTTTTTGCTTGACATTGTTTTGATATTTGAGGATTTAATATTACTATTATCAAACCCAAAATGATTCCATTCCCTTGAATTACTATAATAATTTGGAAATACTCTATCGAGATTAATATTGCACATTTTCATTTTTTGAACAAAAAACCCATTTCTTACAGATGCAAATTCCCTAAACAATTTATTAAATACTTGAATTTTGAGGCATGTAGAATATCCCATAGGTAATATTGATGGAGCAGTTTTAAAACATCCTGGAAATGATTCTAAATGTGGATTCACCATAAAATAAGCAAAACAGTATTGGATCGAATGATTTCGTTGCATGTTTGCTGCATCATAGGTATCAAAGTGTAAATCTTCAAGACCATCTAAAGCTGTCATAGCTTGATGAGGGATATTAAAATCATTTGTAATTATAGCGATTGAAGCCTCTAATATAGGGCCAAATCTTTTGTCAAGTTGATAAAGTTCTTTCAAAACATCAAATAAAATTCTAGCATGGTCAACAAATATATTTCTAAGTAAAGGAGTTGGAAGATCCCATATATTGACCGACTTTGGAGATTCAACCATAATGTTATTCAGCAGAGTTAAAAATGTAGCTTGTTCGACTTTAATGCATGAATTTTATATTGGATAAATTGATAATTCTATATTCAAATTACAAGTTTTAACCCTTAAGAATTGTTGTTTCCACGACAACGACATCATAATGATCTGTAACACAAATATCAAATTAGAGGAAATCATTAATCGCTTCATGTTATCTGTCCATCCAGTGGTACTATTGATCATTGATAAGACTATCTCGGCTATAATCACCCATTATACGTCTATTAATATATTAACAAGGCCATAATCTGAAGGAGTGATACAATATTGCTTATATACTCTGCTATAGTATGTACAAGCTGTGAAAAGTACAGATGAATGAAAAAAATATAAAGTTCATATCTATTAACATATGTAAATATATACTTATAATATAATAAGTTTTAAAAATCGTCCCATTTCCATTATCTTCCTTGACTATAGTCTTTTAATATACCAGTCATATGAGTATTTGTAATCTTCCCCTTTCTTTGTTTTCTTTTTTTTTGTGGTTCATTATTTGTATTTTTAACAGTTGCAGGATCAACACTTGCAGGTTTTAAACCACGTTTATTTAATAAACCAGGTAATTCAGATCTATCAGGTAATTTAACATTCAGCCATAATTTAACAAATTCTTCATCAACTATACCTAATTCACCACCAACATTTGCCCAAACTAATCTTGGATGATTATCCTTTTTAGTTCTTAAAACCAGAATTGAACCTTCTTCTTCTAATTCATTTATACTTTGAATACATTCATTCCAACCATCTTTTAATTCTTTAACAGATATACCTTTAAAAGTTGGTTGTTGTCTAAGGAAAATTAATAAATCATTTTTATCTTTAATATTATGAATTGAAACATATTCTAAAGTATTATCATCAGGATTAAAATAAATTTTATCTAAATTTTTAACCAGAGTTAATAATTTTGATTTTTGTTCATCATTGTTTAAACTTAAATAAGATAATAATGTATCAATAGGTACAGGATTAACTCTTTCTTTAATATATTCCACAGCTAATAATAATTTAGTTGATAAATGAGAACCCGAGGTATCATAAGCAGGTTTCTTATTCTTAATTGGTTTATCATCAAATTCATCATCATCATCATAATCTAAAGCAGAACGTTTATTACCCGAACTTGAACTACTTAATGGTTTTCTTGATTGTGATTGTGAAGGTGGTGGTGGAGTTGAATTTGGTCTTCTTGATGGCAAAACAGGAGCTGTTTTAACCTTGTTTTTGAAAGCGTTAAGATTAGCTAGTAATGGATTCGACATTGATGGGAAAATGATCTGATAGTATTGCAGCAACTTGTACCAATGTACTTCTTGAACGAAAAGTATTCAAGTATCAAATACATCAAATATAATACTGAAATATCATCACAAATTCAAATCAAATGCCCTATGCTTATGTAAATTTTATATAATAGTCACATGACACAGTTTTCAAAAACATCCAAACACCATTTTTAAACTTCACCAACTTTTTAAATTTTTTCCAATCTGTTAAATTCTTTCCTTCTCTGAACACTTTTTTAATAAAACCAACAAACAGTTTCTTGTTCAGCAATTGGTTCAAGTGAGATCTTACTTATAAAGTGGATGGTCAGTTTTAGTTGATGATATGAATGACTGTGGCTATTTCATGGGGTCTCAATAATGCTTGGGTGTCTTGTTTGTTCTGAGAGTTGTTTGGAGATTAATCCAGTAAGAAGGTCTCTTAAGGGAGGTCTTCTTCTTCATCTTTAAAACCATCGCTGTTCGAGGTCGCCGTCAGTCTTGTACTGGGTCAGGCAGACCCATGAAATGGTGATGACCTATAGATTGGAACATTCAATTGTGTATAGACTAGAATGGATAGTTTGTTGTTGTGAAAAGTTATTACAATGTAGATTAATTTGATGGTTATATGATTGATCAATTTGATTAACACATAACTTCTTTCTTCAAAAGCAGTACACTCACTGTATGATCTCTGTATATATCAATAGTTAAGTCGAAATGAACCTAGGTAATACCATCAATATTGACAGGGGTTGATTCTTGTATGTAAATATTACATCGCGCTCATAGATTGGCTTGCAAATTTATATAGAAAATATAATATTGTGATATCATCAACAAAACTATAGTCAAAAGAGCTCTAAAAATGGTGCCATTATACCTAAACCATATCCTAGGAACACATTCATATAACTTTCATCTTGATTGGAGCATGGCAATACCTTCATGAGCATACTTAAATTTGCAAGTTTCCTCATAGTGAAAGAAAGTGTATAAACAGTGTGTTTCTAAGTGTAGAGCTGCAACATTGCTGTTTCTGTAGTATGTTGTCTAACAAACTATGTGTAACAATTCCCTTAAAAATAGATTATTTACTTTATATACAACCATCATAATTTAAAATATTCATCATTGATAACTGTGTTGATTTGACGAATCTGACCTGGCTAAAAGTTGAATTTTGGAATTTTTGGATTCATTTTCACGTGATCTGAGATTTAGGAATTCGCGGGTACTTTAAATAAAAAGAAAATATTAAGCCTATAAGAGAATCTCATATAACAACATTTTATAAATATTAAGGAAAGCAAATAAAGTATAAGAACAACAAGTAACAGAATCATAAAGAATTAATATAATATCATATAAGAATAACCACAAATACCAAAAAATGTCACTTTTAAAGAGTTTCATAAGACTCTATTCAAAATCATCCAAATCCGCCACTACTAAATCTTCATTTAATAAATTAAAATTAGAAAAAGCTTTAAATTTTTTACAAAATGATTCAAAATTTAATTTTAATACTATAACTGAAGATGAAAAATCAAATTATGTTAATGATTTTACACAAATCTTATCTTCTGGTTTAGAAAATAAAGAACAAACTTCAAATGTTAAACATCATTTTAATCAATCTTTATTAGGTTTGAATCATCTTTTACAAAATAATACATCAACAACCAAGAAGACAACTCCCTTAGTTAAACCATCTCAATGTAATTTTGATGAATTATCACATTTAATTAAAAATGTTGAAAATTCCGATCAATTATTACATATATTTGATGATTTAGTTCATAATAATTCATTAAATAGTCGGAATTTAAAATTAATACTTTGGAATAAAAATCCAATAAATTTAGATCATATATTGAATAAGATTGAATTTATAAATAATAATAATAATCAATATGATAAATTATTAATCTTGGTTTTCTTAAAAGCAAGTTCAATTAAATCTTATAAAATTGTTAATCAATTATTTAAAAATTATATGGATAATTGGATAAATTTAAGAAATAATGGTGAATTATCACCTTTTTTGGAAAGAGCTTTATATCAATCTTTAAAACAAAGTGGATTAAAATTAAATGATTTATTACCAATGTTTGAATTCACTTCAACTCAATATTTATTATTAATTGAATCATTACCATTTGATATCAAAACTTGGATAACAACAAATTATTATTTAGAAAATTCTTCAAATTTTACTAAAAATCAACATATTTTCATCAAGACTTTATTATTCTTGGTTAATAAAGTAAAATTTAATCAAAATACTAAACCATTAATTACAAAATTATTAAAAATTTCTATATCAAATAAAATTCATAAAGAATCTGTTAATGATGAACAAACTTTAACTATACAAAAACATAGATTTCATCATGATTTAACAAATTTATTACAAGACTTACATAATAATAATAATGATTTAGAATTATTAAAAATAATGGAAATGTTGAATGAAGATAATAATGAAATTCAACAACCTATACTAAGATTTGTCTAATAATAACATACTACAATATGGGAATATAACGGGATAATATGATATGACTGCATTTTTAAATACTAAATGAAATAAATAATGATTAAATGAATAAAATGTAGGTTTAAGTAATACCTGTACATTGTTGTTCTATTATTCTTTTTTGTTTTTTGTTGTTTTTCTATTGTTCGGTTATTTAAAAGGTGCACAAATTTAGGTTGCGGAGTTATAAAAGGCCACACCCGAGCAAAGTTAATTGTTATCAGATGAGACATAAATAATAAATTATTCCCATTGATTCCCATTTTTAAACCATTATAAATCAACTAATTCAACTAATAAGTATCAAAGTTGTTTGGAAATGATTGAAAAGATAGATCCCAGTCAAAATATAATCAAGAATTCAGATATAAAACATTCAAGGGTTTGGACTACTTTGATTACAAATACTAAATATTTAACTGGGTTATTAACATTAAATTACTCTTTACAAAAAACTGGTTCAAAATATCCATTAGTTGCATTATACACCGAAGGGTTAAATGAAGAAGGTCATAGAGTTTTAGATGATCGAGGAATTTTAAAATTGAAAATTGAATACTTATTACCAACAAAGAACAAAGATTATTCTCAAGATCCAAGATTTTATGATTGTTGGTCCAAGTTACAACCATTTTCTTTGGTTCAATTTGATAAAATTGTTCAATTAGATTCTGATATGATTGTATTACAAAATATGGATGAATTATTTGAATTGGATTTGAATTCAACAACTAGATGCTTTGCTGCAAGTCATGCATGTGTTTGTAATCCTTATAAATATAATCATTATCCAAAGGATTGGATTAAAGAAAATTGTGCATTTACAAATTATAATGATAAATTAAATGATCCAAATGATGAAGTGTTGGGACCAAAACCAAGTGATGAACCTTTGGGAATATGTAATGGTGGATTACAAGTTGTTAAACCAAATCAAGAATTATATAACAAGATAATTAAGACTTTAGATAATGATGATTTAATTTTAAATTATGAATTTGCAGATCAATCATTATTATCAGATATTTTTAAATCAAATTGGATTGGGATATCATATATTTATAATTATTTGAAAACATTAAAACAAGTTCATCGGGATCTTGATTTTGGAAAAGTTAAGAATATTCATTATATCTTGACACCAAAACCTTGGGATATTAAACCAGAGGATAGATTAAAATTCAATGATGAGAGTGATACTTTCAAGTATTGGTGGGATGTTAATGATGAACGGTTATTAGAAGAGGAAAAACAAGGTATTAAAGATGGATATTGATTATCCACATGTATTAGATTAATTGGTATTATTTTTATAAAGTTTGTATAAACATGGGTTTTTGTATTATTATATTATTATATTATATTATTAGTTATTATTAGTTAGTACATAAATTAAGATTTCTTTATTGTTTAATCAACTTCATTTGTAAATAATTCTTGTGATAAATGAGCACCATAAACTGGTGGTTTAATTTCTTTAACATTTTGGTTTTTCAATGAATCACCTTTACCACCATAAATTTTAGGTACATCATTACCTAAATATTTAACAAGATTTTCTGAATTATTTAAAACAATAAATTTCCTTGTTGTAGTATCTGATAAGAATTTTTTAACAAATTCAAAAACCCAAAATAATAATGAAGGAACATTAACGAAAAATTTCTTGTATAATAATTCAGGATAATAATCTTGAAAAATTTGTATTGTAGCTTTACTACCTTTTTTAACATCAGGATCAAATTTTAAAAATGAAACACCTTTATAATCATGAATTTGAGTTGCAAAATTATTTTCAGGTTTAGTAAAATCTAATAATTGAACATTTCTTTCCATTAATCCAACCCTATAACGTAAAAATTTATCCAAATCTTTAAATAATTCTTTTGGATTACCACCAGCACCGTATAAATTCCATGTTATATTCTTTGTATTTGCTTCATTATTTGAATAAGTTGTTAAAATCCCAATATCATCAAATTTTGAATCGTGATCTTCATTAAAAGCAGCACTTAATGGATTGAATTCTTTCCTCCATTTTAAAGTCTTGGTTAATTGTTCTCTTGTCAAGCCCAAGTCAAATTCATTAGCCACTAAGAATTTATAAACTAGGGCATGGAAAACATCTTGATTAAAATATTCACCATCTGAGGATAATTGATGACCAAATAATTCATCATATTGTGAAACTTTAATTATATCAGGGATTTGTTTGATAAATTCATCAAATTTTTGTTTTTGATCATCAGTTTCTAAATGAACTGTTTTCACTGTGACATTGGACATGATGAAAGTGGTCAATTGTCTGGTTTGGAAATTGGGATCAAGGGTTTAAGAATGTTTGAGTTTATGATTGTTTTGATTTTGTCATAATCGCGCCATATTTTTATCAAAACAATCAGTACCAACAAAGAAGATTCGGGAATAAATTACAAGATATGGAAAATCTTCATGAATTGAATAGATAATTATATAATATTAAGTTAAAATTATAAATATATTAAAAAATTAGCTTCCTCAATTTGTTTTTTTCTCTTGAGAAATTGGTTTTTTCTTATAAACCAAAATTTGAATGAATAAAATTGCATTCAATACTAAACTAGCACCAAATCCTAATAAGATTAAATGATCTTGAATACCAGCTGATAATGTAGTAAATACCCTGATAATAGCACCAACAAATCCAGCACCGACTGACACGGGAGATAATTGACCAGTTGATTTATTTTTAATATTATTCAAAATTTGTGGTAATTTGGATAATAAAGTTAATGGCAATGCTAATTTAATTAAATTCTGAACATTATCATTTGACAAGACACCAGGTTGACCAATATTTGGATTTGCGAAAAGTGAATAAAATGTTAATGATAATAATCCAATAAATCCATTAATATATTTTGTTAATCCACTATAATATAAAATTAATAATAATATTATAATATTTTGAAATGAAAGAAATGCAGATTCACCAAATGTTGTGAATTCGTTATTTTGTCTAAAATTATATGATAATGTAATCAATTGACTAATAGTTTCTAATAAAATACTAACAAATGATAAACCAGTAGTTGAAGCATTAGAAATAATTGATAAGATTTGTGGTAATTTAATAATACCAGATGATCCAACAATAGCATAACCTAATGAAGTAGCAATGAATTTTGTTAATAAAGGAGCAGCTGAAGGTGAAAACAAATCTAATTTTAGAATAATTGTATCGAAAACTGGTCTTGTATATAATTCTCGACCATATTGAATAATTTGAGGTGGTAATTGACCAGTATATGGTCTCAACACTGCTAAAACAGGGGATAATACCGGCTCCAGTGACTTAATAATAGCTTCCACTTTGTCAGACATTGTATAATATATCAATTGAGAGATATTCAATTCAATTGATACAAATCAAAACTTTCTTTAATAAACACGTAAGACATAATAATAATAATAAAAATTCGCGGGTTGTGGATTTCTCGGTTCGCGCACTCGATTTTTATAGGCTTCGAAATTCAAAATGGATTTCAATTTTTGAATTTATATAGGAGATTTCATTGGAAATATAGGAGATCAATACACTCAATTACCACTCAATTGCACTTGGATCATGTCATTCAACTATCAGTACGGTGGCAATGGGCAACAGGGTCAACAATTCCCAGGACAGCAACCACAACAGAGCTTTGGTGGTTATCAACAACAACCTACTGGATTAGGTTATCAACAAACTGGATTCCCTCAACAGCAACAACAACAACAATCATTTGGTTCTTTCCAACAGAATCAACCATCGTTTGGTGGTGTTCCATCATCAACTACTGATCAACAACAATTTGGTCAAACTGCTCCAACTTCAAATGGTGCTCCAGCTTATGCAACTAATATTGACCAGTTGTCTTTCTTGACTCCACAAGATCAACAAAAATTTAAAGAATTATTTAATAGTTCTACAAATAATGTTTCAATATCACCAGAAAATGCTAGAGGTATCTTGATGAAATCTAATTTAGGACCATCTCAATTAGCAAGAATTTGGGATTTATCTGATTTAAATAAATCTGGTGATTTACTATTCCCTGAATTTGCATTAGCTTTACATCTTTGTAATTTTGCTTTGAAAGGTAATGAATTACCATATGTCTTGGATTCAAGAACTAAAGAAGAAGTCACTGGGTTAGTAGATAAGATTAATTTTAGTATACCTGAAGACGTTAATGCAATTGGTCAAGATGCTCCTGTTTTACAACCAAATATTACAACTTCAAATATCTTCACTCAACCTCAGCAACAACCTCAGCAAACTCAACCATTTCAACAAACACAAGGCACTTATCCTCAAACTTCAACTTTGACTTCACAACCAACTGGATTTGGTTTTGGAAATAGTTTACCTTCACAACCAACTGGATTTCAATCACAATCTCAACCTCAACCTCAACAATCAGGATTACAATCACAAGTTACCGGGTTCCAACCTCAATCTCAAAGTTTCCAACATTTGAATACAAATTCTACAGGTTTTCAACAATCAAATCAACAAACATCATCAAGTTTCCAACCTTTACAGCCAACACAGACATCTAACAATCCAATTTCAACTCCATCTTTGAATCAACAACCAACTGGGTTCCAAAATCAATCCACATCTGGTTTAACTCAACAACCAACTGGTTTTCAAAATCAATCTACAACTGGGTTAACTCAACAGCCAACAGGCTTCCAAAATCAATCTACTACTGGCTTAACTCAACAACCAACTGGTCTTATACCATTGAAAACCCAAGGAACTGGTGCTGCTCCATCATTACAACAACAACCTACCGGTCTTGTACCATTAAACACTCAACAAACTGGAACTGCTGGTAACACTTTAGCGCATCAACAAACTGGTGGTCAGCCTTTGCAACAACAACCTACAGGGCTTGTTCCATTGCAAGGTCAAAATACAGGTGGTCAACCATTAAAACAACAACCAACAGGTTTAATCCCAATTAAAAATCAAAATACCGGAGGTGCTCCATTAACTCAACAACCCACTGGTCTTGTTCCACTACGAAATCAACAAACTGGTTCTGCTCCTATTTCAGCTCCAATTCAACAAACACCAACTGGTGGAGCTCCATTAACTCAACAACCTACTGGGTTAGTACCATTAACAACAACTGCAACAGGTTCAGTTGCTTTACAAACACAATTAACAGGTCCAGCTCCATTACAATCTCAAAGAACTGGATTTGGTAATTTTGAGCCTTTAAGACAACAAAAAACTGGTGTTGGTCAAAATAGTTTATTTTTACAAAATTTATTACAACAATCACAACAACAACAGCAACAACAGCAACAACAAATGTTTTCAAGTAATTCATTAAATTATACAACTGAAACAATATCTCCACAAGAAAAACAATTATTTAATAGAATTTTCCAAAATTATGATACAAATAAAAAAGGTTTATTAACTGCAGATGTTTCAGCTGAAATTTTTAGAAAATCAGGTTTAAATCGTTCTGAATTAGAACAAGTTTGGGACTTGGTCACAAGACCAAATCAATCACATCTTGATAAAGAATCATTCCAAACAGGTATGTGGTTAATTTATAAAAGATTAAATGGATTTGAATTACCGGATTTCTTACCAGAATCTTTAAAACCACAAAGTATTAGAATTTTAGATGATGTTAAAAATCAATTGAAAATTAATCCAAATTCAAAAAATTCTAAAAAATCAAGTCATTCTAAAATTGATGGTACAAGATTTAAAAATAATGATGATGAATTTGCTCTATCTTCATCAAGAAATAGAAGAAGAACAACAAAAGCTAATAATGGTGAATCTGGTTCAGTTCAAAATAAACCAAAAGAAAATTTATCAATTGATGAAATCAAGAAACGTATTAGAGAAAAGAAAATTTTGTTAGATGCTTTTGATGCTACAGGATCTGATTTGAAAGAAAAAGAAGTTGACTATGAAAAAGAAGATCAAGAAGCTATATTACGTCTAAAGCAAGAAATTTTATCATTACCAAATACAAATTCTGTTGGAGATGATAAAACATCACAATTAAAACAAAAATTTAATGGATTAACTTCACAAGTTCCAGTCTTAATTAATCAAATCTCTTCAATTGATAATGAAATTACAAGATTAAAATTAGACTTATATAAAGTTAAAAATCCTTCTTTTGTCATTGGAAGTGGTCCAAATGGTGAAGTTACTGAAGCTGATAGACGTAAAGCTAAAAGTAAAGCTTTATTAGCTGCTAAAATGGCTAAATTAACTGGTAAACCAATTGATCCAGAAGTTGAAAATTTAAGTAATGAACAAGGTAAATTAGATGAAGAAGCTTTAAAAATTCAACAAGAGAATAAAAAAAATCAACAAATTATTCGTGATGTCGAAAGTTCAATTAAAGAAATTTCAAGTAATGTCTTGAATTCATTCAGTTCTAAAAATGATCAAGATGGTTATAAAAAATGGGAATTAGGTATTGGGGTTACACCTGAAGTTCAAGAATTAATTAAATCATTTAGAGTTAATGATTTATCAAATAAATTCACAAGATCTTTACAATTAGATTCTTCACCAAGCCCTGCGCCAACTTCACAATATTCATCACCTTCAATTCCACAAGCTTCAGTTCAATCACCTGTTGTTGCATCACCATCCCCAACTCCAACTACAAATACAGTCTCCCCAACTCCAACAAGTGGTTCAGCAAATTATAAGACACCTGAAGAAAGAAAAGCATATATTAGAGAACAAGCTAAAAAGAAGATGAATGAAAGACTTGCTAAATTTGGTATCAATAGAAGCTCTTCACAAAGTTCACCTTCTGTTTCTAAACCTGCTTCACCAGCTCTCCCTGCCTCACAGCCTATCCCACAATCTCAGCAATATCAACCATCATCAGAACCACAACTACAAGCTGAAATTCATCAACCATCTCAACCACCTCAACCAGTTGCTGAACATCAATATCAACAATCAATACAATCACAAGGCCCACCACAAGATGAAGAATCCTCAGATGATGATGATGAAGTTGAATTCCAAAGAATGGAGGAAATTAGAAGATTGAAAAGACTTGAAAGAGATCAAAGATTGGCCCAAATAGATACAGAAGATACTAATCCTACTGAAACTTCATCTACTATTCCTGAACCAGTTCCTGATCCGGTTCCTACAACAGAAGTACCTTCAGAAACCGAGCAACCTAGAAAATATCATGATTCCAATCCTTTTGCATTCAAATAAACAATCCATTGTATAATATAGATATTAAATGTATTTAAAAGTGTTAATTTCGTATTGTTTATCGTTGTCGTATATTATATTAATATTTCGCGTAACTGCAGAGGTCCATGTTTTTTTTAATACCCGAGAGCGTGTTTATAAAGAACACAACACGTCAGAATCTGGAAATCAATAAGTTACAACAACCAAGAAGATCTTTGAATCCAGGTTACAATTCTAGGACAAAATGGCGTCAATACTAGGGAACAACCGTCTTGTGCTTCTTCTTGTGGGTGTTGCCTTCCACTTGTTCTACTTATGGTCCATTTTTGATATTTATTTTGTCAGTCCATTGGTTCATGGTATGGAACCTCAATTGAGTACACCTACACCTCCAGCTAAAAGATTATTCCTCATTGTTGGTGATGGGTTAAGGGCTGATACCACTTTTGATAATATAACACATCCAACTACGGGGAAAACTGGTTATTTGGCACCTTTCTTAAGAGATATTGTTTTAAAAGAAGGTACTTATGGTATATCACATACTAGAATGCCAACAGAATCGAGACCAGGTCATGTTGCTATGATTGCAGGGTTTTATGAAGACGTTAGTGCTGTGACAAAAGGTTGGAAAGAAAATCCAGTTGATTTTGATAGTGTCTTGAATCAAACTAAACATACTTATAGTTTTGGTTCCCCAGATATTTTACCAATGTTTGCAGATGGTGCTTCTGATCCAAATAGAATTGATACTTGGATGTATGGTCATGAATTTGAAGATTTCACACAATCATCAATTGAACTAGATGCTTTTGTTTTCAGACATTTATACGAATTATTTGATAACTCTACAAAAGACAAAGAATTGAAATCACAACTTCATCAAGATCAAACAGTTTTCTTTTTACATTTATTAGGTTGTGACACTGCAGGTCATGGTTATAGACCATATTCAGCTGAATATTACGATAACGTTATCTATATCGATGAACAAGTTGCTAAATTGACTAAAGAAGTTAAAAACTTTTTTGGTGATGATGATACTGCCTTCATTTTCACAGCTGATCATGGTATGAGTGCTTTTGGTTCACATGGTGATGGACACCCGAATAATACAAGAACCCCATTGATCGCATGGGGTGCAGGTTTGAATAAACCAATCTATAATAAAGAACCAGTCTTTGATGATTATACTGAGAATTGGAATTTGGCTAATATCAAGAGAAATGACATTAATCAAGCTGATATCGCTTCATTGATGTCTTATTTGATTGGTGTTAATTATCCTTCAAATTCTGTTGGTGAATTACCTTTGGCTTTCATTAATAGTAAAGAAGAAGACAAATTGAAAGCTTTATATCAAAATGCCTTAAGTATTGTTGAACAATATCATGTTAAAGAACAAGAAATGAAAGAATCTCAATTTTTCTTCAAACCTTACCCAGCTTTTGAAAAGAAATCCATCAAACAATATCATGAAGAAATTGAAGAGCTAATCACTGAAATTGCTAAATTGAAGAAGATTGACGAAGAAAAGGAAGTTGAAGCTATTAAACTGACTGAAGAATTGATGAAGACTACTTTAGATGGGTTATACTACTTGACAACATATAATTGGTTAATGTTGAGATCTATCGTGACTCTTGGTTTCATTGGTTGGATCACATACTCATTTATCATCTTCTTGAGACTTTTTATCATCGAAAAAGATATTCCAACTTCAGTCTCATTCTTGAATTTTGCTGTGTTTTCATCTATTGGTTTAGTTTTCAATTATCTCTTATTTTATCAAAGATCACCATTCAACTTCTATATGTATTTAGCGTTTCCAGTTTTCTTTTGGAGTCAGATTACATCAAAATATGTTCTATTGAAAAATGGTTTACAATCTTTTTTCAAAGGTATTGATCTACTTAACAGGATTTTGATTTTGACTGCTATTATTGGAGTTTATGAAGGTATTGTTTACGGGTTCTTCGAAAGATTTATCTTTACAGCTTTCTTCATTATCTTAGGTTTCTATCCTATCATTTTGGGTGTGAAAGATGTTACCACTTTATCATTCTGGTTAATTACAAATTTGGGAATGAGTACATATACTTTATTTGATGCTGTCAAAACAGAAGACTTGAAACAAATCAATGCTGCTAGTATTTTAATCTTATCAGTCTCTGTTGCTACTTACTACAAAATTTTACAACTTGCAAAACAAAACATCAACTTCCCAAAGATTTCATCCCATACTAAGACTTTAATTTCAGCTCAAATTGGATTAATTGCATTAATGACATTAGTCACCAACAAATCAGCCCTTTCTTTACAGGCTAGAGAAGGTCTCCCAAAAAGTTCACAAGCCCTTGGTTGGATTATTTTTGTTTTGTCATTGATTGTTATCCCATTCCTTCATTATTTGAAACCACACAATGATTATAGAATTAGACTTTTGATTATTTTCCTAACATTTGCACCAACATTCATTATTTTATCTATCTCATTCGAAGCATTATTTTATGTCAATTATTCTTTATTATTATTACAATGGATTAGAATTGAAAGTTCATATTTCCAAAAACAAGGCGCAAAGATTGAGAATTATTCACAATTATTAAGAGTTTCAGTTATCGGATTTTTATATTTACAAGTTGCATTCTTTGGTTGTGGTAACGTTGCAAGTATTTCATCATTCTCCTTAGACTCTGTCTATAGGTTGATGCCAATCTTTGATCCTTTCCCAATGGGTGCATTGTTAATGTTAAAATTAATCATTCCATATGTATTATTGTCTACTGCATTAGGTGTTTTGAATGTTAAATTAGGTATCAAACCATACACAATCTCAACATTGATCATTTCCACAAGTGATATTTTGTCATTAAATTTCTTCTTTCTACTTAAAACTGAAGGTTCTTGGTTAGATATTGGTGTTACAATTTCAAATTATTGTTTGGCTATCTTATCAAGTTTATTCATGTTAATTTTGGAAATCATTAGTCATATTCTACTTAAAAATGTTGAATATTATGACCAACCTCAAATTCCAGCTGAAGCAAAAGATAAATAGATGTATATAGAAATTGAACTTAAGTTATTGGATTATTCAATAATGTAGTTGTATAAATTCTCATCTCATCTTGGTGCGGGGCTTGATAACCATACCAGAAGGGGATCTCTTATCGGTAGTATACTCAAAATACCACACATAAAAGTAAACATTTGCCAGATCTACTCTTCAATATTCAAACAGCTGGTATATCAATGGGTGAAACAACAACAGTGCTATTGTGAGTAATATACTCGATATCGTTAACATATCCCAGGCTCAAAATATTAATATTGTCAGTGTTTATGGTACTTTGGCCTCCTACGAAAAACTATATGAAGTGTTACAAGTTTCAAAAGACACTAATCAGTACAAGATCACTCACTTTGGTTCAGCCATCTTAAAAGACTATAAAAAGTACAATGTATTGAATGAGGTATATCCTGGAGTTATAAAGTCAAAAGGTGGCGACGTTTTTGGTTCTTTGATATATGGATTGACCCCGAAAGATTTTGAATTGCTTGATGAATACGAAGGTGATGAATATGAAAGAAATAAAGCTAAGGTTATCTTTGAGGATAAACTAATTGATATTCAGTTTTATGAATGGATTGATGATCATTCGAAGTTGGTTCCACATATACAACTACAATGAAATGCATATTATAGATATAAATTACATTAAGATCACATTAAAAAGGTATTTAAATCATTGTTATAAAGTTTGATAAACTCTCTTTTTAGATTGCTTGTCGACTTGTTCTCTATTTTCATATTCATCAATGAATTCTGTGTTATGTGTCAAATTCCATTGATTTTGCAAAAATCTCAACCCTTGAATATTGAAACCTAATTCACTGGAGTTTTCTTTCAATTGAGCTCTTAATTGGGATTTGACATTAGTTATTTGTCTCTTTGTACCTTCATCTCTCATACTATTCAACTCGTGTAAATTGGATCTTATCAAAAAAAATAATACACGACAAATGATGGCTAAATGTTGTCTCAATATAGCATTAGTCTTGGTCCATCTTTCAATAATCTTGAAGAATTTGAGCACAAATGAGAATGGTAAGACTAAAAGAGCATCTTCCAATTGTGATGGTCTGATTTTCAATAGAGTTTCCAGTATATGATCTGAACCTGATTTATTCATTGCTTGTAATAATGCATCTTTAGTAGGTTTTATTGGCTGATCACCAGCTTTAGTTTTTAACCATTTTTTATATTCAGCTTGGTATTTTTCTTCTTCTTCAATATCCTTGTAACCAATTTCTAAAGCTTCCAAAAGTTTTTCACCAGCTTTTAAGGTTTCTAAAGTTTGTTGATTGACACCAGTTGCTTCATCTTTTTCCTCTTCTTCGTCATCATCTTTCTTAACTTCATCTTCTCCTTCAAGAGAAGATAATAAAGTATTTTCATATAACTCATCCATTTCTTTTTCCTTTTCTTCTTCGATGAAAACTTGATCTTCTGTTTCTTCCCAAATTCTAATACTATGATCATGAGATGTGGAAACAACAAATGAACCATCAGTTGCAACAGCTATACTCCAAATTTGTGATTGATGTGCACTTAATTTTTGAATACATTCAAATTTATCACCATCCCAATATTTCAAAAGACCATCTTTACCGGCACTAAAGAAGTTATGAGAATCTGGTAAGAATTTAACATTCATAATTGAATCTTGATGACCAAAAATTGATTTATGACAATCACCAAAATCTAAACCCCAAATCTTGATATTTTTATCGGCTGATGATGTGATGATTAATTTGGAGTCATCTGCAATATCCAATGATAAAACTGGTAATTTATGACCATATAAACTTAAGTAAAATTTCAATGTATCATAAAAGAAAACTTTAACTGTGTTGTCTAATAATGAAACAGCTAAATATTTTTTATCTGGTGATATCTTCAAAGCTAAAATGTCATCATTCAATTCTAAAGTTTTATCGTGGAAAATCTTCATTCTAGAAGATTTTACAACTGTTCCTGGAGTAACTTCATCTTCAATCTTGAAATTCCAGAATTTAACAGTTTTATCTTGAGAACCAGTAACCATTGATCTACCATCTGGGGTCAGATCTAAGGACCAAATAGCACCTTCGTGTGCTTCAATAGTATCAAGTAAAGTTGAACTTGCAAGATCATATAATTCAACTTCACCAGTCTTTGTACCAACGACGATTAATGATCCACCAGGTAAGAATTTGGTTGTTAATGCATAACCACATTCAAATGTTCTTATACAATTATTGGTCTTAGTATTCCATATTTTCAATAACCCATTAGATGCGGTGGCTAGTAATTTGTTATTATCACTTATGTCTAAAGATCTAATATCTGTTCTATGACCTTGTAATTCCACTGTGTATGATTTGACAGGTGGTGATACTTCTTTATTTGTATATGCAATAGTATAGTATTCTAATGTGTTATTTGACGATGAAACTAAAAGCTCTAATTTAGAACTGTTTGTTGATGCCCATGTGGCACTTTTAACTTTATATATAGATCTTAAAACAGTGAATGGTTGAATTAGCATGTTAACTTCAGATTCTTTGATTGCAATTTCAATTTCTTCTTCGTCATGACCTTTTTCTTTTAATCTTTTTTCTCTCTTTTTGGTAGCTTTCGCTATTTCATCAGTGGTTCTAACTCTAAAAATTTCAATAGTTCTATCGGAATTTTGAATGTAGAAATAAGTATTTGAACCGGCTTTATTGAATGAGATTTCTTCACCTCTTGATTTACTTTGTTTTTCGAAAATACCACGTTCTTTCAATTTGTTATCTTCAGATGATAAATCTAATTTCCATACTTTGACTTGATTTTCAGCACCTGTTGTTATAAGTATATCATCAATAAGACCCAATCCCCAACATTCACCAGTATGAGCAACGTGAGTTTCGATACTTTGTTGTGTTTTCAAATCCCAAACTTTGATAAGACCATCTTTTGAAGTACTGACTAACCATTCTTCGTTAAACCATAAACCGGTGATTTGATCTTTATGACTTCTTAATTTGAATAAACCAACTTCACCAACTAAATCCCAAAAAATGATATTTGAATCTTTTGAACCTGAAATCAGTCTAGTACCTTCTGCATCAAATTTCAATAATGTGATTGCAGATTTGTGACCTTGAAAATTGATTAAAACAGTACCTGAGATTAAATCCCAAATCTTGATTGAACCATCTTCATAACCAACACCTAAAAGATTTGTATCTTGGTGTAGCTCAACAAATGTGATTTCAGCTGGCTTACCTAACTTAGAGTCAGATGCACCTGGAGCTAATCCATCTCTAAGCTTCTTTACTAATTCACCAGTTTTGACATCCCAGATTAAGATTTCTTCTAAACCTGCAGTAATAGCTTGACCTGCACTAGTTTTATTTGAAGGTGGAATCCATATGACATTGGACTTTGAGGAGATCACACCAAAACAACTCAGTTGTTCATATCTTTGATATGATTTAACCATTATAACAAATCTTTACTCGACAAAATTTCTTCACTCAAGTTCAAGTTTGGTATTTCCAATTGTTTTCTATATAAATATGAAGAAATCTAAAATTTTTTTTTCTATGCGATGAGATTATGTCATCAAAAAATCAGCCTGGCCGAACCGAAAACATAAACTACATACATTTAACAAAAAACAATAATACATTCATTTTAAAAAATTAAAGTAGAAATTAAATAGGTTAATCATGATCATTTGTTTTGCTCAACAGATTTTGAGATACCAATACCTTGGATTCTTTGATTATGAGCATTACTTGGAACCCATTTTCTAACACTTCTAATCTCATCTGATGAATAACCAGGGATACGAATATTCCAATTCTTTTCTAAATGTAATTGAACATCTTTGACATCTAAGTTTTCAGATTTTCTATGTTTAGCTAAGCGACAGGCGAATCCAGTAACATTGGTAACAAATTCATCTGCAAGATCTAATAATAATTCTTCAACATCACCATCAATTGTGGTTTCACCATCACCTTCATCAGCACCAACCGTTTTGACAAGTTCACTTAATTTACGTTTAGATAAAACTCTATCACTTTGCATTTCATATGGTGGCAACTTCATAATAGCAGGAGTTGTTAAGGCAGGAGCTGAAATACCTTGACCACCAGTCAAACTTGGACGATTTTGATTGAATGCAACAGCTGTTGGTGGTTTAACATTAATTTGATTTGGAATTGGCATTGAAGGAACTGCTGTTTTGAAAACATTGGCAGCTTGTGCAGGGTTGACAATATTACCATTAGCACTATTTGGTCTAGCAGCAGCATTGACATTAGTCACAGGTGTATTAGGAGAAGCTGAACGACCTTGAGCTGCAACACCACCTACACCTGTTCCAATATTGGCTCCAACTTGTGGTTGTGGAGTACCTGTACGGGATTGTAAATTACTTCTAGCTTGTTGCGCTTGTTGTTGATTCAATCCTAATGGTACATTTGGGTTGTTTTGAACTGGAATCTGAGGTTGTCCTTGTTGTGGTAATGATGTTTGTCCTATAGTAGCTTGAGCTTGGATTTGTGGTTGTTGTTGTTGTTGCTGTTGTGTATAAGGTTTTGGGATTTGTTGTTGTTGTGTTTGTGGTGTTTGTGATTGGGATAAAACTCTTTGTTGATTTTGGATAGCTTGAGCTTGTGTGTTATTTTGTTGTTGGTTAAGCTGTGGGGATTGCTGTTGGTTAAATTGGAAATTATTATTGTTGCCATTATTTTGTAAATTTTGAGCTTGATTTTGTTGGATCATTGGTGAATTATTTTGCAAATTGGTATTATTACCTTGTTGGGCTTGTTGTTGATTTTGAATAGCATTCTGACCAATGGAAGGACTTTGAATTTGATTAGCTGAATTATCAACAGCACTTTGAGATCTGGATTGGTTTTGAAAATTTTGTTGTTGTTGCTGTTGTTGTTGTTGCTTTAAAGCCAGTTGTTGTTTCTGTATTTGCTGAGATAAATTAATAGCAGCTGTTTTATAAGTATTGAAACGAGTTTTCAGAACTTGTTCTTGTTGTAACAGGTTTTGCATTTGCTCTGGAGTTAAATTACCACTTTTCTTCTTATCGTCAACAGCTTTCAAGTTCTTTTGAAATTCTCCTAGTACGATTTTAACTTGTTGCAGCTGTTGATATGGATTTTTTGGTGGTACCTGAGGATTAGGTGTATTACCATTACCACTACCACCACCACCAGGTTGTGGATTGTTACCACTTGTTGCTTGAGCCATTGGGCTTGGAGATGCAGTTTGACCATTATTGTTTAAAGCGGCTGTCTGTTGTGGAATAGCTTGTTGTTGAGGTACAGGTGATTGTTGACTAGAGCTTCTTTGATTCAATTGTTGTTGTTGAACTTGATTTAATTGTGGTGATTGGATTGATGTTTGTGAACTACTTTGTGGATATAGATTTATTGTAGCTTCAGTTAGAGGTTGAGGTTGAGACTGGGTTTGTGGTTGAGTTCGTGGTGTTGGAGTAGTTTGTGTTTGAGGTGTCCCACCTTGTGAATTACTCAATCTTTGTTGTTGACTTTGATATTGAACCAAGATATGTTTGATTCTTTGGGCTTTCTTTAAGCGTTCTTGACCAGCTGGAGTATCTAGACCTAATTTCTTAGCTTCAGTGAACTCTATATTACATTGTTTCACCAACTGTTGAATCTGACCAGGTTGGAAAGTCACAGGTGGCCTAGCTTGAGGTTGACCTTGTTGTTGTTGTTGATTTGGCTGTTGATTCATATTTGGATGAAATATATCTCTATATCAAAATAAACAGCACCACTTCAATTGTTGACTTTTATTATGACCTAAATCTCACAGAAAAGTTTATTCTTGATGGTTATTCGCAGCAGGAATTACCTAGTATTGATTCCTTGATGAAATACCGACTCTTTGTTGTGATTCTGAAGCTATTTATATATGCAAGAGTTGAATACAACAAATGCTCAAGTTCAAGCTTTATTTATTACTATCGCGTCGCGAATTTATAGTTGCGCTCTCAGTAGGGTTACACTTTGTGGATTCGATCGCGGGTACATAAGTATTAAGCTCATCTACAACATCTTAAATCATTAAAAGTTAATCAGAGAAGTACCTTATATATGTATTAATTTATGTGACTTTGTGGTGTGTTATCATGGGGCTGACTCCTGTGCGTATAAGCCTGTATATATTTGTTTTCTGAAGGTGGCCTCTAGATTCATATGTGGTAAAAGTAAATCCCTTTCTGTAACTCTTCAATTACCTTCTTTAATATACTCCACAAAAGAATCAATAATACTAGGCCATGCTGCTGTTTCATCATAGTTTTTCAATTCTGGATCTTTTTCGTAGTCTTGTAAGAATACAAAGAACATGTTCCAAGTATCTTTACTTATGGCTTGCTTCCATTCAACGTTCAAAAATTCTATCCATTTATCGATTTTAGTACCGTAAGCAGGTGCTAATAAAAGTCTCCAATAGTCTTCTGCAGTTTCCAATGCTATCAAGTTTTGTTAGTTTCATGTTTAAATGTAGCCCTTGGTAAATGTATACTCACGTAAAGTTCTTTGTCCTTCATCCAGTGAATATTTAAAAGTGAATTCATAAACTTTCTTCAAATAATCAACATTATCAATCAATTGTTTCTCTAGAAGTTTAAGGTGTTTCTTCATATCTTCAATTGATTCAGCACTAAGAGCATAATGTTAGTAATGTCACATTAATAAACTACTGTTCAACATACTGTATTGATTGCCATTTCAAAACAAAATTTTGTCTTTTAAAGACACCAGCAGAAGGTGATTCCAAAAATTCTGCCAATGCAAGTGCCACTCTATCTTCTGGTTCATATCCTAAATCATCAATATAGCTTAAGGTACCGTCAACATCTATTATATCCTTTTCTGCGTCTTTATACTTATCGAAAATTTGTGTCAACTTCTTATTATCTTTACGATTTGGGGAGGCCTGATAAGACAGGTATTCATTGATTGCCAGTTCTAGATCATAATTGGAACTTTTCAAAAATTGGTCAGCTATAGCTGATGTTGTATCTGTGAAATCAATGAATTGGTCTCTCAATTGTCTTTTCAACTGTTGACATTAATAGTTAGTAAGTCAGTTATAAACCACTGAGAAAAACTCAATCATTACATACATTTCTTGACATTATATATCGTCTCTTTTGCACACTATGTCTTAAGCTCAACAGAGGTCACTTTTATGGCTGAAGTCTCGAAGTTTGTGAATTGTGACAATATTGAATTTGATGATTGTTCAAAATCAATTTTGATGTCTTTTCCAAAAAAAATTCGTGATGTTTTTGTTGTTTTGATTTCGCTTTTAAACCACAACAAAAGCTCATCACCATACAAGCAAAACAGCCGCTGAGTTCAAATTGTTGATTGTTTTTTGTTTTGCTACTTGGGTTTCTGTCTTTATGATCAAATAAGATGCTTCTCAACAAGTCACATTTCCAGAAAGTTTTCCCGCTGCCAGAAATACCCACAGATAACGATACTGATCTGGCTTCAAACTGGTTGTTGAATCACGAGCATAAGGAACCAACTACGCGTGTGAAAACTGCTCTAAAGAATGTGCTAGCCTCGGGTGCCCTATGGCCTATAATATTACAATACATTGAACAGATGAGGTCTCAAATATTGGCGCTGGATTTCGAAAATGTTCGTCAAGTTGAACGTACAAGAAGATTCTTTATGTTCCCATTACATTTCATCACATTAGAAGATTATGAAGCTAACCAATTCTTACGTGCCTTGGACTCTCTCTTGAGATTCAAAAGTGGGAAATTTGCACTAGATGATAAGTTTTTTTCTGAATCAATAGGTCTAGATACTACTGAATATGATAATTTACAAACTGAGAAATCATTAGTCGAACAAATTAAACAACATGCTGGTATATGGAATGTTAGTTTTGCTGAGAAATATGAAGAGATTGATCTCTCTCAAAAAGAACTTGTTTCACTAAGGATAAATGAAATATTAGATATAGTGAAAAGTTATCCAGAATCAATACCTGCATTGAATGATATTCGTCAATTTCTAGATCCATCACAACGGCTACAATTGGTTAATGAATTTACAAAAAATTGCAATAGATATCTTTTACATGCTGGGTCTAATACTGATGATATAATATTATGTTATATTTCAACAATCAGATCATTTTTAATTGTTGACCCAAGAGGTGTTCTCTTGGACAATGCTTCTAGACCTATAAGAAGATACCTCAAAGACCGATCAGATACAATTCCATTGATAGTTGATGCTTTAATGAACCCTAGAAAAGAAAATAAGTTATCTGTTCTTGCAGATGAGCTCAAAATGGTAACACAGATTCCTGTAAATGATTTACATTTACGTTGGTACCCAGATCCTATTGATGCACTTCCAGATTTCAAAAAACAAGATATAATAGAATCACTAATATCCATATTTGACACTAAAGAGGTGTTTGTTACTGAATTTTCTCATGTTTTTGCTGATGAATTATTATCCTTGAAATCTTTTCAATTTTATGAAACTTCAAGGAAATTGGATTTACTTAAAAGTAAATTTGGTGAAGGTGAATTTAATAACTTAGATGTTATGATTCGAGATATTTTGGATAGTAAACTGACAGATCACAAAGCACATACTTTGGATCGAAGTATTTCTAGAGATGTTCAATTTACCATCCTATCCTATATGTATTGGCCAGATCTTCCAGAAGATGAATTTCAAGTTCCAGAGAGTATAAAACCAACCTTGAAACAATTTGAAGACCAATTCCGTATAATAAGGCCAGGGAGAAAAATGAAGCAAACAAAGTTAGGTTCTGCAACGGTTCAACTTCAACTGGATAATAAAACTTTGAAATTTGAAGTTTCGCCTCCTGAAGCTGCGATTATAAGCTTGTTTCATAATTCATCAGGTTTAAGTTTGGACCATGTATCTTCTTCTTTGAAAATGGGTACTGAATTAGCTGAAAAATCACTTTCATATTGGGTTGATCAGTCTGTTCTTAAGTTTGAGGATGGTTTATATCATGTGTTAGAAAATCAAAAAGATTATCCGCCAGCTAATAATCATAATAAAGTAATCCCTGAGACCAAAGCTTCAAAATCAACAGAAATAAATACCAACTATTGGCCATTTGTTAAAGGTATGCTTGAAAATTTGGAAGCTTTATCAGCTGAAAGAATTTATTCATTTTTAAAGTTGTCCTTTTCAACTGAAAAAACTTTTGGTCAATCACCTACAGATGTTAGAGATCAACTAAATACCTGGGTGACTGAAGACAGGCTAGACTTGGAAGATGGACAATATAAACTTAAAAATTTCAAATGAGCTAATCATTTTGAGGATACCAGCTATATATTCATATGAATTTATGACAAATATACGAGCATGAACCCCAGATCGCATGTATGTAGTTTTATTTTCAATTTAGCGTAAAAAATATATAATCGTTCGTTTACAGATTGTTTAATCAATAAAATATAACAATAAATATACGTTCATTAATAATAACTTTTAATTAATTGGTCCTAAAAGTTTGTTTTTTTAAAGTTTGTTTCCTATATGTATCATTAATATTAGGGGGAACAAACACTATCTATACCTTACCTAAAACCCTACCATACTGTTGTTCAACTTCATGAACCAACTGTTGTAAACCAACAATGACAAATTGATGAGTGATACCAGGAAACCTTTGTCTATGGAGACCAAACCATTCTAATGGTGGTGTTGCATCACCTAAATCTCTCAATTGTGGAGCTTCGATAATTGGTGGTTCTAATGCAACATATTTATACTTATCTTCAAGCTCAACATCTTTCAGTTTTTCTTCAATGTTAACATCTTCATAAATAGGAACGCTAGTTCTTCTTGTATTTGCTCCTTTTGGTAAACGTGATGAAAATGCTCTAGCATGTGTAGCCCACATTTCTCTAATAAAGGTCACTGAACCTAAATTCCAGCGAACATCAACCTTACCACCAAATGCACTTCTGAACTTGTATTCAATGATGTTACTCTTAGGTAATTGCCAGGTTTGCATAGCACTTTCCAAAGATGGGAACACAAAAATACCACCACCTCTTGCAGCAGCAGTGTGAAGAATATATTTATCTATACTCATCAAATTCAATTCTTCTTCCGGTAATTGTTTCTTGAAACTGGATAATGCCACAGAAGTATTGTGTAATTGTAATTTCATATCTGTAACAACTGATTCATTTTGAGTCTGTTGTTCAAAATGAGCAGTCATACCACCAATGTCAATGATTAAAACTTGAGAATCAAGAAGTGAACCTGGATAAACATGGAGTAACAGCTTACCAAAATTAACGTCCAATTCAGTTCTCAATGTGGCAATAACATTCAAAATATCCAATGTCTTTTTATCATTATTTATATATTTTTTGGAAGAATTCAAATCTTCCTTATAAAGTCTTTTGTTATCTTGACGAATACGTGAGATGGTATTGTAGATATCTAAGATGTTTGATGCAGCTAATGCAGTAGTAAATATCTCAACAGAACCACACATCACACTTGCAACAAGTTTGTCTTTCAACAGTTTAGTGGAATCAATTTGATTGTAAACTGTTATATAGGACTTCAACATACGTGAGATGAGGAAAACATTATAATCAAAAGATGCCTTCGCCTCTATTGACTCAAACCCAAATGACAATAACACCAGAGGTATACCTAGTAAGTCACCCTCCAATGACCATTGGATTACAGAATGTACTCTGATATCATGAACTGTCAAAAATCCTGAAAGTCTACCTTCTGAGCTTAAAGACAACGTATCAAATCCAAGCGCCATACTTTGCTCCCAATTGGTTTTTTTTCTTGAAGCAGCCCAAAATCTATCTAAGTCCAAGCTTAGTACACCTAAAGATTGACCTAAATCAACTTCACATTTAACATTTGAAATTGTAAAGTTGAAATTCCATGGAACTGCACCTGTTGATGATACTTTTTGAAATCTTGAGACAATATTCTCATCTCTGATACTATCAACAGCTGATTTGGAAGAGTATATGCTATCATTTGAGTCTGAAATAGTTTCTTCTGGAGTCCAAAGATCCTTGAACAAATTAACATCTTGTAGCTGTTTGAGGTTGATATAAGATGATACATTATCAACTTTACCAGCGGCATATACCTTAAGTTTATCAGGACCTGCCACTAAAACTGTAGCTAGCATTTCATCAACTAAAACGGAAGCACTGATTTCTCTGGAGTAAATATGTTGTAATGAAGCACTAACATTTCCTGATTTCAAGGTACCAGATAGAAGTTCAGAGTCATCAGTATCATTAGTTCCCAGTCTAATGTCAATACCACCAATTCCAACAACAGCTTGAACTTTTGCTGAAGGTTCACAGCTTAAGCTCAATTCTTGCTTGTCAACGTGTATAGCAAGATTTATATGGAAATTAGCAAGTACTTTCAAGAGTTCTGTATCTTTCATTAACGGGTTTGATTGTCCCACCTTTTCCACAGGTGCACTTGATTGTGAATGTTGACCAAGGCGTTTAACTGAACTCCATATATCAGACAGCACAGGAACACAAGTAGAATAAAGTTTATTACTTGAAGATGATGTGAATACTTCAAAGTCGATATGGTGATCTTTGAGTCCTGATGTCTTTGAATATTCAGCAGCAATTTTAACAGCTGGGGTTCTTAGTTCAAATGATGGTGCATAGGTATCTTCTAAGGACTCGAACTCATCATACTTGTACAGTTTTACCACACCTCCAGCGAAGTTCATGATACAACTAATAGAAGTGACATCTGATGGTATCTTGTAGGTTTCTTGAAATGAGGTAGCTGGCTCTGGTACTGGTGGTTTTGGATATGTTCTTATGTTCTTTTTCAAAGCCTCAATAGTACTTACAGCTTTTAATGTTTTTTCCAATAAAACAATTGATGATGACACAAACTTGACATCGAGCTCCTCACCTGTAACTCTTAGCATGATATCCTTTTTATTGTCATTTTTCTTGATTGCGTACATGACTTGCATATTTGGTAAAAACGCTCTATTAGGACTTGAAATTTCATTTGAAGCACTGAAAAAGTCGGATGTATTTTTTCCATTTGCGATAGAAACATAAGCATGAACTAAAGACAATTTTCCAACTGTATCCTCAGTTATAACAAACACCTTTTCACACCCAGCTATCACCCCGGGATATTCCTCTGATGGTTCGTCAAACATAAATCCAACACAGAAATTGTAAAATAACATATGAACTGCATGAAATTGACTTTGAAAGTTATACCCTCCGTCAGTTTTGACCTTTTCCTTGTTATTAGCCTTTGCTGGCATCAGTGTTGAGAAGGCAAATCTAAAATCATTTAAAAGCTCAATAATCACGGATATAGTTTGAGGATGGAGCATCATCCGGCAATAGTTGGACTCAATTTCAAGAGTTTGAAGAAGTTGCTCCTCTAATCTGACGTTAAAGACCTTTAATGCAATATTCAAATCTAGTATATTGGAAATAGCTTGACTAATTGTGTTCTTTTCCAGATCGAGCTTTAAGCTCTCAATTTTGAAATCACCAAAAGGTTTTGATTTGAGGGCTTGGCCATTGAAAATGTCATAATCACTAAATGAGCTAGAAAGTCCATTAATATCCAATCTAGCAGTGGATCTATGTGCTTGAATCGCAAGTTTAATCACTGAACTATCGAATTTGATTCTCTTCAAAATGGTGTCACCCGTATCACTCTTCCTGTCTTGTGAATGTGAGCTATGTTCGTCATCCTTGAACTGATTCAAGCACCTTTGAATTTTATCAGCAGATAAATAAAGATCATTCAAGTCGTTTTTTATTGATTTTAGGTGTCTCAAAAAGTCCAACACCACGACATTTGTATCTTGAGAATCAATCATTAATTCAACGAGTTTAGTATCCTCATCCAAGATTGATTTTATTATAGCACCAAAATTCGTCACATCAATGTCCAAAACTTTATGACTCTTCAACTTCAAGTTCATGGCAGCTTTCCGGATTATATTAGGAGCAATGAGGACTTTTTTAGCGTAAGAAAGCTTACTCTCATAGCCTTGTATAGAACCTGAGACACACAGTGGTGATAGAGCGCGGGTTCTCCAGTTAACATCTTCAATCTTGATCTTCAAAACAATTGAAGAGAGAGTGTCTATAAATGAGTCTTTTTTATCAGCAATAATATTAGCGGATTCAGTAGAAGGTCCCTCTTTATGCTTTTCCAATAGCATACTTAAATTTTCAATACTGTCTTTGACATCAACTGCAAGCTGGACATAAACATCGGTATCTTGATCAATACTTAACGTCATTGAGGACACTGCAATATCAACAAGCTTTGGACCACACTTGATATCGCTTGCACTAGAAAAGTTTATTCTTGTGCTTCCTTGCGTGTAGGATGCTCCTTTTATTCCCATGGATAAAATATCAATAGAAAACATTTGTGATGAAAGCACTAAAGTGAAATCATTATTAGCTGTCTCATTAAAAATCATCAAACTGGAGCAGAAATCATTACCCTTAATAGCACATCCAACATCAAAGCAATCAACTCTCAAATCATAATTTTCTACCAAAAGGGCAACTTGGTTAATCTCTTTCGCAATTGGCGCATCTAGTGTCTCAGTGGCTTTATTTCTTTCTTTGCCAGGTATAATCTTTTCAAACTTTTTGAAGGCAAACAATAACTGTGATAATCTTCCCTTGATAGAAGAAACTTTCACACTTAAGCAGCTGGAAATGCTATTGAGATTTTGATTCAAGCTTATAAATTCTGTAAATGATTTGCTTCCCGAAATTTCAAGAAAGTCTAAATCAACGTAATTTCTATCACCAGCTTCTGTATCTACTAGTAATGAGATTTCTTGCACTGATAATTCAGATACAGAGTTTAAATTTGGCTCTTGAGAACTTTTTGAAAACACATGTCTGAAGACATAAGAATGATCAATATCTTCAAACTCCCATGTCCTCCAGCTTGAAAATACTTTAACAACTTCTTCCAATGCTGTATCAGGAGCTTCAACGTTTTGGTCTAGGAACATTTTTTGATGTTCCTCGATCCACTGGGGGTCAAGATTTTCATAGATATGTTTTAAACGAATCATCACCTTCCAACTGTCATTTCCTCTTATATGCTGTCTTGAGTGTCTGATAATATAAGCTGGTCTTGTAAGTACAGCCGGATCGTGCTCAACTTTGAAAATTGTACTAGCTAATGTGATCTGGTATAGTAACTCCACCTCTGCTTTTTTTGAGCACTTTTTGATTCCTTCCAACTTTTTGGAAATTTCACCAGCCATTGTTAAGAATTTTCCAGCATAATCAACCATCCAATCTAGTTTTCCCTCTTGTATATTGACATCAATCTTCCTCAATGATAACGAATTTGTTTTCTTTTTATCCTTGTTTAGCCAAAGCTCAAGATCATATATGCTTAACTCCAATGGAATAATAGTATTGGCTCCAGCTTCATTTAAAGTTATTAAAATTGACATTATATTAAGTGCCATAACTATCTCTTCTTCATTATCTAAAGTGTTTGTTACCGAGCAAACCAACGAAGGGTTATCAACAGTCAAGTTCAAATGTTCTGTCTTCAAAGATGGTTCAAAGTTGTGATTCCATTCAAAATTTCCAAAATTAAAATTCACCCTTGGTGTCAAGAACCTTATATTTTTAACAGTTGGTTCTTTATTTCTTGAAATGAATAATTTTTTTAAAACTGTTATATGAAGATCATCCAAAACAGCACTCATTGATCTCGTTAAGAATTTCTCAGCAAAGCACAAAAAAACAAGAATGGAAGATGGTGAAGCTGTTATATCTATATCACCAAAATTCAATATGAAGTTATCATATTCAAACCTAGAATCTGCTTTGTATTGAGGAGCAAAATTTTCATCTCTATAATTTGATGTCACCTTAATATTTGCACCTGCCACAGTATCAGCATAATTTTTTGCAGTTGATAATGTCGTAGCTCTAGGTGTTTGTGCAGGAAGAAACTCCGAATTGAAATCTTGAAAAAAATTCAATTCCTCTTCGCTTGGATATTTCGAAGATAAACTTGAATTATAACTGTCCACGTCTTCTTCTTCGAGGCCAAGGTCCTCAAATATTAGATCAACTGAATTTCTAGTAAGTGGGGCTGGACAGTCAGGAATGGAGTAGCTTGGGGTTATCGAGCCAAAAGATGAGTTATATTCGTAATCCCTCAACTCTTCTTTCAAGAAAAAGGGAACCCTGTGAAAAGGACCATCTTGTAATGCAGTATGTGTGTCATGCTTTGCTCTTTGATTGTAGAAATCCTTAATTTGTGTGAAGTTTGTGAATCTGAGAGAAGTCTGAGCTTCAAAGCTGGCTTTATTTGTCATTTTGTCCTGAACATTAATGAAAATATTCTCTATATCAGCAGAGATGCGCTCTGTGTAACGCGGATTGGTGATGTCTATGAAAAAGAAATTAACTTTCGATAGTTCAATATTCACAATTGATTCTATATCAGGATCTTCCAGTTGAATGGCAATCTTTGGTGCAATTAAAGATACAGATGTTGTATCATTTATCTCTGGTTCGTCAATTAACAGACTGTTTTCCAAGTTCTTATAACCAAAACCTAATTTAACAAGTGAGGACATCAATCCTTCCAAAGCTTGAGCTTTCCCACAAAATTCAACGTTACCTGGCTCCAAATCCCATTTACAAAAATACTTGATCTCATCTGGAGGCAAACCAAACATTCTATGGCCATGTATAGCAAGTCCATCGACGAAAATGTCGTGTTCCTTCAAGGTTTCGTACCCAGTCATGTCTAAGACAGTACTTGGATCACAAGAATCAATATATACACCTTTCACTGGAGTTATATCAGCTTCAAAATCCATATAATAGTTGGTAAACCTCAAGTCCATGTTCAATGTATTGAAATATAGTGAAACATTGGAGGAACTGTCATAAATATTAGAAGGTAAAACTAAGCAACCCTCTTCCACGTCAAACGAGAAATGGACGTCCTCTTCATTTTCAGTTCTTTTGAAATTTTTCTCTTTGGTCTTCTCTTCATTATGACTAATACTTGAAGTTTCTGGTTTTTCGTCATGAAGCTCCTGTGTATATTCTTCAAGAGTTCTGAACCTGGTGAAATCCCCAAAATAATTTTCTTTTATACTCAAGATATATTTAACAACAAACCCATAGCATTCCAGCACCATTTTTTTACCTTTACAAGCAATCACAATGGTATCCACAAAATCCAATCCGACTTCAGAATGATATGTATAAGATCCATCAATGGTAAAATCTTTGGATCTTCCAACTTCTTTAAACTTCAAAAAATTGTTCAACGTGTGCCAAGGTGGAGTATCCATCACCATTGACAGCTCAGGTGTAGCTAAATTGAATGAAATTGTACTAACTTTCCTCAGTACTGCTTCCAATGGTATATTAACATTTATATCCAGTTGTTCACCTTGAAATGATAGATAACAATTGTCATTGAAATCCAATGGATTATTGATGATATTTGCATCATTGACATTCATATAAATAGCATATTTTGAAACTTTCCAATCAATAATGTAAGTGAATGGGCGAAATAGCTCATATGGAGTTGCAGGGCCCGATGAAAAATCTGTGAACATATCAGATAATAATGTAATATGTTCTCTCAAAAAGAAAGTATCAACTTCTTTTGATTCATTAAGAAAGACCCAAATTGCATGACCATTCCATTTCAATGGATAGCCGATGTTTGCGTTAATTTGATGTTCTTTACATCTAAGCATAATGTCATGATTGACACTTGATCTGACTTCTAAATTCAACATAGACATATTTAATCTGTTATCATAACCATTCTTTGAAGCTACCAGACCCACAGTAGTTGTAATAGTAGAATTCTTATCCATTTTCAATTCAATCCAGCCAAAAGGCCTTTTTGTATCTGGAGCATCTTTTGTAGCTTCAGCGTATTCCTCATTCTTACTAAATTCTCTAATTGGAACTCTGATGATAGCTTCGTCCATTATCTCCACAGCCATCTGATATTGTGTATACATTCTTTGTTTACCAGGTTTTAATCTTCCCTGTGGTGTACCGTCCCGACATATGGTAGGATATAGCATCTGATGCAGTGAATGTCTTTGTCTTTCAGCCCATGGGCCGTAAAAAATTGTAGAGCCGTATAATTGGACATTTAATCCAAACTTTGGTGCAGAACCGCCATTACCAACATCTAGTCCTTCCTGAGGATTTGATGGTATGGCTTCTTCTGGAACAGCACCGGGTATATCATAGTAATATTGTATTATAGCAGAATCACAATCCAATAAATTTGTATATTTACCATATTCCAGCTCTCTTTCTTTAACATTTGTAATGGAATTGGAGTCATTATCAAGATACTGTGCTAAACCTCTCCATTCCGCATGTTCATCTTCTGGTTTCTTCTTACGTTCATAAAACTTCCATAATTTGATTAATGAGCGGTATAATATCCATCTATTAGCATATTTCTTCTTATTTGGTTTTTGTTTATAAAATATTCCTGAATGCTCTTTTGAATTTTCTTGAAATGATATATTAGGTTTCAAAAATACCTGAAATTTCTCAAAATTGACTTTAAAGGACTGACGACAATCATCTAATGAATTATCAGACCTGAGAAAATCCATTATACCATCAGCGGATGAATATGACATCACAAGAATAGCCTGTGTTGTTTTATTACCAGCAACAATGGCACCCTTATTGATTTTGACTTGTATCGGTAATATCTTGGCCATGAATGATGAGCTTGGTTTACTAATCTCTGGATCATCTGAATTTACCGTAGTATTATCACTAGCTGAGTTAGAAAAAACATCATAATGCTCCTTTTCAGTTTGAGACTGTTGACCATTGTTATTATTGGTATTATTTTGACTTGATAATGTATTTAAAACGTTATCATATGAAACGGTTCTATTATATATGAATGCTTCTAAACCGTCTAATTCTATAATTATGCGACAGGGAAGTTTTGAGTTGTACCCTATACTAGTGTTGTTCTCATCTGATGTGACACTTATTTCACTTTGTCGTACATATGGCAGCCAATATCTCCATGTTATACAACCTTTCAATGCACAAACTGTTTGATCTTTATCTATCATGGTCAAATTCTTGAAAAAAATCCTTCCCCCAAGAAATGAGAATTGTATTGACTGGATATCTATCTTTATTTGTTTTGTCTTCCATAAAAGTATCCTCAGTATATATGACAAAATTATCCCTATTAGTCTATTGAAATGAAATATGAACCCAATACATAGGAAAAATGCTAAAAACCAATCAACAAAGAAGACCCAACTGAAGTCTCTGGACCTCGATATGGAGACGGATGTAAACTGTGATGACGCATCCATCTTATCTTCCTGGTCGTCAGTTTTAAGGGACTCTTGTTAATTTAATAAGTTTTGTCTTCAAAGTTATCAAAACAAGCGGTTATTTGGGTGGTACTTAATTTCTGTATTTATTGTTGTTGTTTTTAACATGATGAGCTTCAAAAATTCGCGGTGATTTCGCGAAAATGTTTATACGGATTTTTTCGGCCTTTAATATCTAAAGCATAAGGTAACGACGTAGGAGTAATTGAAATTTGTTTCTACATCTAGTTTTATAAACAGAAATTACAATTATCATCTATTATTTTGAAAAGTTTTTCAGAAAATGCATAAATAAAACTAAAATATTATTATGTTCTATGAATAAGATATTATGTTCAATTAAACCAATGAAATCTAAGCCCATTTACCTAATAAGGCCATTAAACCAGCACCCCAACACATAACGAAGTATGCTAATAACATTTTCTTTAAACCTCCTTCACCCTTGAATTGGTTAGAGTATAAGAATTCATGAGCCATCAATTCAACGATACCAGTGTAAATCAAAATACCAGCAGAGATAGCATCGAAAACACCATTAGAGATTAAAGCTGTTCTACTTTCTGGTTTGAATGAATGTCTTACACCAATACCAATGGCAATAGCAATAGGAGTGGTAATTGTGAAGCCTAAAGCTAATAACCAAGGTGTGTGTCTTCTAGTTTTATCCCATGGAGTATCAGCAATTCTGGTACCTAAACCTAAACCTTCAAACATTTGATGGAAAACTAAAACAATGAATAAAGTGTTGAATTCATCACCGGCAACAGCTAAAGATAAACCAACAAAGACAGAATGGAAGATAATACCGAATTCTAAAACAAAAACAGAAAGAACTTGGTTCAAGTATTGTTCATGGTCTTTGTTAGCAGCTAAAGTACCTGCAATTTCAGGATCTTGATGTTCAGAATCATGAGAGAAATGGTTAGCACCTGGAACATGTGAGGCAGTTTTAGTAGTTTGTTGAGATTGATTTTTAACATCATCATAACTTTCATCTTTTGATTCAACATCAACTTCTTTATGTGGGTTACCAAAATGTGAATGAGATTGAACACCTGCTGAACCGGCTGCTTTAGCAACAAAATGATGAGCGATAATTTCTGATAAGAATAAAGCGAATAATGACATTAAACAAATACCAAAAGCCCATGGGTATTCACCTAAAACACCACCAAGACATTCATTACCTAATGCATCTGAAGCTGGTTCTAATAAATGGATGAAACCAGTTGCAACAATGACCCCTGAACCAAAGAATTTAGCCAAGAACCAACACCATTCTGGTAATCTAATGAATGAATATCTTGAGGATAATAATGGGAAGAAAGTACCAATACCTGAAGAGATTAAAATCATGAAAACAGCCAAGATTCTCAAATTATCTCTACCATCATATTCATTATCAGTAGCACATTCTGGTGCTTCTTCAGCATCAGCATCATCTCTGATGAATAGACGTAACAATTCAGCACTCATTGTATAATGTTTTGTATAGTTGACAATTCTTGAATGCAAAATTGTTTTGACCGTTGATAAACCAAGCTTTTAATATTCTAAATGTCTTGGATAAAAAATAAAGGCCAAGATACCAACTTTATATAATTCTAAAAGATTGGATAAAGGGACCGTGAGTTGATGTGGAAATATGTTGGATGCTTTTTCACAATTTAAGTTTGGAAAAAGTATGTGAACTTGAAACGTTTAACACTTTAATTTTCTTTTAATTCACTAGTAAAAGTTGTGTCAGTCTGCGATAACCTCAATAGTATTTTTTTGAAAATGAAGCAGCACGAAACTGAAAATCTATGAATAAAAATGGATACTAGCCAGTTAAATGCAATGTAAATACGACACGAATAATCAAACAATTGCCGAACAGTGTAAATATGTAAATCCAGCAGTAATGTTAATTCAACAACTCGTACTTTTTTGATAGTAAAGCCCTGAATAAAATTGATCAACCTTAAAGGTAATATATACGATGTATGTGGTTCACCGTTCTTCTATTGCCTATTGTATATGCAAAAAAGGTAATAACCGGTGTACCAAAGTAATCTATCAAGCTTCAATGGAGTTTTAAGGAAAATATTATTGATGATCAAGCCGTAAAAACGTATAAATCAAGATCTTTTTGATGATTGAAATTTGATACGTCTTGGTTTCTTGGAAGTTGGAACAGTTGATGTATTGATAAAAGTTTAAACTCAGGCGATAATGCAACTGATAAACTTTAAATTAGATAGAAAACTTATTAATATAACACACGAGCACAGGATATAGTATCACTAAACAACCTTGGCGATGAATGTAAGGTATGATGGATATTTGGACCTTTTGAGGATTTGAATGCAACCAAAACCATTTGAAAATTTAAATCTCATGTTAACTCTAGGGATTTTATCAATTATTCAACCGTGATGGTTACAGCATTTTTCTTTCATAGTAGAAGAAAAAAAAAAATGTCATCTGCCAAAAGAAAGTGCCTTTTGAGTACCTTGGTGGTTGTGCTGCTTTTCGAGAAATTATACGATTACATAACACTAGTACGTATAATTAAATAAGTTGTAACTTGTAAGTTGTAAACTTGTAACCAATGAGTTCTATAATCTATTTATGAGTTATGCGATACCTTCTGGAATATCTGAGGTTTCCAGTGGAGAATATAAAATAAGATAAGGCCGTTAGATCTTCTGCATTTTAATTAACTAATTGTACGATTAAGTTCATTGCATGCATCTCATGATTATCTCGATTCTCGAATGGTAATTAAATGATTAAATCATGTATATATCATAATACTCGACGCTCTAGCCTCTCACTACCCTATCAAACTGAACACCGAGAAGTGCTTGTAAATCTGGTAGCTAGAGACTTTGAACTTTGAAGCATATACGAGTTTCAAATAATAATCTTCCAATTACACTGGCACAGCCATGCGCTGCTTAACCATTTCCCTTTTGAGCTATTTCGAAGTAGCGTGACATTCACGTTTTCTAGCACATGACCAAAGAAGATTATGTAAGTGATTACTTTGAACTTTGAATAAAAATAAGAGCAAGCTAGAGATTGACAGGTACTGGCTATCTTTAAGGCAAAGTTTGAACAATCTATATACTGTATTCAGTCTATGTCTAGTGTTGTCATGAGTCAAAGGTCAAAACTTTTGTCAGATTTGGGCGAAAAAGTTCATCCAGAATAACCTCTCCTGAGAAATTTGCACGGGTACTTAAGCTGGAACAATCGAAATAATGTAACTTAATGAATCGTGCTGATTATTATACTTACAACATCAACGATTACAATTGATTTTTAATTAAAGTTCAGCTTTAATGTGGTAACTTGTGGTTCTAGCTCTGGAACTTTCGGAGTTCACTTTTACTATTACAAATCTAATGTATGAATGATGGAATTATAGACTCAAGTTGTTTACAAATATTCCCACAGCAAGCTTACAAAGATATGGGCAAAAAATCAGCTTATACGCAGAAAAGTCGCAACGGTCAACACTAAAAAAAAAATGGAGATGACACAACAACACAACAAACTTTAAACTTTGCTATGAATATGTCCAATTGACGAATCAAATTGTTAGAATTGGTCATATTGTTGTTAATTACTAAGATATGATTGCTTCATCTATTGAAAACTATATATATCACCAGTTTTACCTTTATAGAAGTTAATGATTGTTCTATTGTTTCTTCACTAAACAGTTTCATAATCACAATGCCTGCTCCAGATTTTGAATCAAGACCAACTACTGATACTCCAACTGTTTATGCTACAGAAAATGGTTGGTATTATCCAAATCATCCATATGGATCACAATTAGCTGGTCCTGATGGTCCTTTATTATTACAAGATAATCATTTAGTTGAAAATTTAGCTCATTTTGATAGAGAACGTATTCCAGAACGTGTTGTTCATGCTAAAGGTGGTGGTGCTCATGGTTATTTTGAATTGACTGATTCTCTTTCTGATTTAACTTATGCTAAACCATATCAAAATGTTGGTTATAAAACTCCATTAACTATTCGTTTCAGTGGTGTTCGTGGTGAATTAGGTTCTCCAGATACTCAAAGAGATCCAAGAGGATTTTCAATTAAATTCCATACAGAATGGGGTGCACATGATTGGGTTTTCAATAATACTCCAGTTTTCTTCATTAGAGAACCAAATAAATTTGAACATTTTATTCATACACAAAAAAGAGATCCAGCTACAAACTTGGATCAAAATACTGATTCTACCGCAGCTTGGGATTATTGGATCCAAAACCCAGAATCAATTCATCAAGTTACTTGGTTATTTGGTGAACGTGGTACTCCAAAAGATTGGGGTGCAATGCATGGTTATTCTGGTCATACTTATAAATTTGTTAATGATCAAGATGAAATTACTTATGTTCAAATTCATGTTTTAGCTGATCGTGGTTTTCAAACTAATTCTGATGAAGAAGCTGCTGAATTGAATGGTTCATCACCAGATGATCATCAAAAACGTATGGTTGAACAAATTAAGAATGGTGATTATCCATCATGGACTTGTTATGTTCAAACAATGACTCCAGAACAAGCTGAAGAATTCCGTTATTCCATTAATGATTTAACAAAAGTTTGGCCACATAAAGATTTCCCATTAAGAAAATTTGGTCGTATTGTGTTGAATAAAAATGTTACAAATTATTTTGAAGAAATTGAACAAATTGCATTCAGTCCTTCAAGAACTTTCATTCCTGGTATTGAACCTTCAAATGATCCTGTTTTACAATCAAGAATCTTTTCATATCCAGATACACAACGTCATAGATTAGGTGCTAATTATCAGCAACTACCAATCAATCGTGGTAAACCATTTGAAAAAGGTTCAGGTTGTCCTTATATGGCTGGTAACTTTCAAAGAGCTGGTCCTCAAGCTACCGTCAGTCAAGGTTCTAAACCAAATTATATTGCCCTAGGTGATCGTGTTAAAACTTTAAATAGTCAAGGTGAAGCAGCTGATAGTTACTATGGTGTTATTTCTAAAGAAACTGAAATTGATTCTTTAAAGAAACAAAAAGCAATTGCTAAAATTCAAGAGCATGAAAAGATTGTTTGGGGTAAACAATATTATTACCAATTACAAGGTCTTTCTGAATTGGATTTAGAACAACCAAGAGCATTATATCACAAGGTTTTCAGTGATAAAGATCGTGCTAAATTTGTTAAAAACATTGCAGGTGTTGCTGGTAATATCAGTAATCCAACAGTTAGAAAACAAGTTCCACAATATTGGGGTTTGGTTGATAAAGAATTGGGTGCTAGAGTTGCTAAAGAATTAGATGTTGATTATGAATACTTATCACCAGAAAATTATGCTAATGGTATTGGTAATTCAGCTGTCTTAGCAAGTCAACATTAATGATGTTTATCATCTTTAAATGTTTTATTAATCATGGGTTATGAATATACGGTTTTATTATATAATAGGAATTTTTATTGTATTGGATTTTAATGGTATATGTAGTTGTAAAACTATTTGTCTTCTTCACTAAGCTATAGCTCTATAAACTCCAAATATAGTTACATTGGTGTTGCTTCTCAGCTACCCTGATGTTTATCGATCTCAAAACGGATCCTATCCTTGGACCTTCAAGCATCACATCCACCGGGTTGTAGTATAAAATCAGCTTTATTAATATTGACTGTATCTTCAATTTCATTTCACTCCTTCTGCCTAAATATCAAGCCTCATTAAAGTATAATTCTATATATACCTCGGGTTTACCGGTACTACCGGAACCGATCATGTTCTAATTTGATTTTGACATAATTAGCTCAAAAATAAACAAACTGGTATTAAACTTAATGGTGTAATATTATTTTTAAAATTTGATTTTAGTATATTATAGTTTGAAGCTCATTAGAGATGTTTTAAATTAATTAATTTTTGAAAATTAATAATTGAATTTCATAAAATGTCAATCTAATAAATTTTATTTTTCATTCAGAATATTATTACTGGAAAATAACAAAAGATCGGCGCGGATCATATTATTCATGAGCCCAGAAATGACATATTTTAATACCTTCATAGCATTATTAAGGAAATAATAATCACCATAATATTATAAAAGTTAATAATATCAATCATTTATCCTATACTATTCCTAAATATTAAAGATATCGGCCTTAATCGGATCTCAATTCAAGATCTAAAATCCAAATATTTTGAAAATCCCCCATTTTAGCCTATACAAGCTCGAAACTTCAAAGCACAAACAAATATCACATCTTTGAGTCTCAAAGGATTTACTAAACCTATTAAAAACTAAAATTTACATAGTTTAAGCGTTATAGATCTAAATAAATCTCGATCGCGTGTCCCAACCAGGTGATGAAAACTTTGCAAAGTCTTGCATCAACATGCAAGAAAACTCAACAATAGGAGGGTTGGCCGAGTGGTCTAAGGCGGTAGACTTAAGATCTACTGGACGATTGTCCGCGCGAGTTCGAACCTCGCATCCTTCAATATCTTTTTTTGCCATTTTGGCAATTTTTTTGCTAGTTAAACCTTATATCTAGTGTACCAGATCTTTTTTTTTTGAGTACAAAGGTAGATCTCATGTTTAATTCTTTTTTCCTTTATCATTTGGGCTTGTAGCGCCGCAAAGGGGATAATCAGAAAGGTTATAAGGGTTCAAATATTTTCAACTTCGGATTTACAAATCTACAAAACGAATATTTAAAACAATAAATTCAGACCATATGATATTGTGTTAACACATATAGCTCCTTTGATGTTGAATGGAGAAATATATATAAAGATCTGTTTGAATCAACATTGATTGATTTGTTAATTTTGCCAAATATAAAATGGTTTTAAGTTGGAGTGTGACAACAAATGGTTCATCGTTTAATCATGATGAATAACGACGAGATGCTGGTAAAGCATTAAGTAACAAGTTTAAACATAAGAGCACCATAATTAATCCTAATCCCATAATCGTTAATGAATCAATTTTAGACTCTTCAATATAATATCTTGATTTAAATGAAGCTGTAACACGAAATGTAGATAATAAAAGATGAACTTGAAACATTGTGATTAAATGTGTTATAGATCTTTTAACGGTATTTGGAAGATTAGATTTTTCAAAAATTGAAACAATTGGACTTTGAAATAATAATGAATCATAATCAACGTTTCTAAATCCAATTCTAATAACACTAACAGTAACTAATTGAACTAAAACCAAGAAACTATCTTTACTCAAGCTCATAATTTCACAACCAAATATAACAAATACACCAATAATAATTTCTGATAAGCCATCAAAGAAAACTTCAACATCATTTCTTGTTACACCACCAATAAAGTGAACTATGTTTGTTATGAAAAGTTCAAGTTCAGATCTTAATTGTTTAATCTCTTCAGTTGGAACTTTGAATTTCAATGAACCAACACGATTAATACTTGATAAGTTTGGTGATGCTAATTTTGGTGTTTTAATTGATTCGATTGCTTGCTTCTTTATTTTAGCAGCTTGTGCTTCAGCTTGTTGTTGTCTTGATCTTGAAGTGATTAATCTATTAGATTTTCTTAATGAATTTAATTTTTTTTCTAATTGAGCAGCACCACTATCAACTGAACTATGATCCAAAGGTGATAATTCATCTAATGAAATTGGTTCATCACTTAAATCATATGTAATTGGTGAAAGTGTATCATTTAAAAGTAATTCTGGTGTTTTAATCAATGACAATTGTTTTTCAAAAGCACCAATTTTTGGAGAATCTGGATAAAGATTTATGGTTGGTTTTCTTGTGAGATAACTTGACATGATGTGAATATGATATATGAGTCTATAGATCTAATGATAATAATATTCCTCTTTGGATTAAATAACTGAAAAGAACTGATTGAGAAAAAAAAGTGATCCTTTGATCTGATCTTGTAATTGGATAAAAATTGTTTGGGAAGAGCAAATATTAATAGAATGAAAAAACACACAGCAAATAGCTAATAATCTGGATAAGAAGAATAATCCTTGAGTTCTATGATCTATAACATACCAAACAGTTCAACATCTAGTATAAAACTTGTTTTTTTCTTTTCAATTTTGTTGATATAACTTTCGGGTATTTTTAATTTTGACACAAAACCAAATCTCCGAACTCCACAAAAAGAACCGAACTGAACTGGGTACCAAGTTCCAACTACTACAAACCAAAAAATAATAAAACACCAAATAACTGGAAAAAAGCAAAAAATATATTGGTTTTTTAATACAAAATAAATACATGGTTTAAACATTTTTAAAAATCACTCTTTATGTTGAGAAGTTGATTTACTTGAAGTTCCTAAATCATAATCATTATCTAATTCATTATCAATATCAAATTCATCATCATCTAAACTTTTCTTATGAACATTTGATTGTAGTTCAATATCTTCCAAGTCTTCAGTATTATAAACTTTTTTATATTGACCATTTGAACTATCTCCACGATTAAAACTATTGATGAAATTATTTAATCTATTTGATCTTGATGGTTCAGCTTGAGTTCTTTGATATGTTGGTGGTGGTGTAGAAGTTGGACTAATACGATCATCATTTGAATCAGCCCATGAAACTGTTTTTTTATGACCATTTCTTGAATTGATATTATTATTATTATTATCATTTAAATTTTTATTTCTTAAAATTGAAGTTTTTTTAGGTTGTTTTCTTTTTTTATAATAAACAACTAATCCACCAAGTATTAAAAAGAATATTAAATAAAAAATGAAAAAAATTGGTGATTTCCCCTTTGAATTTTCTGAATCTTGATTTTCATTTTCATTATTATCCTGGGTTGGTGTATCTTTATGATGAATTGGAGTTTCAATATATTGTTTACCATCTTGATCTTGAAATTTAAAATTTTTAACAAACAAATCAAAAATTCCTCTTGATTGTTCTGGTAAATCAAATGGAATCATATGTGAAGCATTGAAAACATCAACATAAGTCAAGTTTTTAGATGATTTAATTGAACCAGTCAATTGATCATCATAAATCCAATCATAAGTTTCCACTTCATCACTAAAACCTTTTGAACCACCCCAATTTAATTTTGAAATTAAATCTTCAACACCACGATTATTACAAATAATATCATTACCACCATTAAATAACATAATTTCTAATTTTGATAATAAAGAAGGTAATAAATTATATGAAGGTTTCATACCTTTATTTTTTAAATATTTTGAAACATCACCATCACATTCTCTCCATTGTTTGATTTTAGAAGGATCAAGGTTTAAAGCTTGAACAACTTCCTTTTTATGTAAATAAGGACCAACTTGTTCTAAATCAGGTGGCCAATTCATACCACAACTTGGATAACTATCTCTTAATTTAATATCATACATATTTAAACATTCTTGATCCTTTGGACCTTTTTTATCTCTAGTATATTGTAAGATCCATGTTAAGATATTTTCACATTCACGCATTTCAAATTTATCATCATTAACAGGATTATTAACTAAATTTTGACAATGTTCTTGTTGTTTTAATAATTTTGGCATAAATTCATCATTTGGATTTAATAAACCTTTATCCAACATAAAAGGTATATAACTTAAACTTTGAATAATTGGAGCAATCCAACCATTCCCAATTAATAAACCTTTTAAATTTGAACTAAATGATTCATTTGAATTTAAAATTTTATCAGCAATGAATGGAATATATTGACCTGCATAACTTTCACCAGCAATATAAAGTTCTTTATTTAAGTCTTCTGGGAAAACTTCATAATATTTTTGTAAAAACACAACAAAATCATCACCAACTTTATTTAAATCCTTATCATAATCTTTTGTTGTACTAAAACCAGTTCCACCAGGTTGATCAACAAATACTAAATCTGCAACTTCATTCCATGACCCAGTATTATATTTCAAATCACCATCTTGTCTCACGTGTAATGGACCAATTTCCATTAATGCACCATCCATACTTGAACAACCAGGTCCACCATTTAACCAAATTATAGTTTTATTAAATTCATAATTTTTCTTTAAAAATTTCCAAAAAAAATAATTTTCTTCAATCTTTGGGTTTAATTCTAAATGACCTGCATACATTAAAGGTCTATCAATTTCATCAACACTTTCAATACCTGGTAAATTTTCCACAAGGAATTTTTTCGATGGTATATCAATTGGTGAAGTTGATACTAATGATATTAGAAGCCCTAAAAAGGTTCCAAAAGAACTAATCAGCACCATAATAGAATATAAAATCTATAGCACACCTCTAATCCAAATTCTTAGTTAATATAAATATCTTTTTTTCTTCTCTTTTCAATTGTTGTTATGTTATATGTGTTTCAAATAGCCCCCATTCACGGAAGAAAAAACAAACAGTAAACAAGCTTCTAAACCTCCGAACAAGTCAAATGGAAATATGAATAATAAAGAGCGAATATCACACAGGAGTCTAAGCACAAGACATCAACGTATTGGAAGTGTAGCAAGTTGTAAAAGCTGTTTTTTGATTGAATAGTTTTGGTGTCTTTTCGGTTTCTAGTTTGAGAATTGATTTTCAAAAATAAAATTCGCGTATAGTTAATATTTTGTTTACCAGCAATAAAGATTAATAAAGTACTTTTAAAGATAAGAATTTATAAGTTTATATGTATTCAATATAATTTATAAGATATAAAAAGAAAGCAATGTAATAAAAAGAGTATAAAAATTAAGAATTGAAAGACAAAGATTAAAATTGAATTAACATCATGAGGTTAATCATTAATCTTGAATTGGTTCAATATTCCAAATAGATTCAGCATATTCATCAATAGCTCTATCAGAACTGAAAAATCCAGAATTAGCAACACTTAAAATACTCTTCTTTAACCATTCTTTTTGATCCAAATAAGCTTGATCAACCAATTCATGAGCTTGTAAATAACTTTCAAAATCATCACCAACTAAATAATGATCCCCATGATATTTAATAGAATCAATTAATGATCTATATTCACCTCCGGAACCAAATTTACCAGATTCAATTAAATCTAAAACCTCGGTTAATTTTTCTGGTAATTCATAACCATTAAATCTATGTTGATGTCTTATATCTTCAACATTTTCAGCTAAATGACCAAATAAAAAGATATTATCTTCACCAATTTCTCTTGTGATTTCAACATTTGCACCATCAACAGTACCAATAATTAACCCACCATTCAAGACAAATTTCATATTTGAAGTACCTGATGCTTCTGTACCTGCAGTTGAAATATGTTCAGATAAATCTGAAGCTGGAATAATTTGTTCAGCTTTTGAAACATTATAATCTGGAATGAATACAACTTTTAATAAATCTCCAACTTCAGGATCATTATTAATAACTTCACCAACGGAATTAATTAATTTAATAATTAATTTTGCAGTATAATAACCTGGTGCAGATTTCCCACCAAATATAACAACTTTTGATAAAATCTTGGAACGTTCTTCTGGTGAGGCTTTTTTAATACGAATATAACGTGCAATAACTCCCAAGATGTTTAATTGTTGACGTTTATATTCATGAATTCTTTTAACTTGAATATCAAAAAGGACATTTGGATTTGAAATTTCAATACCTGTTAAATTTTTAATTAATTTAACTAATCTTTTCTTGTTATTTAATTTAATATCAAACCATTGTTTTTGGAATTCAGAATCTTCAGCATATTGTTCTAAATTTTTCAATTCATTTAAATTACTTAAATAATGATCTCCACCTAATTTTTCAGAAATTAAAGTTGCTAATTCTGGATTAGCTTGTCTTAACCATCTTCTTGGAGTAATACCATTAGTAACATTTGTAAATTTTGAAGAACCATAAATTTTAACAAAATCTTTAAAAATTGTAGTTTTAATCAATTCAGAATGTAATTCAGCAACACCATTAACATTATGAGAACCAATAATGGCTAAATAAGCCATTCTAACTTGTCTTGGTTGAGATTCTTCAATAACAGAGACTCTTGATAATAAATCACGATCATTAGGGAATTTTTTCTCAACAGATTGTAACCAAAATAAATTTATATCATAAATAATTTCTAAATGTCTTGGTAATAATCTTTGAATTAATTCAACTGGCCATTTTTCTAAAGCTTCAGTCATAACTGTATGATTTGTATAACCAAAAGTATTTGTAACAATTTCCCAAGCTTGATCCCATGGTAAACCTTCTAAATCAACTAAAACTCTTTGTAATTCCACAATAGCTAAAGTTGGATGAGTATCATTTAATTGAATTGCAACTTGATCAGTAAATTCAGACCATGGTCTTTTGGTTTTCTTAAATCTTCTAAGGATATCATGTAAAGAAGCTGAAACCCAAAAATATTGTTGTTTTAATCTCAATTCTTTACCAGAATCAAAATTATCATTTGGATATAATACTGCAGTTATTGATTCAGCTCTTTGTTGACCTGCAACTGAATTTTGATAATCACCTGCATTAAATTTTGAAAAATCAAATTCTGTTGTTGGTTCAGCACTCCATAATCTTAAATTATTAACATTTGAAGTCTTATAACCAGGAGTTGGGAAATCATAACCAACTGCAAGAACTCTTTCACCACCAACCCAATTAACTTTAGTTTGACCTTGATCATCCTTGGTATGTTCAACATAACCATAAAAATCAATTGGGATTTGAATTTCCTTTCTTGGGATTTCCCAAGGATTTGAAAATTTTAACCAATAATCAGGAGTTTCAACTTGATAACCATCAATAATTTTTTGTGCAAAGATACCATATTGATATCTTAGACCATAACCCCAAGCAGGATAATTCCCAGTGGAAAGAGAATCAACAAAACATGCAGCTAATCTACCTAACCCACCATTCCCCAAAGCGGCATCAGGTTCTTGTTGAATTAAATCTTCTAAATTGAAACCTAATTCATCAGTAGCATCTGAAACTAATTCTCTATTATTTGTATTAATTAAAGCATTATCTAAAGCACGACCCATCAAGAATTCTAATGAAAGATAATAAACTCTTTTTTGATCTTTAGTGGTTTGTTTTTGTTGAGTTTTATTCCAATCAGTAATTAAATTATCACGAACCGAGTTGGAAGTTGCTTGATAAGCAGCTAATTCATCACAATTATACAAGGAACGAGCAAGTGTAGTTTCAACATGATTAACAAAATTTTTTTCAAATGTTTCTTTAGAGTCAAATTTATCAACACCAAATTTTTTCCAAGTTTCTCTTGATTTTAATGGGATTACAGAATCAATTGTTTTGATTTCTGCTGGAGAAAATCCAGTGAATCTTCTTATATGTTTTGGACGTGGTAAATCAGCACCAGGTTCAGAAGGATGGAAATCGTATGAACTCATTGTATGGTATTGATTGTTTCAACGAGGTCAATTGAGTTCAATTGATGTTGTACTTGTTGGGTAAATTTATAAAATAAGGGATTAGAAATTTAGGGGATGAAAAAGGTTTTATATACAAATGAATTTTTAACACCTGATGATTTCAAGGGATATAATAAGGTTTACAAGGAATGAATTGATCCGTAAAGAGACACAGGGAAGAAATAGGCAGGGAAGGGACAGCAGTCTAGAAGGAAATAGACTGGTTTTATTGGTTCAATTGTTGTTCAATTGTTCAATTGCTATCAGTTAAGTGTGGTTATGTGATGGATGTGGTTGTTGTCCATGGGGTGCATACATAATAGATAATAGATTATACGATTGTGTGAAGAATAATTTTAAATTATATGCGATTAATAAGTATACCAAGATATGACTATATACTATATACTTCTATTGTCTTCTTATTATTATTCCATTGTCCTTGTAGTTCCATGTTGTCTTCATGTTCAATGCGTTCCATCCGATGGCCATCAATGTGCAAATAAGGGGATGATCCACAATCAATTGACAATTGAAATTTGACACCATCACAAAGAGACAACCAGTACCAAAGACTAGACCAATCAGAGTACACACACAGTCAATTCTCAGACACTGGCCAATTGTTGAGTGGAATTACAATAGTCTATAAACAACCACTCGTATAACATTGTATCCAGTAGCTATAGCTCATCATTTGTCTTTCAGATCTCAATATATTTCAATTTAATACGACTTGCAAACACATGCATCAATTAATAGGGAATAACAATTTATACACAAAACAACCACAACACAACATCAAACCATAAATAAAATAATACAATCTAGACAAACACACCACTTTAATCACAAATATCACATAAAATCAATACATTTATATACAAATTTATCCCATAATCTATATATCCAATCATTTATTACCGCATTAGGAAATGTAATTAAATTTTCGTGTCGTTTTCGCGATTTTCATTTTCATTTTGAATTTTCGCCATTCGCGTTTTTGACATTTTTTCGTTTTTAGTATTAAACTTTAGATCTTTAATATCAAAACAATACCAAATAACCAAGTTCACCAACCTTTTCATCAACTCCATATCCAACAAAACTCATACTACCACACCATGGCTTCCACTTCCGCTTTACCAGCCATCAAAATTGATGTCAATTATAAAGAAATTAGTGAAGGTGTTAAAGATTTTTTACAACATTTTAAATCAACAGGTTTATCAGAAAGTGATAAATTATATGATGCTCAAATTGATCAAAATGCTTTACAAGGTGATGATGATGATGAATTAGAAGATGATCGAATGGAAATTTTAAGAAATGGTCCGAAATACTTATATCTTTTACAAAAAATTGCAAATAGAGATTTATCAACTTTATATATTGATTTAGATGATATTCAATCATTTGAATTATCAAATGATTTTACAATAGGTACACAAAATTTTGGTAAAAAATCACTTGTTGAAAATATAACACAAAATACATATCATTATATTGAATTATTTTCAAAAGTTATTGATGAAATTATGCCTTTCCCAACAAAAGATATTAGTTATAAAGATGGTGTATTAGATGTTATTTTACATCAAAGAAGATTAAGAAATCAAAGATTAGAAGCTGAACGTCGTGAAGAATTAAATGCAAATAACAACAACAATAACAACAATGATCTTGATCAAGAACAACAAAATCAATTAAATGAAGATCAAGCTTTCCCTCCAAGCTTAACTCGTCGTTATAATATTTATTTTAGACCTTTAACAAACTCTTCACAAAATTCTAAAATTTCAAATAAAGCTTTAGCTGTGAGACAAGTTAAAGGCTCTTCATTAGGTCAATTAATCACCGTGAGAGGTATTGTAACAAGAGTTTCAGATGTTAAACCATCAATCACAGTTAATGCATATACTTGTGATCAATGTGGTTATGAAATTTTCCAAGAAATTAATTCTAAAACTTTTACTCCATTAGCAGAATGTACATCGGAACAATGTGTTAATAATCAATCAAGAGGTAAATTATTCATGTCAACAAGAGCTTCAAAATTTTCTCCATTCCAAGATGTTAAAATTCAAGAATTAGCTTCCCAAGTCCCAGTTGGTCATATTCCAAGAACTTTAAACGTTCATGTTAATGGTGATCTTGTAAGATCTATGGACCCGGGGGATGTTGTTGATATTGCTGGTATTTTCCTTCCAGCTCCATATACTGGGTTTAGAGCTTTAAGAGCTGGTTTATTAACTGAGACTTATCTTGAAGCTCAAGCTATAAGACAACATAAAAAAAAATATGATCATAGTGTCCTAGATGAAGAAACTGAAAGACAATTAAATAGTATTAATCAATCTGATGGGTTTTATAATAGATTAGCTCAATCTATTGCACCAGAAATTTATGGTCATGAAGATGTTAAAAAATCTTTATTATTATTATTAGTTGGTGGTGTTGATAAAAAAATTGGTGATGGTATGAAAATTAGAGGTGATATAAATATTTGTTTAATGGGTGATCCGGGTGTTGCTAAATCTCAATTATTGAAAACAATTGCTAAAATAACACCAAGAGGTGTTTATACCACAGGTAGAGGTTCTTCAGGTGTTGGTTTAACTGCTGCGGTTATGAAAGATCCAATTACTGATGAAATGGTTTTAGAAGGTGGTGCTTTAGTTTTAGCTGATAATGGTATTTGTTGTATTGATGAATTTGATAAGATGGATGAAAGTGATCGTACTGCAATTCATGAAGTTATGGAACAACAAACTATTAGTATTTCAAAAGCTGGTATTAATACAACATTAAATGCTCGTACTTCAATTTTAGCTGCTGCAAATCCCCTTTTTGGTAGATTTAATCAAAAATTATCTGCATTAGAAAATATAAATTTACCTGCTGCTTTATTATCAAGATTTGATATATTATTTTTAATCTTGGATAATCCAACAAGAGATGATGATGAAAGATTAGCTCAACATGTTGCTTATGTTCATATGCATAATAAACATCCAGAAATGGAATTTGAACCATTATCACCAACAACTATAAGAAATTATATCACCAAGGCAAGATCTTTTAGACCTGTTGTCCCGCAAGATGTTGGTGAATATGTTGTTAATTCTTATATTCGTTTAAGACAAGAATCAAAATTAAAATCCAAAAGTGGTGAATCTGCATTTGGTCAAGCTACACCAAGATCTTTATTAGGTATATTAAGAATGTCACAAGCTTTAGCACGTTTAAGATTTGATAATGTTGTTTTGACAGATGATGTTGATGAAGCTTTAAGATTATTAGAAGTTGCAAGATCATCATTTGAAATTAATTCAAATCATAAAAGAAATCATGAATCACCAAAGACAAAAATTTATCAAATTATTAAAAATTTAGCAACAAGAGATGAAGTTTTCAAGAAAACTTTATCAATTCAATTAATTAAAGATGCTGTTATCTCAAGAGGTTTTACTGAATTACAATTGACTGATTGTTTAGATGAATATAATACTTTAGGTATATGGCAATATATTAATGATGGTGAAGATTTATATTTCTTAAATAATGCTGATGGTGATGCATTAGATGATGATTTATTTATGGATTAAGCAAAAGTATAATCTTCTAGAAATAAAGAAGAAAAGATAAATTTAATTCTTGTATTATATGTTATTCTTATTGTGTTTCTTGTGGTTTTTATGTTATTGTTAATTGATTTATTGTATATTATTAAAGATCAAAGTTTTTTTTTGATTTAATTGTTTAATTCTTAATAATAAAATTGTTTGTATATTTATAGATTTGCTTGTATGTAGAACAGTACTTTAATATTATATAGACCAATGATCTATTAATTAATCATGGAGCTCTTTCAATAATGATCTACGTCAACGTACGTATACGTTGTACTTGGAATAAAGCTGAAAAATTCCACTTATACCGACACCTGGCTGCATTCATTATAACAACTAAGAGGGAAAATGTAATGGAGTCTAGCCACCCATCAAAATATATATTGTCTTATATCATGATATTAATTCATTTTTCAATAGATTTTAATATATCGGATGGACATACTTTCACGCGGTCCACTTATACACAAAACTTCAACGGCATATAACACAAAACATTTGTATGTGAAGAAGACCAAAATACCACTTTATATAGGTAATATGGTACTATTAATAACAATAGGATTACTGGATATACTCTAAACCAAGCGACAGCGGCGCAGGAATACATTAATTTTGTTAGGTGACATAATTGGTCAAACAGGTCATCTCAAAAATTCAACAATTCGGCCGTGTGGTCTAGTGGTATGATACTCGCTTTGGGCGAAGATTGGGTTCACTCAATCTAATATCCACAAGCATGCGAGTGGCCCAGGGTTCAATTCCCTGCTCGGCCCGATTTTTTTGTTATTTTTTGAAACCGGTTTTTTTTCATGAAAAACCTTTCTTTTTTGGTGAATAAATTACTCAGTCTAGTGCAAATGAACTCAAATGTTCCAATAAACGTATTTTTAACTCACAGCCTCCTCTAATTGGTCTATTATTCAGTCATTTAACCGGAAACACATAGTAATAATTTACCCGCGAATTTGATGGTTTCCTATCATGTTACGTAATACACGATGATTTTTTTATTTTTTTGCCATTCAGGTTTTTTCTTTTAAAATTCATTACAATTTACAATATTTTAGTACTGATTTAATCAAATCAAAAGATAATTTATCAAACTAATTTTATCAAATAAACATATTAACAAACATCAAAATGATCAACAATAACGATACATTCATCTCCGATGAAGAAGAAGAACTATGGTGAGTTGCTTAGTGTTTGTGGTTTTTGATGTCGAATTATGGACTTTTTTATTTGTGAAAGGCGCGCTCTCTCTAGTAAAATTAATGGGTTCATATTTCATCATCATCATTATGATAAGATTCCTTGGGAATAATATACTAACAGTTATCAATCAGTCCATTATGTGTGGAAGAAATGGATATTTCAGATAAAAATTTCAAACCATGTCCTTGTGGATATCAAGTTTGTCAATTTTGTTATAATAATATTCGTCAAAATCCAGAATTAAATGGGAAATGTCCAGCATGTCGTAGAACTTATGATGATGAATCTGTGGAATATAAAGTTGTGTCTCAAGAAGAATGGAAATATGAACATAGTAAACAAACAAGAAGAGATCGTGAAAGAAAACAAAAAGAAAAGGAAAAGAAAGAACATGAACAAGCTAATAGAAAACATCTTGCTGGTATGAGAGTAATTCAAAAAAATTTGGTTTATGTTGTTGGTTTAAACCCTTCAGTAGCTTCAGATGAACTGCATACAATTTTAAGATCTGATAAATATTTTGGTCAATATGGTAAAATTCAAAAAATTGTAATTAATAAAAGAACTCCTCCAGCTGGTGTTCCTCAAAGTCATAATCAAAATCTTGGTTTTGGAGTTTATGTTACATTCAATAAGAAAGAAGAAGCAACAAAATGTATTAATGCTATTGATGGTACTTATATTGATGGTAGACCTTTAAAAGCTGCTTATGGTACAACCAAATATTGTTCTTCATATTTAAGAGGTCAAAATTGTCCAAATCCAAATTGTATGTTCTTACACGAACCTGGTGAAGAAGCTGATTCTTATACAAGACAAGATTTATCAACAAGACAAGGTCTAAAGATGAATGGGGATCCAAACAGTACTCAACATCAAGGTTTATCACAATCACAACAACAAAATGGATTCAAATCATCTTCACAATTTTCAAATCCAAGATATTCTAATAATTCTCAATATTATAATCATCATAATGGTTCTTCATCTTCCATTCATCACAGAGATCAAGATGAAAATAATTACTCATATTCCAATAGTAATAATAACAATAATAGTAATAATGGTAATCATACTCCACAACCATCACATACACAACCAATATTGGGAAGTGCACCTTTACCAGCAACTGCATCATGGGCAAGCAATTCAATTCCAAAAACTTCAAATGTTTCATCTCCAACAAATGCAACAAGTGTTTTAGCAAATTCTTCTGCCTTCCCAACTTTAGCTGAATCTACCACTTTACAACAACAGCAACAACATCATCAACAACAACAAACCAGAAAACAAAAAGCTTCTAATAATAATAGTAATAATAATAATCAAGGTGATGAATTTAGTTATGAACAAGCTGCTGTTTCATTTATTGATGAAACTTTAAATTTCTTAAATTCTTTACCAAGATTCAATTATCAAATCAAATCAAATGTTATTGATGAAGAATTAGATTCTTTCCCTCCATTATTTGCATACTCTAATATTAAAGTGGATAATACACCAGGATCATTCAATTTAAAACTTGTTGAATCATTAATTTCAAAACCTGTCACTAAGTCAATTTCACCTCAATTACAACAATTAGCATTACAACAACAACAACAAGCTCAAATTCAACAAAACCAACAATTGGCTCAAGTTCAAGCACAAGTCCAAGCTCAACAAACTCAAGCTCAATTAACACCATCTCAACAAGCTCCACAATTGAATGATTTTACACAAGCTTATACTCAACAACAACAACAACAAAGACCACAATCACAATCCCAAAACCCTCAACAATTTTATTCACCACAAGCTACAGCTGCAGGTTTATTACAACAACAACAACAATTCGGTAATCAAGATCAAGCACAATTATTACAAGAACAATTGAGACAACAACAACAACAACAAATTTTATTAAATCAATTGAAAAATGAACGTAATTTTTCAGCTACTCCACCACCACCAGGTTTATATCAAAATTCAGGTGCACCAAATTCAGCTACAGAATCTCAACAATCAAATCAAGTTGGTGGTACTGCATCAGAATTATTATTTCATTTAATGAATGGTAAAAAAATTAGTACTTAAGATTATCGAATGTTTTAATTTATAGGGTATAAGTTTCTTTTGTTTGTCATGTTTTGTATAATGTTTATTTAATTCCACTTTATGTATTATAAAGAGAAAAAAAAAGCTATAAATAATATGTAGATTTATACTATACGCGTGTATTTCAATATGGACTGAATCTTTTTTCCTTTTTCTTGATTGTCATTGGTTTACCAGAACCTACAACACCAACTTTTGAACCAAATTTTTCAGAAGTACTAAATTGTGAAGATGTTTTCTTTTTAGTTTTTTATTAAAATTTTGCCAACTTTTTGCACTTTTATTTAATTCTAAATCATCATTTTGTTTCTTCTTTTCTTGATTTTCTAATTTTGTTTGTTTTAATTTATATTTATTTTTAATAAATTTTGGTTTTTCTAATTTGATTTCCTCTATTGGATATGTTTCAGTTTTATCATTATCAAATTTAACAGTAATTAATTTCTGATTACCTGATATTATTGTAATTTTAACTTGTTGATATTCTTTTTCTAATTTTGGTTTGACATATACTAAATCTCCAACTTTGAATGAAGATTCTGGTGCCTGGGGTGATTGAGAGTTAGATGAAATTGTATCTATTGGGATGTCTTTCTGAGTATTATCTTGTATACTTGATTCTTTGGCCTCATCTGTATCTTGTTTTGTTTCTGGTTCTTCTTCTTGATTTAGTAATGATATCAAATCTTTCAATTCCTTCTGAAGTTCTAACAACGATTCATTTTCCGGATCCTGTTTCAGCGTTTCTTCAATGTCTCGTAGTTGTGATTTATATTCCTCTAGTTCACTCATTCTAACCTACTTTTCAACAATTCCAATGATTTGTAATTTTATAAATCATGTCAAAACTTCATTATTAATTTATGCTTATATTACTGTTTTTTTCTATGTGTGCGACCAGGGCTTCGAACCATAACCTTTGGATTTTTTCATATAGTAATTAACTTTTGAACTTTCACTTCAAGTAGGGAAGATTGTTTAGACAGAAGCTTAAGCAGAATCCCATTGAAAAGATTAGAAAATCCATAATGGTAAGTATTATTTGTGCTGTTAGCTGGCAAAATAACATCAATGCTAATTTTGAAATAGACTGATACGTCAAAATTCCCACCGGATGTGTCGAGGTTATTTGAACCAAGACCACCTTTAAGATTTGTTGAACAGATAGATACTGCACCAAAAGAACGTAAAACAGCTTTTATAACTGGAATAGGATCATTCTTGGATAAATTAAAAGAATATAAACAGATTGATTATCCAAAAGAACAATTTGAAGAAACTCCAGTATTGAAACAACAACGTGAAAAAAGGGAAAAACAATTATTAAATAAACAAAAATTAGATGAAGATTTTGCTAAATGGAATCCATCTGAAGATCCACATATCAAAGGTGATCCTTATAAAACGTTATTTGTAGGGAGATTGAATTATGAAGTTACAGAAATTGATTTACAAAAGGAATTTTCTAAATATGGTGAAGTTGAAAGAGTAAGTTATGATAACTATGACTTATAACTTTGAATATTGATTTACTAACTTTTATTTAAACTTTAGGTTCGTGTTGTTAGAGACAAAGATACTAGTAAATCTAAAGGATATGCATTCATACTATTTGATCATGATTCAAGTGCCAAAGCTGCTTATAAAGAAGCCAATGGATTGAAAATCAAAGGTCGTGCTATAATAACGGATATTGAAAGAAGTCGTACTTTTAAATCATGGGTACCAAGAAGATTAGGTGGTGGTCTTGGAGGCCGTGGTTATATCAAAAGACAAATTGAAGCTGAAAGAGCACCAAAGAGAAGATATGATACAGGTCCACCAAGTGGGAGAGGTAGAGGTGGATCAAGATTTGGAACTCGTGGAGGTCCAGTTGGTGGTGGACGTGGAGGAAGAGGTGGTGGATATGATAGATCAAGAGGTGGTTCTAGCTCTAGAGGTGGTTATGATAGATCATCATATTCAAGTTATGATTCAAGATCATCAAGATACAGAGAAAGACAAACTGATGATTCAAGTCATAGTGGTGATTATGGTGATAGATATGAAAGTAGATCTGAAAGACCAAGTGGTGGTATAACGAGATATGAATCAAGATCTGAAAGACCGGAAAGAACAGAAAGATTTGAATACAGTAGTAGGTCTAATCGTGATTTTAGTGATCGTGATAGAGATAGAGATCGTGATTCCAGAGTAGTGAGTGAAAGAGAAAAAGAAAGAGAAAAGTTTAGAGAAAGAAAACTTGAACAAGCATCCAAAAGTCGGATGAGATACTAGCTTAGTACAAAATCTATTTAAATTGCATGTTGGCTGTATTATAAGTTAGTTTACAAGACCTGTAGAAGACGGTTTGGAAGTAAATAACTTGAATCATTTCTCCATAAATGAAATGATCCAGTATATCATGATCAACCCCAGCAACTGGTATTCAATCCAATATCTTTATGATTAATCGATAAGATTGCCTTTTAAGATGTCTTATTATTGTACTTATATATTCGATAAAGACACACCCAATATCTTCGCGAATTCAGAAAATCCCCTTTCTCGGAATAAGATATGTGTGAATTACTTGATCAGAATTTCAATCAAAATATCAAAAAACTACCAATTTCAAACACAAGTTAATAAAATAAATCAAAAAATGGAAGACTGGAGAAGAATTGACATAGATGCATTAGACCCAGAAGCTCAAATAATAGCTGAAGAATTAAAACCAGAAGTCGCACCTGTTAGTGCTGAAGAAGTTCAAACTAGAATATCAACACTTCGTTCATATATCTCCAAAGGTGCTTTTACTGATGCCATTGGATTCCTTACTGAAGATCCACCATATGGTGCAGATGATGCTTCAAAAGTGAGTGTAAACCATTGATCTAGCTTAGGTTTTTTCAAGAATACTAACTCTTTATAAAGTCACAATTATTAAATTCAGTACTTGATGTATTTAGTGCAACAAAGCAATCAGAAATTCCAACAATTGTACAATCATTATCAATTGAACAACAAAATGTATTGGTTAAATATCTTTATAAAGGAATGTCAGTTACTAAAGGTCAACAACAAGGTGGTGTTTTATTATCTTGGTATGATAAAACCGTGGAGATTACTGGATTAGGTCCTGTTGTACGTTATTTATCTGATAGACGTACTGTATAATAAATGCTATAAAAATATAATTGGTGAATTATTATAGCAATATGAAAGTTTTGAAAAGTTATACAATATATATACTACAATGAACGAATGATTTTAAATGTACTATGAAATTTAAGCTATAAATATTGTAAAATTAAATGATTTATAAAAACTCCTAATTATTCGCAGCTAAAATTTGGTAGAAATACTAGTTGAATATACTCAAATATGGTATCCTATCATTTAATCAATATCAGAATTAAATGAATTTTCAATAATATTATTATTTGTTACTTTCTTTCTAGCTTTTTTTGGTGATTTCTTTGGTGATTTACTTGGTGATTTTAAACTTGGTTCTGGTAATTTATTTTCAAAATTTAATTCACTTAATGGTTTTTTCTTTGGGGTATCATTGAAAAAAATATGTTTATTTGGTGAAGCTTGACCAAATTTGAAAGGAGAAGTTTGATTCTTTCTTGGTGAAGTACTTTCTTTTTTAGATGGTGAGGTAGTTGATATTTTAATTGGGCTGAAATTAATTAAATCTTGTTCATTTTGTATGATCTTTGGAGCTGCTTGTAAACCTTCAGGTTTAGATTTTTTTGGAGATTCAACATTAATACGTGCAAATTTTGGTGATCTCTCATCTTCATCTGTATCTTCATCATTAGCAATTTCAGATTTTCTCTTATTGTCATTTTCACCATTATTGAAACTAGATTCTAATTTCTCAGTCAATTCTTCAATCTTTTTAGCTTTTTTTATTGTTTTCTTTTGTAAATGTTTGTTCTCCTTTTCTGCATCCTCTAAACGTTTTCTCAAGACTGTGATTTCAGAATTTAGCTTATCTTGATTTTCTTTCATATTATTGATTTGATTTTGTAATTCAATTTCGTGTTGAGCTTTATCACTAACTGAAGAGTTTAACTCTTGTTTCAATTTCTCCAATTGAGAAAGTAATGATTGATTTTCAGATAAAAGCTTTGATTCCCCTGAGTTACTTGTTGATTCCAGATCTTGGTATCTAGCATTCAATGATTCAATTTGTGACTTGAACTCTTCAATTTTAGTATTTGATTCAATTTCAAGTGTTTTGATTTTAGATTCATAATCTTTACTTAAAACATCAAGTTTTTCATCCAAAGATCTTTGATGTGATTCTTTCAATTTATTCAATTCTTCAGTATTATTAGCATCTATTTCTTTAATCTTTAGTTCAAACTCATCAGATAATTCATTTCTTATAGATATTTCTTGTTCTTCAAGTTTTTCTTTTGTTTCTTCATTTTCTTTGGTTACTTCATCGAATTTTTCTTTCAAGATTCTAAGTTCTTCATTTAATTGTAACACTATTTCTGATTCTGGTTCAATTGAATTACGTTCAGAGCTGATTGTGACTCTTGAAACTGGTTGGATATATCTTAAAGCATGTAAAATTGTTGACAAATTAGAATATGGATCTAAAGTTAACAAAATTTTGATTTTATTATTTTGATTGAAATTACCAAATAAGTCACTAAGTAATAATCTTGTCAATTTGCTTGTTCTTAATATTGATCTTTCAAATCTTTTAGATTTCATTAGCGCTAGACATCTTCCCAATTCTGTTAAACTTGTGTTTGTATAATTACCTTCTTTAAATTCTTTCCCTTCAGTTTTAGCAGTTTTTGTTCTTTCAGAACCAGCCAAATCAGAAATTGTAAGTCTTGAGGTTTTGACTGATCTACCCACAACCTTGTGTAAGTTGAAGTACATAAATAAATGAGATCTTGAACTTTGTTGATTGAGGTATGTTGGACTAACGGCTCTTCTTTTGATAGATTTATGTAAAACCACTTTTGCTTCTTCCAAGTTACTAATGAGTATTTGTCTTATTTTATTTGGTTTGATTTTACCATCTTTAGCATCAGTGATGATATCAAGTGATTGATTAACAGTTTTAGACAGATCTTGAGTTAAATCTCTAATTCTATCATTATAGATTTCAAAAACAGAGATTGTTAACCCATATTCACCTGTAGAATGTTTAGCAGCATTAGACGTAGCAACAAATGATTCTCCAAAATGTTTTTTCAAAATCTTATAATCTGCCAAATTGTCTCCAATCTTGTTAAACATTTCATTTAAAGCATAAATTGCAAGACCTGGATTTGCATCATCACCATGAATTGAATAACTTTTACCACTATTTGAAGGACCTAAAGTGAAAAAGACACTATCTTTACCTTCAATAGTATCCAGTGTCAAATCTTGTAATGTTTCCTTGTAAAGATCTAATTGTGAAGTTTCATTAAACACTTTTGTGAATTTATTAGCAGCAGCAGTTTCTTTAAATTTGACATGGGTTTCATCTTGACTTTCGATCAAATAAGGAGCTTCTTTTGCCTCTGGAGTATCACCCCTTGGTTTCAATCTCAAATAATGTGGGATATTGCTCATTGTTGACCTTTGATTTGCCTAGCAGTTGTTAAAATACCAAACAATTCTATAAAATTCCTGTACTTATTTATTTTAAAAAAGAATGAAAAGTAAACAAAAACAAAGAAAATGAGTTTACACGACGCGAAATGGCAGTCACGTTTTGAGTCATGTGATCAAAATTTTCTTAAATTCGCGAAATTAATTTTGGTATAATCTCGCTTTTTTTTTGAAATTGATGTTTGTTTTCTCATTGAAGCTGCTTTTTGACATATTCAAAGGCACAATCGGGATACAAAAGTGTCAATTGATTGATTGTTATAGCGGTACCGAATTGACAATGGCTGCTGATAAGATTGAAGAAAGTGAATTGAAAGTCACTGAACAACCAATTGAAAGTGCTGGTGAAGGCGCTCCTTTAACTAGAAAAAGAACTAGAGATGATGTTGAAGAAGAGGAAGACAAGAAAGATGAAACTGAAAATAATCCAGAAGAACGTCCAATAGCTCAAGTGAAGCGTAGAAAAGATACTTCTGATGGAAAGGATCAATTGCCAACTGAAAGTAAAAGTGAAGATTCTGAACCAACCAAAATTAGTGAAGATACATCCAAAGGGGAAACAAACCATACAACTGCTAATGATGAAATAGAGAATAAAGATAATGAAAGTGAGAAGACTGAAGAATCAATTCCAAAAGAATCCACAACAGAATCCCCAGAAGAAACAAAGGAACAATCAGATGATAAAGTTGAATCAAAAGAAGAATCAAAGAAAGAACAAGAAACAGAAACCAGTGAAACAAAACCTAAAGAAGAACAAAAACAACCTGAAAAACCAAAATTTGTCTTTGGTTCAACAACTTCATTTGGTGCCAATGCATTTTCATTACTTGATAAAAAGAAGAATGTTTTTGATAGATCATCATCTGAATCACCAAAACCATCTGGTTCAACAACTCCATCAGTATTTGGTTCAAATTCTAAATTTGGTAATGCATTCCAATCATCAATAGCTAAGAAGAACATTTTTGATAAAACTCCAGAAGAACAAACAAAAGAAAAAGAAGAAGTTGAAAAATCAAGAGAAACCACACCATCAATAACAGGAAATTTATATAAACAAGTTGATTTAGAGAAGAAGGAAATTAAATCAGGTGAAGAAGGTGAAGAACAAGTATTTACATGTAGAGCTAAATTATATGCTTTAGATTTTGCAAAAGTTTCTGAAGGTTGGAAAGAAAGAGGTATTGGTAATATTCATGTTAATAAAGCTTTAGATACAGAGAAAAAATCAAGAATTATTATGAGATCAATTGGGTTATTAAAAGTGATATTAAATACACCATTAGTTAAAGGTTTAGAAGTTAATAAAGGTATGCCAAGTTCTTTAGCAAGTGAAAAATTCATTAGAATAACCATAGTGGAAGATGGTAAACCAATGCAATATGCTTTGAAAACTGGTAATCCAGAAACAACTACAGATCTGTTTAATGCTATAGATGATTTAATTCCAAAAGATGTATAAAAATTCCTAATAAATCATGTTTTTAAGTAATCTATATTAATATTATTGTACATTATATATAATAACACTATTTTCTTTCAAATGCTATACTACAAATTGTTTGACCTTTAACACCACCAAATTCAAATGATGGATAATCAATTTTTTTCCAAACTTTGAAAAAATCACCTTCAATAATTTTTGTTAATTCAACTTCTGTAAAATTACAAGACGTTATTAAGAAAACACTACCTGAAGGTAATAATTTCTGTACAGATTCAGCATATAATTCCACAGCTGTTTTACCATTAAATTTTAATCCACTTAATGCAATAGCATCTAATGTACCTTTATCTAATAATACATCAAATTGTCTTGTTGGTTTCCAATTGTCATCATAAATATCAACAACTTCGAATTCAATATCATCAATATCATTAGTTTCAGCAATATTTTGAGCAAATTCAACAGAATTTTCAGAATAATCAATACCCAAAAATTTACCTTTAAATCCTTCTTCTCTTAATTGAAATAATAAATGTCCATTACCTGTACCAACATCACACATTGTAGAATTTTCATTAATAGTTAATTGACCTAAATTATCAAATAAAAATGAAATCATCTTTTCTTCTGCATCTGAATCTGAAAACCAACATTCTCCTGTATCTTCTGGATTTTCTTCAAAATTATTCTTTTCAACTGCATAAAAATCATCCCAACTATAGAGGTAAGTTAATACCCTAGCACCAAAAAATCTAATAAGTAAAAGGATTCACATACTATTGTTTTGTACCCAACTTAGAGGTATTTAGCTTAAAAGTATCTTCAGTCATCTTTAATAAGTAAAGTATATGTCAAGATAGTTATCAAAACTTCATGATCAAGTTTATAGATTCAAATGTACGTTGATATAAAAAAAATTATGGTGGATTATGTAATCATCATATTTTAAATCTGTACTATAACAATTTGATCTTTTTGAACTACAAATTTATTCAATTTATATAATTACAATATTCTTTTATTATTTATATGTATAAAATGACTTATGATTTAATAAATTATTTAACCACGAATGATTAAATCATCAGGAATACCTTCATATTCACCATATTTTAATGCTAAATTAATATTTTGTAAACATTGAGTAGCAGCACCTTTTAATAAATTATCAATAGTAGCAACAACAACAACTCTATTTTGTTTAGCATTAACTGCAAAAGCACCAACAACAACACCATGATGACCACTAATATCACGAACTAATGGAGCTTCACCACTAACAGAGACTAATTGTTCACCTTGATAACGATCTTGATAAATATTTCTAATATCTCTTGCAGTTAATGGTTGATTTAATGGAATATTAATAGTATGTGTAATACCTTGGAACCATTGAGCAACATGTGGAGAAAATGCAACTTCTTGACCTAATTGTGATGAAATTTCACGTTCATGAATATGATCAGTTAATGAATATGGAATCAAATTATTATTTAAATTGTTTACATCATTTTTTGGTGATGGTTTTGTACCTGCACCTGAATAACCAGAAATACCAAAAATTGAAGGAACTCCACCAATATATTCTAATAATGGTTTAATTGCAATTTGTGCCGCGGTAGCATAACAACCTGGATTAGAAATTTTTCTTGCATTGGCAATTTGTTCTCTTGATCCTAATTCAGGTAATCCATAAGTCCATTCACCAGTTGTATCAAATCTATAATCTGCAGATAAATCAATAATTTTAGAAGTTTGATTACCCTTTGCACTTTCAATAGCATCAACAAATGGTTTACAAACACCATTTGGTAAAGCCATAACCCAAACATCAATTTCATTACGTTCTTCCATTCTCTTGATATCTTCAACTTGTAAATTTTCATAAATAATTTCAGATTTTGTATAACCTTCTAATTTTTTACCTTGTAATTCACGTGAAGAAACATGAGTTAATTCTAAATAAGGATGTGTGTTAATCATTGAAATTAAATTTTGTCCTGTATAACCTCTTGCACCAATTAATGCAACTCTTGATTTTGAAGTGTTTGTACCTTCAAATCTTGGTGGGTTTGGATTAGTTTCAGTGGCAAAAGTTCTAACACCAAATTGTTTAGTTGTTGTTGGTTGAACAAATGTGTTAAATCTTTGAGATTGTTGTTGTTGTTGAGTTCTTGGAATAGATCTCATTGATGAGAAAGATCTTGATTGTTGACCAGCAAAAACACCAGATTCATTATTACCATTTGATTTAACATGAGCGAACTTTTGTTCAAATTTATTAATTAATTGACTAACATGTTCTGGAGAATCAACACCAAACCAAAATAAAATACGACCATTTTTGGTGTATGACCCATCAGATTTTGAAAAATACCAATTAGTATTTGGATCATCTTCTCTAACAACCCATTGTAATGAATTATAATCACGTCTAATAGCATGGAAAATATTATCACTAACGTTATTTAACCAACCAGCTTTTGAAGCTAAGAATTTATCCAAAATTGGAACATTAGCACTTGATTCAACACCATCTTTAACAATAGCTAAAACTTCTAAAGGTTCATCACCATAAGATTTAAATGAAGAATTTTCTAATTCTCTTAAATATGAAGCAACAGATAATTTGCCTGCAGAAATTTCAGAATCTCTTTGTAAAGCTTTTCTTAATAATTCAGGTTCAGAAAATTCATTTAATGAAGATCTTGTTAATAAACGATAACCTCTTCTAATTAAAGTACCAGCACCAGAATCAGTAAATAATTCTTTTTGTAAATCATTAACATTAATAATAGCAACAGATGAAGATCTTGGTAAATGCATTAATAAATCTCTAATTTCTTTAATTTTCAATTTAGTACCATATTTAACCCAAGATTCTTTTAATAAATCTTCATATTCTTCATCTAAATTAATTGCAGAGATTTTTTCACCTGTATTACCATTAATAATACCACCTTTTTCATTTAAATAAACAATTTTTAAAGGTTCAAAAACACGAGCTAATTCACCAGCTGCAACATCAGCATTAACATTTAAGATTTGACCTGATGGAGTTTCAGCTAATGATGTAAGGATTGGTAAAGCACCTGCCGCGATAGAAGCTTCAATTGGTGATTTATTAACACCATTAATTTTACCAACTAATTTATATTTATCCTGGTCAAGATACTGAGCAGTGAAAACACCAGCAGTAATTGGTCTTGCATGAACACCCATTTTTTCTAAAGCGGTAACTAATTTTAAATTTTGTTCCAAAAAACATTTTCTAACAACACTCATTGTTTTTTCATCAGTAATTCTAATACCATCTTCATAAGCAGGTTCAACACCTTCAGCTTCTAATAATTCATTAATTTGAGGACCTGTACCATGTAACACGATTGGATAAAGACCAACATGGTATAAAAAGGCTAAACATGAAGCCAGTTCAGGTAAATGTTGAGTAATAATAGCACCACCAACTTTAATAACAGCAAATTGTTGAGATGATACAGAAGTGAAATATTTTAAATATTGTTCAACTTCTCTTTTAGACCCAATGTTATTTAACAATTGAATCACAGTGGATCTTGTTGAATAAGAACGACATAATTGACCTTGACAAGATTGATTATAAGCACCAGTGATACCGGCACTTGTTGATCTTGGAACGTTAATATGAGCAGGTGAAGCACCATTTGAAACACCAGAAGCAGCAGCGGCTCTTAAAGCATTACGTCCTGAGCGAGAGATGTGACGTCTTTGAGAAGACAATGAGGAACGTAACATGGCTGAACCCTTTTTGTAATGTTGTGTAATTGAAGGTGATTGAAATGTTTTGAAAAGAAGTTAAATTGGATTTTTCGAGTCAAAGATTGAAGGATGACTGATTTCTGATAACAATTTTTTTTTCTGCAGCACAAAATATCGAGATTTGCACGTGACTTTGATTGGTTTTTGGACAATAACTTTTAATTTTGATGGTAAACGTTGTGATTTAAAGTGAGTGGTGGAATATTCAGAGAAAAAGGAGAGGAATGGTGGTATTTATACTTGTGATTTCCCATTGGAACGTGTTGTTTAATGGTGTTCAACCCGGTTCTTCGTTTACGCCTGTCAAATAACTGCTTGAAAAACCGCGATTCCGATTTTAATTCCATTTGAAAATTGATTTTTGTATGGCAAATTAAAAGCAGTGGAATAGAAGAAGTTCAACAGATTACCAGTAGTTCACACAAAGAGAAGAGTTACATTGACAATGGCAAAGGCATATTTACCAGGTGAGTGATGGTATCCAAGTGTTTCCAGAAAGAACGGGTTACTAACAGTTGAATTAGCTCTTGAGGATGCTAATAGGTGAGTCTCTTTGACACAAAATAAAATCTATGGTTTATTAATACTAACAATACCACAAGTCCACTTTCTCCTCAACAATTAGAAGTCTTGAGACAACAAGTTCTTTCAGAAGGTGAACTTGTCTCTGTTCAATCCCGTTTCAACTATGCCTGGGGTCTTATCAAGTCTAATAAAGTTGATGATCAAAGATTAGGTGTCAAGATATTAACTGATGTTTTCAAAGATTCTCCACAAAGAAGAAGAGAATGTCTTTATTATCTTTCAATAGGGACTTATAAATTAGGTGATTATGCTGATGCTAGAAGATATTCAGATGCTTTGGTTCAGCATGAACCTGATAATCAACAAGCCCAAGCATTACAAAAAATGATTGAAGATCAAATTTCTAAAGATGGGTTAATTGGTATTGCCTTGATCTCTGGTGTTGTTGCAGCTGGTGCCACTGCATTATCATTATTCTTGAGAAAGAAACGTTGAGGTGTTGGTCTTGATATTCTTATGTGATTCGATTGTGATTTATAGCTATTTATATGAGATTTATGATTTTATTAGTCCCAGTGTAGCCCAGTGTAGCTGTAGACAGGGAGTTAGGCAGACTTCTGCCTAACTCCTAGACGGAGCCTGTCCACCTCCGCCTAAACCTCATAAAATCACCAATTAAAGTATAAAGTTAAAGTTTTGAATAGAACAATAAAACCGTTGAAACAATTGTACCTGTGATAAACAAAATCAGCCGTTGCTCATCAGGAACAAAATATCATGATTTAGATCCATACACATCACAAGACTCAACTGATCCCTTACAATCCCAAATAAACCACAGTTCTCCCACTCAGATCTTTATGAGTCTATGGTGAGTTCCAAGTTCCCTTCCAATATCATATGCACTTAGCAGGATCATTGTTGCGTTTTAAAACTTTTTCACTTAAACAATAAAACTGTTATAAAGTTAAAAATCACATCAGTCGTTGTAAAATGGGTTCATATACGATAATGATGTACATGATTGTCACTAAATTTTTTTTCTTGATATAAAATAAATAACAACTGCTGCTTTATTGTTTATTACACCTATATTTCATAGAGCTTCAAAGTATCACAACATGTCTTCAATAGAGAAGGTACCATCTTCAGATTCAACACTAAAAGATTATGATGAAGCTCTACGTTTCATCCAAAACAAAAAATCATTAGATCATGAAATCATCTCAACAAATCGTAAAATGGATTCAAAATTAATGTGGAAAATTGATTTATACTTGATTCCAATAATGTGTATGATTTATTTCTTACAATTTTTGGATAAAGGTCTTATAAATTATGCTGCCGTGATGGGTATCAAAAAAAATTTAAAAGGTGATGAATTTTCCAACTTGGCTACAATTTTTTATGCTTCTTATATTGCATTTGAACCTCTGAATGCCTACTTATTACAAAAATTACCATTGGCTAAATTTTTATCATTTACTATTATAGCTTGGGGGATTATCGTTTCATGTCATGCTGCTTGTCATACTTATGCTTCATTAATGATTGTTAGAACTTTATTAGGTGCTTTTGAAGGTCCTGTTGCAGTTTGTTTGATTTCAATTTCTGGTATGTATTGGAATCATAATCAACAATTACGTCGTATGGGTTGGTGGTCAATTCAAGCAGGTACAGGTTCAATAATTGGTGGATTACTTTCATTTGCTTTCCAACATGTTGAAAATGCTTCATTACAATCATGGCAAGTGTTTTTCCTTGTTATTGGATTATTTACATTTGTTTTTGGGATTTTCACATGGTTTTATTTACCTGATAATCCAACAAATGCATGGTTTTTAACTGAAGAAGAAAAAATGATTGTTGTGGAACATGTTAGATCAAATCAAACAGGTATTGAAAATAAAACTTATAAAAAAAATCAAATTAAAGAACTATTATTTAAAGATAAACATACTTGGCCAATGTTTTTTTTAACTATAATTTCACAAATTTGTACTGGTGCTATAGGTACTTTTTCTGTTCAAATTATTGCAACTTTTGGATTCAATAATAAGATATCTGCATTAGCTCAAATGCCTTCAGGGGCTGCTACAATAATTTGTATATTAATGGGTACTTATATCTGTGCATATTATGGTCATCGTACTTTGATTTTCATTTCCATGATTATTCCATCAATTATAGGTTATATTGTCTTGATTTCCTCAAGGGATCAAATCGGAAATCTACTTTCAATTTATTTATTATCACCAGGTTCTTGTGTTATTACATTAATTTATAGTTGGAATAATACAAATACTGCAGGTTATACCAAAAGAGTCGGAAGAAATTGTATGACAATGATTGCATTTGCCGTGGGGTGTTTAATTGGTCCTCAATTGTTTAGAGAATCGGATTATCCAAGATATATACCTGCTAAAATCACTTTATTAGTTACAATGGTTGTTTCTATATTTTTGGTATTAGTTGTTGCTTTGATTTCAAGATTTGAAAATAAAAAGAAGGATAAAATTAGTTCAAAAGAGTTAGATTCATTACCTGAAAATTATGAATTTTTAGATATGACTGATTTACAAAATCCAAATTTCCGTTATGCTTTTTAATCAAAAAGAAGAAAAAAATTATATACAGATTTCATATATAATACTAATTAATTAATAACATAGACCAACTTAATTAAACGATATTATTTGTTAATATTAATTTCTCTTCTTCAGTCAATTGTTCATAAATTTCTCTAAAATTATGAATATTTTGTGATGCAGAATTTTTAAAAAATTGAATTAAATATCCCTTTAATTCATTATTTGAATCTCCATGACCTCTATCATCATCATCAATATATGATTTTAATTTATCAAAATCTCCTCCAATATCATCAAGATCTTCCCATCCATCTTCTCCAATATCTTCAGCTACTTCATCATCATCTTGATCACCATGATCATGATCATGTCCATGTGATTCACCTAATTCTTGATCATGTGTTAATGATTGGGTACCTAATTCAAATACTAATAGTTTAATGATTTTAAAAGGAACAGATACTTGTTGATATTGTTGTTTATGTTTCATTGATCTTGTAATTATAATATCAGAATTTGGATCAAAATATTCATCACCATCCACAGTAAAATTAAATTCAACTTGTGATGAAAATAATTTCCCTAAAGCATGAACATTTTCTTCAATTTTTTCACCACGTAAAGTTTGAAAATTATTAAACCAAATATTGAAAACTTTTTGAATCTCTAAATTTTGCAAAAATTCCATTGTATGTTCTAAATCAATTTCAATCATATAACATAAAACTGATAATAAATCTTCAATTGTACTTATTTCTTTAGCCGTTATTAATCTATTAGTTACAGCTGAAAGAACATTTGGTAATACATTTTGAATTTGATTTTCAAATCTTTTCAATACTGCAACAACAAATGAACCAAGAAATAATGCACCACTATCAGAAATTTCTGGATTAAAATATTTTTCTAAGATTTTTAAAACAATTTCTAATTCAAAATATTCTGAACTTGATTTATTAATTAATGATGTAAAACCCTCGGCTCCAACTTGTAAAACTTGTTCATCATTTGTATTTAATAATACAGTACTTATTATATGATTATAAATTGGGAATAATTCTCTTGGAATATTTTCAGGACAACTATAAATGAAAATATTTAATGTTTGTAATAACATAACCAATAATGCAGAATAATCTGGTCCCAATGCTCCAATAGCTGTTTTAATATCTTCAATAGTGGAACCAACAAATTTAACATATGTATCTAAGTCAAGATCTTCAAATAAATCTTCTAATGCTTCTTCAATATCTAAAACTAATTGAATATTACCTGGATCTTTTTGTGCTAATTGCATTAGGATTCTTAATGATCTAATATTTGTTTTTTGAATTTTTTGAACAAGTTTCAGAACTTCAGCTAATAAAGGTGATGTATCGTCCCTTGCTTCTTCTAATAATGACTCAATTAATGTATATAAATCCTCTTGAGTTTTAATTGGTATAGATTCAAATTTTAAGAATGAATTATATGATAATAATGAAATTAAAAATGATGTTTTCAAAATTGATGATTGATCTAAAGCAATAATTTTTAATGATTCCACAATGGATTTTATACCAAATTCTGATGAATTTAAAGATTTTTCAAACATTTTAAGAAAATCTGGTATTGTTAATAAAACACGAACTCTAACTAAGATTTCATTATCTTGTAATAATGAAGCAATACCATTCAAGACATCACCTAATGGAGTTTCTGATTTAATATCATTTTCATTTTCCATTAATCCACCTAAAACATATAATAAAGCTTCTTTACTTCTCCAATCATCAGATTTATCAAATTGTAATAATTTATTAACTAACCATTGATAAATATAATTTGCGTCTGTTTTCCCCAATTCTGAAACATAATCATAAACTGCATTTCTAACAAGGTATGTTGGTGATACACCAGTTTCTTCAGTAACAAATTCATTAAAATCTTCAACCCAATTATCTTCTAATTCTAATGGAACAAAACTTGAGGCTAGTACTGAATCTAAAAAATATTCAACTGGACTATTTGAAACTTGAAGTTTACCTAATGATCCTAAGAATTGGAATTGTTCTATTAATAAATTACTTAATGCGATTGAAGTATTAATTTCTGGATCATTATTCTCAGTATATTTATCTTCATTTTCCAATACCACAAGTTCAACATAAACTTTTGAAGATGATATCACATCATTTATGGTTTCTTGTTGTAGTGCCAATTTAGCTTCTTTTGGGAATAATTTCTGAGGGAATTCAGTATTTAAAATGTATGCAATTGAATATAATGTGGTTCTTAAAGTTACACTATGAATATTCAATATATGATTTTGTAATAAGACAGTTAATAGTGTAACAATTTGTCCAAAATGTTGTTCTAATGCAGCTTTTTTATTAGGATCCTCTGTAACGGCAGGACTTTGTAATTGTAATAGACATGATTTATATAAATTAGCAGCTGCTGTTTTAATCTTATCACCAGCATGTTCATTAGTCAATAAGTTCATACATTCTGTGATGGTAGCATTACCAACACCACCTTCGAAAAACAATTCTTCTGTAACTAAATCATCAAATAATTCTTGTAGTAATGATAAACCACCAAGAACTGCAATTGGATCTAATGAAGTCATTTTGGAATATAACACGTCTAATAAATCAGGCCATTCATCTGGGAAATCAACTGCAGATATTTGTACTACTGCATAAGAAGCACCATTTCTAATCTTTGAATCTTTATCAGATGTCACCAAATTGATCAATGTATCTCTAATTAATGATTTAGCATTTTGATTTATAGCAGGTCCAACAAATGATTCAAAACCTGCACTCCAGAATAACGGTACAATTCTTTTCAAATTAAGTAATGCACTTTGTCTAGCAGCAACATTAAAGCTAGAAGTAGCTGATAACTTTATCAATGTTACAGCAGCTTGTGAAGGATTGGAACGTACAATCTCTGCCAATTCATTTTCAGCGTGCTTACGAGTAGCATTGTCCGGAAGTTGGATCCTGTGTAACACGTCCAAAATAGCACTTTCCATTCTTATTGCTTTACCAAAATAATCAATTGAACCACTTCAAACAGACCACTAAGAATAACTTTCAAATCAAACAGGCTTTAGATCAACCAGTCTGTTTCTTTGTTAAACGCGTAACTGCTAAGTAAAAAAAAAGTTTTGAAACCAAAACAATCAAGAGAATTCGCGGGTTTTCATAGAAAATGTCAAACTTGTGGAAGATCCGATAAGTTGTAATCAGATTTGGCCCTGGAATCAGACATCAGATAGGGGAACCACAGAGAAATTAGGCTCAGTCAGTAAGGAATAACATAAGAGATGTCAGACGAAGGTGCTTCATTCAAAGAACAAATACTCGACGTTGCGCGCAGAAACAACACCGAACTTTTTGACGAGATTTTGGCCAATGCTGCTGGTGAACAGATATCAGATATAATAAACCATTCAAAAGATGCTTTAGGAAATACTCCTTTACATTTGGCTGCTAAATATGGTTCATTTGAAGTCTTGGATACAATCTTGGATCAAGAAGGTACTGAAGTTGACCCAGTAAATGTCATTGATGGTGATACTCCATTGCATTTGGCTGTGCGCTATAGTGAAACTGAACCTGAACATGGTGCCTTCATTGCTGAAACTTTGATCGAAGCAGGTGCTGATGCAAGGTGAGTATATTGGAGAGAAACAATATGTTTTTTGATATAATACTAACAATTGATTATTTTAAGAATAAAGAATAAAGGTGGATTCACCCCAGTGCAATTGATACATAATGAAAATCCACAATTAAGAGAATTATTACAATCAGCAGAATACGCTGCTGCTTTAGAACAAGAAGGTCAATTAAACAGTGAGTATTATTTCCAACGTGATCTGAATGAGAAATTAACATTGAAAGATGAAGATGATGGACCAAGTGACGATGAAGGTTCTGCAAGTGATAGTGATTAGTTACAATATTTATAATATAGGGGTAAAACGAAGATTCATGAATTCAGAAATATACATAAATTTTAAAAGTTAAAAAGTTGATAGATTCAAATGGAATCCAATGAGAAATCATCTTCTGTAGTGTTTGCCCATCCACATAACGCTTCAATACCGATTTGTTTAAGTTCGTTATATTTGATATTTTGCTTCTTTAAACCGTAATAATTTCCATCAATGATCTTCAAATGAGGTCTTGAAGCTTCAAATAACTTTACTCTTGACACAATACTTTCCCCATTCTTCCTTATATATGTCTTTTTATTGAAAAAGCCTTCCTTCACACCATTAACTATCGATTCATTCAAATCGTAATCTGGTATGTAGATCAGACTTGTATTTGAAGGTGATTTTTTAGCATCATCTTTAGCGAATAAATATTCTTCCACATTTGTGGAAAGACATTGTATCATATGAGCATTATTAGCATAATTAGAGTCAAACCTGTTACGGAAAGCTCTATTCATTCCCGTTTCATCGAATTTATTCTTCGGTACCACAATCAGATCAATAAAAAATCCAATTGTATCACAATAAGAGCTAACAACACCATTTAACAACGATGTGAATTGTGTCATTGAAATCTTATCTGAGCAACTCATAGACATACAAAGTGGTGAGTCTCTTCTCCCAGGTTTTGTCCTTACTTTGCCTTTTGTCATAAAATCTTCACGACCTCGAAGTACACCACCAGGTAATTTTGTAAGTTTGTCCCATTTAACATCATCTTCTTCGATTAATTGTTCCAAACTCGAGTCACCACATGGTAGTTCTGATACATATAATGCAAATTCAATCCCATCTTTAAGTTTAAACCTTAAAGTGTCATCATCAGTGTACTCTATATATTTAGATTCTTCACCATTTTTAACTTTGGTACATTCATTAGCAATAACCCAATTGAAAGACCTTATACATAAAACTTCAGCGTGGCAGTCATGTAATATTCTACCACCTTGTGAGTACTTGGATATTATCATTTCTGGAATGGCTTTAACACCAGTTGCTAATGAAACTAGTCCTATATCATATTGATCTGGATTTGAATTGAATATAGCTACTATACCAGCTAATACTGTCCATTCTTTTACACCATTAGATCTTGTAGTTGGTTTACCCTTTAATTTTTTGGTTTCAAAAGCACCTATCACCACTGAAGCGATTTCATCAGCAATTGGTTCATAATTTTCGGCCATTGATTGGTGTTGATGTTGAGTTATATCGAAAGTTCAGTTATATTGTACACGCGAAAATTTTATGTTGACCTGCACTATGAAGGGCCAAGTACAAAAGTTCTAAAATACAAACATTTATTATACATCAATTGCTCAGATTATAAAAGACTGTCCTAAATTTGGATATCAAATTTAAAATCAATTCCAGAAACTAATTTATCAAATTCACCCAAATTTCTATATTTTGCAGCTTTTAATAATTGTTTTTCCTTTTCTTGATTTTCTGCAACTTGTTGGGCAGTTTCTAATGCATCAGCTTTAGCTTTTTCATTTTCTTCTTTTTGAATTTCTTTATAGTAAACTCTTGATCTTGTATTTAATCTTCTGAAAGGATCTGTTTTATCCAGAGCACCTGTTCTTCTTTTTTCTGTATTTATTAATTCAGCTTCTTTCACAGATTTCATATTCATTTTTCTATTACGTTCATTAACTTTTGCAAATTGATCAGAATTTGAACCAATTGAAACTTTGTTTTTATTTGATTTTTGGAAATGATTTTCCAGTTTTCTTAAACGTTCACTATAATCCCGTATAGCATTTGTATCATGTCTATCTTTAGCAACTTGTAATTTTTGTGTAAGTTCTGATTTTTTCAAAACATAATTTGCACCAACTGAAGTATCATTAAACATACTTCTTCTTCTAATAAATTCATCGAATTGAGAACCTTCTAATTTCTTGGTGGCAAAAGTTTTCAATTCTTGATATTTTTCTTCAATTTCTCTTAATGTTGGTAATGCAGCTCTTTTACCAGCTTCATTAGCATCATTTATATATTGATTATATTTAGAAAATTCAGATTCTGTAATTGGTTCATCACTGAAGAAACTCATATTAAAATTTTTCTTATCTTTACCTGGTTGTGAAACAACAAATTGTTGATCAGTTTTTTGTGATCCTAAAGTATAAGGTTTATGATGAATAACTTTTTCAATTCTAACCATACGATGTTCATGTTTATTGACACGAATTTTACCAAAAGTACCAACAATAACACTGGAAAACCCTGGATAGAAACAAAATTTTTCTGCAACTGAATGACCAGTTTTAATTTTATTTATATCACTTAATTCAGCAATTTTACGTTTAGAGCTTTCAGCCCATTTGACTTCTTCGCCACCAAAATTGTTAAATTCTGGTTCATAATCATCTTCTTCAAGTTCACCTAAATCATAATCATCCTCTTCTTCATCTTCATCTTCGTCTTCATCATCATAATCATCTCTTGTTCTTCTGCTCTTTTTTTCTCTTTGTTTCTTCAATTCTGATAGTTTAGAAGATTTAACAGATCTTGATGATTCTTTAACTTTTTGAGATCTACTACTTGATCTTTGTTGTTGCGCTTGATTTTGTTTTGCTCTTTGAGCTAATAATTTTCTTTCATTGTATTTTTGTAATTCTTGAGAACGTTCGAATAAAATGGATTCTCTTTCCATTTCAGCCATTGATTCCAATTCGGCTTTATCCTTTTCATTCTTATATTTACCTTCTAATGGATATGGACTTGGTTCTTCTTCTTCTTCATCTTCATCTGGGATATCACCTATATCGTAATCATCATCTTCCTCATCCACGTCATCTTCATCAGCATCACCGATGTCGTAATCACTTTCCTCTTCATCAACACTAAAAAGCACAATGTTAGTAATCACAGCACCAAAAAACAATATCAGACAATTAAACTCACACTTTCTTCTTCTTACGTTGTGATTTATCTGGAGAACTACCTCTCTTATTACCCAATGCTTCGTTGTCGCTTTCGCTCTCAGAGCCTGCACCGGCCAACGCCAAAAGATCCTCTTCCAAATCAGACATTTCTCAACAGCTTATAACACTAATCAGCCTATGATCAAACCAACTATCAAAGTGTCAATCTGTTCTTGAATTCAAATTAAAATCAAGTTTTGTTGTTGATTATTTTCAAATATTCAGTTTGTTTTTCGCGAGAGCTTTTTTCCCGGATTTCAATTTTCCTGAAGTCGGATCTCAAATAAACATGGCTCTTAAAAACTTCACCAAGAAATGACATTTTAACAACCCATTAAAAGCACAAAAAGACGTGGATAGCTCGCCGTTTTTTAAAAGGACCATCTGCTGGTTACATGGCCACAAATACGAGAGAACAACATGGCAAACAGGCCCACTTCCAAAAGATCGCCGTCGATCTTGGTCACAGACTCCAGAAATGCCCATAATAAAAGTGCACCTTTTGCTGGAGCTGCGCATAACAACAATGGCTCAAGTTCATTAAGCAGGTCAACCAAATTGAAAAAGAGAAATAGTGGTAAATTCAGTGATATTTCAGTTTCAAATTTGTTAGGTGATGCTAGTGATGTACCTTCTGGTCGTAGGGAAGAAAGATTATCCACTGGCTCTTTAACTTTGGGGGACTCATTACGGGATCAAAGAAGAAGACTTTATACAAAACCTTTCCAACCATTACCTTCTAGAACTTCTAAAACATCACAAAAATTGGTGTTAATCCCAGATGAAGATGATGAACGTTCTTCTGACCCAAGTGCCTTCAAAGTTCCAAATGCTTCAAGATCAAAAGCTGAAAAAATGTCAAAAGAGAAAAGAGCTAAGAAATTATCAAGAGTAACTGCATATTTAGTTTCTGATGGGTTTAATTTGGATAAAACTGCATCATTTTTAAGTGATAAACATGATATATATCCAAGATTATATGATGAAGTGCTTTATTGTCCATACTGTCTACCTTTGCTACCCGGAAGAGAAGGTTTCAGAATAAGGTCAAATAAAACTGGTAAAAATACAAGTGGTGTTGCATATATGGAAAGATTAATCGATTCATCTGAAAGACGTGATCATCATTATGAATATTATAGTGGTGTGGAAACCCCAGAAGATATGAATAATAATTATGAAATTGATAAACCTGAAACTGAAGAAGCTAATTATGGTCCTTTTGATCCAAGTGAACCTCAATTTTTCGCTGAAAATGTGCATGAAGACACTGCTGCAGCAAATGCTAAACAACAAGAAATGATCAAACATCATGCTGAAATGTTTATATTTAATTATGGTGTTGTGGTATTTTGGAATTTCACAGAGATTCAAGAAAAGAACATCCTTGGTGATATATCATTTGCTAGAAATGAATCAGATACAAAGCAATTAGTTATAAGACCAATCGATGAACATGATATTGAAAAAGAACAATTTCATTTTGAATATGATACTGAGACTGAAAGACCAAGAATTTATAATGATATGATTACATTAAGATCTGGTGATCATTTAATTAAATTGACAATGTCTCATGCAATTGCTCAATCTACAAAATTATGTCGATTCGAATCAAGAATCACACCAATTTTATATTCAGTCTCTAAATTACCTAAGAGATTAGCACTCACAGGGAAATTAGGTTTAAAACGTGAACATTTAATTAAAAAATCTGGTAAATTGTTTAAATTAAGAGTTGATGTTAATCTTTCATCAAATGTTTTAGATACTCCTGAATTTTTCTGGACTTTTGAACCAAGTTTACATCCATTATATAATGCTGTTAAAGAATATTTAGAAATTGATCAAAGAGTTGAAGTTCTTAATGATCGTTGTAAAGTGTTTTTGGAATTTATTGATATTGTTGCAGATTCAGTTGCAGAAAAAAATATGACAAGAATAACTTATATGATTATAACAATTTTCTTTTTGTCTGTTATTGTTTCATTTTTTGAAATTTTTGTTAGATATATGATTATTAATCGTAATAAGCATCATGTTCCAGATCTTCCATAATTATATTTGTCTTTTGATTTTCCCAATTTAATATAATTTTTTGCATGAAGGTGTTTGCATTTATTGTTCTTTACATCTTTCTTTCAGTTCTTTTCCATGGTTTTTTTACCTTTCATAATATTTTATTGGTATGATTTTATTAATCACATTTTTTCATAGATTTTAATCAATGTCTAAGCGTTAATTGGATGTTTACATCATATATTTCATTATTACGTAGGTTATAATTTGTGAGTTAATAACAGAATAAGTATATTCACGTTAATTTATATATATACGAGGCTATCTTATTTCTTAGCACCATATTTACTAACGGTTTTACCATCTGGAATAGTGAAGAAAACAGCTGGTTTACCATTTTCAGCTTGTTTATCCAAACGGTAGTAACCTTTTCTTTCAAATTGAATAATATCACCGACTTTAAATGATTTAACATTAACATCAGCAACACCAGCAGTATGGAATTCAGTTTTTGGAGTTAAGAAGTTTTCAAAATCATCACCTTCATCTAATTTATCTTTTGTAATTAAATGGTCAAAATCAACTAAATCAACTTCAACTTTATCTTCAGTATCAGCTAACCAAGTAACTTTATGTTTAGTTTTACGGAAATCACCATCTAAATTCAACTTAACTTCAATAGATTTAACATGGTCACCTTCTTTAACTAATTTGGTAACAATAACATTACCCCAATCCATTAAAGTTAATTCTTCACCATCTTCTAATGAATCAGCATCTTCTTGATCAATTAAGATATCTGAAGCATAGATGACATCTTTTTCACCAACTTCTGGATTTTTCTTATGTTTTGGTTTCTTTTCAATAGTTGGTTTAGATGGACCATCAACAATATGAACTTTAACAGGTTCAACAACAGCAGTATGACGTGGAGCAATTGGATCAATAACTTTTTTGTTAGCAGCCCAAATAATTGACCAATCCAAGTTAATGATATTTTTAGAAGGACCTTGAGAAATGACGAAGTTTCTTAAACCTTCAACAGTCATACCTCTACGTCTAACACCTCTAACAGTTGGGAATCTTGGATCATCCCAGTTTGAGACTAAACCCTTATCAACCATCCATTGTAATTTACGTTTTGATAATAAGGTTCTAACAAAGTTAACTCTTGCGAAATCCCAAATATGAACTTTTCTAATGTTTAAAGCTTTTAAGAACCATTCATATTGTGGGTTACGATCTCTATATTCAATAGTACGTAATGAATGAGTAACACCTTCTAATGAATCAACAATTGGAACACAGAAATCATAAGTTGGATACATTTTCCATTCTGAACCAGTTCTATGATGTGGAGTCAAGTTAGTTCTGTAAATAACTGGATCTCTTAAAGCTTTGTTTGGATTATCAAATGAGATTTTAGCACGGATACAGTTTTTCAAACCTTCTTCAGTACCATTCTTCATTTCTTCAGTGAAGATTTTCAAGTTTTCTTCAACAGTACGTTCACGTCTTTCTGATGGAATACCATCCATTCTTTCTTGTCTCATTTTTTCTAATGGAGTATCATCAGCATAAGCTTTACCTTCTTTGATTAATTTAACAGCTAAATCATACATGTGGTCGAAATAGTCTGATGAGTAAGTTATTTTATCACCTTTAATACCTAATAATTCTAAATCTTCTAAAATTGAATCTTGGAATTCGGTTTTTTCCTTTGAAGGATTAGTATCATCGAATCTAATGATTAATTTACCATGATATTGTTGTGCGAAATATTGATTCAAGATAGCAGCTTTAGCATGTCCAATATGTAAATATCCAGATGGTTCAGGTGGGAAACGAGTAACAACTTGACCATCAACAGCATCTTGTAAATCAATGTCAAAGTTGGCTTTATGACCTTCTTTTTTACCATCTGGTTTAACTTTAGCTTGTTTTTTCAAATCAGCAACAGATTTTTGTAATAATTCAGCAACACCACTAAATTTTTTATCAGATTCTAACAAAGTGTACCAACGGGAAACATTGATATAAACTTGATTCTTGATGATTGAACCAACCATACCGTTTGATCTTAATGAACCCCAAACGGCAACATCAGCTAATGATGGTTTATAACCAACAATAAATGAACGATAGTTCAAATGACTATCTAGTTTTTCTAATGAAGTAGCTAATTTTTTGAAATCTTTGATGGTCAATTCTTCAGCACCGAATTTGATCCATTCTTGAGCAGTTTCAGCACCGGTAAGAGCTTTTGGGAAGGCAGAAGCTAATTTGGTTAAGATTTCACCATCAACAACGGTTTCATCACCTTTGGTTAATTTGGCAGAGGCCTTGTCAACGGCTTTTTCGTCAACAAACTCGATCTTGACGGCGTCTTGAGATTGGGCATTGACGAATTGAGCAGCGATCAATGCTGGGTATGCGACCACTGGGGCCTTAGCAGCAACGGTCAAAGTGTAAGACATCTTTGGTGAGTTGGTGAAGAAATAAAAGAGTTGTTGTTCTTTCAAATCGATGAACTTTTTTTTGATGGTTAAAATGATTTTCCGGTTTTGCCACTACTTTTTGAAATTTTTATTACTTGTTGATGTTTTTTTGTATGGATTGTTTTAGACATTTGGAAACTGGTTTTCAATAAATTGGTTACAAAATTCCATAAGGAGAATGAGTTCGTCAAAGTTATTACCATTGAATTCTAGAGCTGCAACCACAGCGTTAAAACAGCCAAAAGAGATTGCGAGTTTTTCCAGAACTTTTGATGGGGAATACGTCAATGATGATTCAAGTTTAGGCTATTATTTCCTACCAGATTCTGATATTGAAACAAATATTGATTTAGGTGCTGGTTTCAAAAAATTCAAAAAGTTTGATGAAGCAAGAGATGGGGAATTTGATGGATTATTAGGTGCTATTAAGAATTATGAAGAAACAAACAAGACTAAAGTTAAAGCTCATATTATCACTTGGAGAGGTATAATGACAAAATTATTAACACTACCGTATAACTTGAATGATCCATTAGATTTCAATGTTGTCTATTTTGACGGTCACTTATTTATTCAAGAAGACAAAGCATTGAAAACTGCACGTGAAACTAAACCAACTGATGAACATGCAAGATTAATGTATTCAGGTTATAAATTTGAAAGTATAGCAACTCTACCCAAACCATTGGCCCAAGTATCAAGAGCCACTATTGATAAAAATCATAAGAAGATCGTAAGTAATGCAGAACAATATTGTTCAATTGTTAAAACTGGGATTGGTAAACAAAGAATCATAATTGGAGGTGAAGTTGATTGTGTTTGGGATTATAAACCTGAAGATTCAAATCCATTACCTCATTATGTTGAATTGAAAACTTCAAAAGTTATAAGTGAACCAAAACATTCAATTATATTCGAGAAAAAATTATTTAGAACTTGGGCTCAATGTTTCCTATTGGGGATAAGTAAAGTTATTTATGGTTTTAGAGATGATAATTTAATTTTAAGAACTGTGGAACAATATAAAGTTGATGAGATCCCAGTATTGATAAAAAATAATCCTGTTAATACAAACCCAAAGAGAATCAATTGTATTGATGCTTTGAAATGGTATGGTGCTGTTGTTGAATGGATAGTGGAAAATGTTCCAAAAGATGAATCAAAAGCCTTCAGAATAAGTTATGATAATAAAAATAAATCATTTGCATTGAATGAATTACCTTCAGATGTTTCAGATAATGTCCTAAGTACAATGTTAACTGAAGATTTCAAGAATTGGAGACTACAAAAGAGAAATGAGTAATTATATATTAATTAAATATTATTGTTAATGAATATTAAGTTAGTTGTGTGCATCATGTCAATGATCATTCTGATTAGCTTTGAAATCAGTTGTAGAGCTCATTGTCATATTTACCATATAAATCAGAAGCAAAATGACGTGCAATTTTTTCTTTACCAATAGAAGTGATTTTATCAAAATCTTCTTGTTCTAATTCAAATGTAAAGATTTCCAATGCACTTTGTAAACGTTCAACCTTAGATGATGTAGTTAATGGAACAATTCCATTTTGATAAACCCATCTCAATAAAATTTGTGATTCACTCTTGCCATACTTAGTTTCCAATTCTCCTAAGATGTTATCTAATGGACCTGGACGAGCTCTAAATAATGGAGCTAATGGAGAATAAGCTTCAATTAAAATATCATTTTCTTTGGCATATTCTAAAATCTTAGGAGTTTGACCTTGTAAATAAGCATGAAATTCAATTTGATTAACTTGTGGCTTGATAATCGTTGCAACTTTATTAATTCTTTCCAAATATTCAATAGAGAAATTTGAAACACCAACATTTTTAACTAACCCATCTTTATACAATTTTTCAACTTGTAACCAAGCTTCTTCTAATGTAATTCCAACAGTTTCAGGTGATATTCTTGGAGTATGTAATAAATATAGGTCAACATAATCTAGTTCCAAAGTCTTTAAAGCGTTTTGTAAAGTTTCATAAGGACCTGAAGTCTTTTTAGTACCTGGTGAACCTGGACTATATTTATCAGTAATAAATAATTCTGATCTTGGAATTCCAGATCTTTTGATCCCTTGTCCAACTTCATAATGGGTTGAATATGCTTCTGCAGTATCAATATGGTTAAACCCTGCTGATATAGCATTTGAAATACCCTGGATCAATTCTTCAACTGGTTCATTCTTTTCTGATTCAGGTCTTGCCCTTTTTTGGATTTTCCATGCTGTACCAGATCCAAATCCTAAACTTGGGATTTTATCACCAGTTTTTGGTAATGTGAATGTTGGAATCTCAGAAAGTGTCATTGTGGTAGTGAAATATAAGCGTAATCAGTACGTTTATCAGCTATATGGTATATGGATTTAATCCTTATCAAAAGTAAAGGATTTCTGGTATCTTTTATACCTTGAAGTTACTATCGCTTATAATCCCGAAAAGGGAAGTATTCCTGATAGCCAAAAACTGTGTACGTACTCATAAACGTTAATCTACAAGTTTAAACAACGGCAATTCAAACTTTAGGATGAGTACTTTACGAGATTGGATTCGTGATCTTGTAAACTGGATAATCATATGTGTATATTACAGATACCATCGGTGACATATCACTGCTAGAGCACATTCGGGGTATACCGTATAACCTTTTAACTACTGCAAAGAAAAAATAAAGAACTGAAAAATATTGTATTACAAAACTTAAGTTAATTAATTATACAATTTGTGCATCATATTAGTGAATTGTTCATTTTTTTTTGTGATTAATTAATCATCTTCTTGATGATTTTCTAGAATTACGACTTCTTTGTCTTGTTAACATTAATGAAGGGCTCATTGGTTTTGGGGTATAAAATCTAGTTGATGAACCATCATATTGTAATTGTCTATAAGGTGTTTGAAATGGTGTTTGGTAGGATTGTTGATTAACAGATTGTTGCTGTTGTTGTTGATTTTGATTTTGATTTTGGTTTTGATAATTTGGATAAGGATTTTCATATTGTGTATAATTTCTATAAGTACCAAAAGCTGCATTTGTTAAAACTAAAGATCCCACGGTAATTAAAAATAAAAAAATCATTGATTTCCAGCTAATTGGTTTTATGAATCCATTTATAATTTCTGCAAAAGTTTCAGCTCCAATTTTGGCACGTCCAACTGTTGTTGGATCTTGATTCATACATTTTTCCCATTGTGAACATGCAGCTTCTAAAGCAACAACTCTTTGACCTGGTTGACAATTATTTCTCAAGTATTCTCTTGAGCAAAGGGCAATTTCTTGAATTATATCTGATGCATAAGAATCAACTTTATTTTCCACATCTGCTTTAACTGTTGAGATAAATGAATAAATAAAATATAATAAAATTGATACTATCAAGACATTGAAAATTAATTGTAGATATAATGAAAGGATATATGGTAATTCTGGATCAATTAATGATTTAAATTTGAAACTTGTAAGTAAAGAAATCCAAGTTTTCTTTTTAGATTTTCTAGATCTTTTCTTCTTTTCCTTTGTATTATCTACTTCTTCATTTTGTTCTTCTTCGAGATCTTTATCATCAAGCCATTCATTATCCTGTTCTTTATTTAAACTTGTTTTTCTTTTAGTTGAGTTAGAGCCTGAAGAACGTAAATATGGACTTTTAAAATTTGATTTGGTATTCCCATTTAATGTATCAGATAATGGACTTGCATGTTTGATATTTTTAGCTGAAGGTGAATTAGAAGCTGAATAAGCATAAGAATGAATAATATCATTTTTTTTAGGTGATATAAGAACTTTTGAAGCTAATTTAGTTGGGTTTATTTCCCTTGTTTCCTTTTGCTCATCTAATTCATTTAATAATTCTTGTTCAAGATTCACAGATTTCGTGGATTCAATATTTAAATTTGGTTGTTTCTTTTTCAGTATCGAAGCTGGTTGTTTTGGAAATTGTTGATGTAATGGTTTTGAAGGGGAAGATGCCAGTTCCAATGATGATGATGATGAAGATGAAGTTGAAATCCCATTAGTATTTGGAGTTGAAGATTTAGTTGGATCTATAAATGGCAAATTATCCTTTGTAGGATTTTTATACAGTTTCTTCAGTAAGCTTGGTTGACCTTTACTTGATTGCTGGAAAGATGGAGAATTCCCTATCGATGATGAATTCAATGATTGTAAATTTGAAGCTGGTGAGAATTCATTTTTACCACCTGTTAAAGCTTGTTGTTGTCTAAATTGTGCTCTTCTTAACGGAGTTTTAGGATCATTCTCAATTTGATCAACCCCTATCATACTAATATTTGAATCAAAGTCACTATCAAATGTAGAGTCATTGCTTGTAGCTTCATTAGTTGAATCTTGTTCATTTTTTAATAAAGTATTGATATTGTGTTTATTGGAATGTGATAAAACATGATTTTGCTGAAACATAACGTTAAGCTCTTCTGGTGACTTGGATGGTTTACGTTGATGAGTAGCCATAGCAGCAAAAAGAATGTTCTTTCAAAGCCTTTTTTGAAGTCACTTGAATCACTTGATTGATTAGGAAAATGTGCCAAATTTTGAATTACAAATTACAATACGCCAAAACTATACATGTAAAATGATTTTGTTATGTCTTGAGACGTTTTGTGGAAAATGTAAACAATGCGATCTCAGTGCTGAAACATACGCTGACTGGGGAGCTGGTGTAGTCAATTAGACTGGGTCGTGTATCAAATTTAGGCCTAGATGATGCGTAAATTACAGCACCGATGATTATCCAAATATTAAGTAATTGAATCCAAAGAGAATCAAATTAGGTTATAAAATGCTTATGGTGAGTTAAAATTAGAGCTTACCATAATCTACCACACACTGAACAAATAACGGGCTATCCTGGGTTCTTTTTAGTGTTTGATCTAATTGAAGCTGTCGACGCGGTAGAGTTTAAGGTATTCGTGTAACAAAAAAAATCGGTAGGAGCCGCAAAAAAAGAATGCGATTTCTGTGGATTGAACACAGGACCTTTAGATCTTCAGTCTAACGCTCTCCCGACTGAGCTAAAACCGCTTCTTATTGTGTTATTCGCTGTCTAAATTGGTATTACAATTAAGAATTAGCTTATATAATCAACATTTAAATTATAGAAAAATAAAAGAAAAAAAAATAAAATACACACATAATAATTAAAAAAACATAAAAATCAAAAAACATTTTATATAAACATTATATGATACAATAAAAAACAAGAGAAGACAGAAAGGGACAATAAGAGGAACTTATAAATGCAAGCCGCTAAGCAAACAGTACCATGTGGGGTTTATAAGAATACCAAAGCTGAACGACACCGAAAATCTCTCTTAAATATAGTTAAATTAAATTTATAATATACATTAAATATAACCTTTAAAAAAAAAAAAAAAACCA